TTTTTTAATTTATAAATTAAAAAAGTAATAGTATTATTTTAATTTATAAAGTAAAAAGCTAAATATATTAATATATTTTTTTAATTTATAAATTAAAAAAGTAATAGTAATAAAATACTAATACTTAAGGTAAAAGTAGTAGAATATTATTTAAACTAATATTTTTTTTAATTAATTAAATAAAGTTAAAAGTTATACTTATATAAAATTATACCTATATAATAAAAATATTATACTCCTTTATTAATTACCTAAAATAATAATATAATTACTTAGTTTAAGGAATAAAGTAATACTTTTTTTTAGAAACTATAAGGACTTTTTTTTAAAAAAAATATATTATTTTATAATTATTAATAACTATAATTTACTAATATTAAAAAATCTTTATATAATATTATTATACTTATAATATTACTTTATTAAGTAAACTTTATAAATATATATAATTTATATTAGTTAATAAAACATAAATATAGAAAAAACCTAAGTTTAATTAATAGTAAGAATTTATATAATTATAAACTAAGTAATTATATAGCTAAGAAAAGCAAAAGACAAAAATAAAAAAAGTACATAAGGGGATATATAGAGCTATTAATAAACAATATATAAGAAGTAATTAGAAAAGCAGAAAGCAATGCCTAGCTTTTTAAAGCATACTTAGTTAAGAAGAATTTAAGTAAGAGGTGATTCTCCATGAGTATAATATATATACTAACTACCTATCTTAGGTTCTCTAGGAGGTTGCAGCAGCTCAGCAACCCATCATAATATCTGGTTCAACGGAGGTTGATGGGCATATGTTTTATACTGGACTAAAGCAACTGGAACCTTCTTTAGAGACTCAGCCGGATTTACAATTCTTGATATGTCCTTCCAATTATCTTATACAACATACTCTCTTTCTATCCAAGGATATGTCAACCAAGACTAGCAACTTTTCGATTAATATACGGATTTTAGGCGAACTGCTCGATATGTGCTACATCCGAGAGGCGTCTGACCGCCGTGATAAAGTCCTTGCTCTCCTGGGCATGGCCTCTGCGGCCTCTGATAACTATAGCATCAATGCTTTATCTGCTCACTGTGAAATTACTGAGGAAGCGCTTCTCAAACAAGTTATTACGTTTATTTTAAATAGGCTTGAAATTTTAATAACTTGGAATAATAAAGAGATAGATATAAGCAAGAATAAAGGCTGCATTCCATGTTCTCAGAGCAGTGTCTTCAGTGAAAAGCGCTGGCATCTGGGACACAAGCAAGAAATAAGCATCACTTTGACAACTGGTACGCGGATGGAAGGAGAGGGCGCTTACTGGCCAGCACTTTTAGACTCAGTGGATATGACCTCGTGACTTTCTCCTTTTCTTGGATTTGGGGTCAATCATTGACGAATTCGACGGATGACAGAAACCACATGAAGTAATCTTTATGGATAGTCAAGCACCACAGTATGCAAAGGCGCAGCTTGGGACTGATCTAATCAAAAGATTATGGCTTATGAACATCGGGTTAATATTACACGACCGTACAGAGTTCGAGAAAGTAAATGTGTAGATTCGAAAAGAATGGAGAGCTGTTATGCAGAATACCAGAACAACTACCCAACTATTTCGGTGGCTACAAAAGACCTAGCACTCATTTATGAGGGCCTAGGGCTTAATAGTGAGAAGAAACAAATATTGACAAGCTTATTCAGTGGAACAAGAGAGTATGTCCAACTCAACGAAGAATGCTCGAAACGTCTTGCGGGATCATTTGATTGTGAAGTGCTGGCACCTTTCTTCAACAGGGCCCGTGATAACATTGAAGATACAAATGACAGAAGCTATTGTTGAAGCAGCGGCTTCACATGCAAAGTCTAATATCATAAAGCTTATAATTGGCCGACAAAGCAATAAACCGCCTGTAAAAACAAAGGCAATGATAAATGCAGCTGCAAATGTGCAATATGGACCAGAAATATGCAAGCTAATCCTCGGCGACGAAGTTGAGATTACACAGGATGTAATAAGAATAGCATACCAAAATCGATTTAACGGCGATGAAGTCCTAACAGAGTTATTTTCGCAACAAGATCATAGATTGTCATTTTTACAAGGTACAGAGAAGTTATTTGCTCCATGCAGATATGGGAGTTTAGGGGATTTGGTGGGACAATGTTTTATTTGGAAAATGGAAAAAAAGGAATTTAAATTAAAGAAACAGTTTTTTATTATGATATCGATCTTTAAATGGATAAATGGCGAAAGTTATAATTATTATTTAATTAATACGATAATCTCTCTGCCAGTAGTTGTCGATTCTAAACCCATCACTCATAATTTTTCTCTATTAGTAAAGAAGAAAAATTGGCAAACTCGAAGTGGTTACCGTTGTTGTTATTATCCTCCTTAGTTCACTCAGGGCGTGTTTCATTGTTAATTTTTTTCAACACCAGCCCGTCACTCTCGGAACTCATGTGTTTTTGCTGACTGTTACTTATATCGCTCCGATATCCCTACTTCAGAAGACAAACTTCTGAGGTCCCTACATCTAGTTCCGCAACTTTTTGTTGGAAAGTGGAATCGCAAGAATAATCCCTTATGGGCTCATAGGAAAATGGGCATCCTCACGCTGAAATCGCATGTAACTGTCTGCGTTTGCGGGATACCTAGGGCAAGATGCTTGTGAGATGTTGTCCCCTGTAATGTTGACGGAGAAGATAATCCGTACGCTTTCCTCTGAGCTTTACTTTTACTATCTCTACTGTGTCAACCATTTTCAACAGGCAAGATGGAAGCTTCTTGGAAAATATAAATCCGTGAAGTATTACAGTACAATTTCCTGAAGGGCTGGATGCACTTTGACTCGTGAGGGGATGCTTGGGAGTTGTCGACGTTATCAACACCATGGGACCAATTACAAAGGAAGATCGTAGGCAAAAATCTCCTGCCTATGACGGAACTTGCTGACTTTGTTTAGAGCAGCCACAAGCAAGCTTGATGCCGTCTGTATTTTGGAATGATGCTCGTTGCTCTATCATTTGGGGCTTCTCCCGCAACGAATGGTGATCGTTTCAAATATATTCTTCTCTGCAAACCTTTGCATCGGAGGAGCACGAGCAGAGTACGCCTTATCTTTCAAGATTAGCTAACTCTTTAGCTGCCCTTCCATCCAAAAACTGCCCCAGCCTGGGGTTCATGTGTGGAAACTCTACACGATCATGAGGGCACGAGGGCTCAATGGTGTCTATTGCGTATTCCCACATGACCCAAAACCTTCAATCTCCGGATTCGCGGATACAGCAACTCGACTCTGGCTCGCCCAAAGCGGATATATCTTCAGGGGCTGAGAGAACATGGCTGGAGGTTGTTATGGATTTATTCTCATAAATTTCACTTCACATAACATTCAGCTCATGCGACAACACAATAAACATTTGGGGTATTGACACACCTAGCTGCGTACGTATTCTCGAAGGTGACTGTGACAGCGTTAAGTCAGAAGCTTCTCTGCATGACTGTATAACTATCGTGTCTAGAAACAATGGTGAAGACGATCCATGTGTAGGATATACCTATGGATGGGTGTCTGCAGCAGCTGATGGATCATGGTCAGTCAAGTCTGGCCATGGATATCTCGTCCAATTCTGTCCTTGCAATTTACGCCCCTTCCGAGGGTTTCTGAATTCAAGACTTTAAACGCAGTCACCTGCAAAGGGAGTCTTGCACATAGCAGTGACACCTATTCTGCTACTGTTTCGCTGTGTAACGGTGTCTTGTCTAGTTTGTTAATACCGGCGAGTGCTTTCATGGGCCCCAAGTTCATAAAATCTCCGGTCTCGATAGACTAGATGACGAGGACTGGTCATTTTCACGAATCTCGTCGCTTGATGCGCGCCACCGGCTAGTAACATTCATCTTTGGTGAGTATAGCATTCTTTGGGTTATGTATGGCGTTGTCAAACTTATCTCCTTGTCTCCAGGGTCCGCTCTTATATATTGTGTATAAAGCGTGGGATCTTGGCTAGAAATCATCCGTGTGAAATCTAGATACTAGATTCTCTGCCGGAATAATAGCAATGTCTTCTCAAAAAGCATAGATCAGTATCTTTTGGTAACCGCTTATGGCCAATCCATTCAAGATGCTATCTAGTACACATTTCACAGGTTGCTGCGTCAGTAGAAGACGCTGCGCCCAAGTTAGGCGAATTCATGTAATAAAATCACATCAAGTGAAATCCTCAAAGATGCCTACTATTCGCTAACATTTTTGGAAAATGAAATGTCCTCGTCTCTCTTTGTTGTGGGTTCAAGACGCACAATTGACGTTTTACAGGTAAGCCCGCTCTACCGTGGAGGGACCAAACAATTGTTTTAACCATTTCTAGCCAATAGTGAAGTAATACGTCTAATTTTGTTTTATTTTATTTATTCTCATTTTATTTTCAGCATCTCTCTTAAATCCCTTTATCCCCCTTTTGTCGTGCAACAACCCCCCGTGTTCAATTACCACATGCAGCTAATCCGAGGCTTCTTGTCTACCCCACGGAAGTGGGACACCTTCTTTCCCCATCCCGCCGCAAACCGTTTGGCGGGGTTGCGAAATCAGCCCCTCTCGGTAGCGATTCCGCCGAACCAGATGGAACTGTGAGGATCAACGCTACCTTGCCTCGCCGTCCAATGTACAGGTCTCTGGTAGCACTTGTTCCAAATCTAACCAGCAAATTCCAGCAAAGGCTGTCCTCTCAATCCATCCGCCGTCTCTCAACCGCAGCTATGGTGAAAGCCAATACGACGGAGAGGCTTGCTCAGCTCAGAGCTCTGATGAAGGAGCACAACGTCCAAGTATATGGTAAAGAGATGCGCCGTACATTTGCACATTACCACACGAACTAACGTTTATATCTTTGCAGTCGTGCCCTCAGAAGATAGCCACAGTTCCGAATACATTGCCTCCTGCGACGCCCGGCGAGAGTTCATCAGCGGCTTCACTGGTTCTGCCGGCTGCGCGGTCATCACGGAAACAGCTGCGGCCCTTGCGACGGATGGCCGTTACTTCAACCAGGCTGCTCAGCAACTAGATGACAACTGGACGCTGTTGAAGCAGGGCCTCCAGGATGTCCCTACATGGCAAGAATGGGCTGCTGAGCAGTCCGCCGGAGGCAAGAAGGTTGCCGTCGACTCGACCTTGATCACAGGCTCTGCAGCAAAGAAGCTCGCAGAGAAAATCCGCAAGAGCGGCGGGTCTGACTTGGTTCCCCTTGACGTCAACTTGGTGGATGCGGTCTGGGGCGGAGAGAGGCCCGCGCGACCTCAGCAGCGCATCACCGTGCTATCTGAGAAGTTCGCTGGCAAATCAGTACAGGCCAAGCTATCCGACCTCATTTCCGAGCTTGAGAAGAAGAAATCGCCCGGAGTGTTCATTTCGATGCTTGATGAGGTAGCGTGGCTGTTTAACTTGCGCGGCAACGATATCCCTTACAACCCCGTCTTCTTCTCGTACGCGGTTATCACGCCAAAGGGGGCAGCATTGTACGTGGACGAGTCTAAGCTGGATGAAGAGTGTCGTGAGCACTTGGCTAAATTCGACGTTGCCATCAAGCCATACGACGCCTTCTTCCGCGATGCGGAACAGCTTCACCAGCAGTTTGTTGCCTCTACTCAGGGCGCGGAGAGCGGTAACGCAGGCAGCTTCCTCATGTCTAATAAGGGCTCTTGGGCTTTGAAGAGAGCACTGGGTGGTGACTCAGGAGTTGAAGAGATCCGCAGCCCAGTTGGGGATTCCAAAGCAGTCAAGAATGAGACCGAAATGGAGGGAATGCGAGCGTGCCACATCCGAGACGGTGCTGCTCTGATTGAGTATTTCGCATGGCTCGAGGACCAGCTCATCAACAAAAAGGCTGTGCTTGACGAAGTAGAGGCTGCTGACAAATTGGAAGCATTGCGATCCAAGCATGAGCACTTTGTCGGACTATCATTCCCGACCATCTCATCAACTGGTGCAAAGTGAGTTTACCATTCTCTTTGTATCACTTTTAGGATATCCCCAGCAGTAGTCATATACTGACAAACGTATATAGCGCGGCTGTTATTCATTATGGCCCCGAACGTGGAAATTGCGCTACCATTGACCCAAATGCCATCTACCTATGCGATTCAGGAGCGCAGTTTTTGGACGGCACAACTGATACGACACGGACGCTGCATTTTGGAGAGCCTACAGATGCCGAGAGAGAGGCTTACACACTAGTTCTAAAGGGTAACATTGCCTTGGATCTAGCCGTCTTCCCCAAGGGAACGACTGGGTTTGCTCTTGATTCTCTAGCTAGGCAGCATCTCTGGGTAAGTTGACAGATTCTAGCAAGTATTCGCTCTACTAACTTGCAGCAGAGTACTGGATTAGACTATCGACATGGTACCGGCCATGGCGTTGGATCTTTCTTGAATGTCCACGAGGGCCCCATCGGTATTGGAACCCGAATTCAGTACACTGAAGTTCCATTGGCTCCTGGAAATGTCATTTCAAACGAACCAGGATATTATGAAGATGGCCGTTTCGGAATTCGAATCGAAAACATCGTCATGGTCAAGGAGGTTAAGACAAAGTATTCCTTCGGCGACAAGCCATTCCTAGGGTTTGAGCATGTGACCATGGTCCCCTACTGCAGGAATCTGATAGACGAGAGCATGCTCACGGCCGCTGAGAAGGCATGGTTGAATGCGTCTAACGCAGAAATATTGGAGAAGACCAAGGGGTTCTTCGAGGATGATGCTCTTACGACAGCGTGGTTGACAAGGGAAACCCGGCACATTGATTAGGAGTAGTCCTCTTAAAACAGTCAAAGAGATGAGAGAGAAAAAAAAAATAAGAAACAAAAGGAACTTTCATCTTAGAGGCGTACAAATGCCGCCAAGATGAAGGTTAAGCCGAAAGATGCTACAAACCAGCCATTTCCTGTGCCATATTTCAAGAGGGGGATCTTATCCGTAAGAAGCTTGTGAGAGTGAACAATGCTCGGTAGGCCTAGCCCATATGAGGAGGCGAGCTTGATTGTGTTAAAACATTGTCAAGGAAGACACTAGGCGTAGGAGTTGTGACAGTCACGTAAGCACTTACATGGTAAAATGCCGCCATCACTCCACCAATGAATACAAGGGTACGGGAGAAGAAAGAAACGAGGAGACCGGTACCGAATCCTAAGTGACGGCATGAGAATCAATTCGTTCTTCGTTGAGAGTGGCGAATAACAATAGCCGAGTGGAAAGTCTGCATTAGATGGTTTACTGACCGACAATGCTGCCAGCGGATATCTGCCGGATGATGCGAGGCGAGAGTAATGGCTCTGAAGGATTGGCTGCGGGCTGACTCGCCGGGGGAGGCGACTTTTGGTTTTGGCGGGAGTCGAAGCGAACGGGGGAATTGGTTGCAAAGGCTCCGTAACAGACGCCGGTGCTGATGGTTCCAAGGAGGAGCCTCCTGGAATAGCGGAGAGCGGGAAGTTGCCTTGTGATCATGTTTGAACGAGAACGACGGTTGAGTTTGTGTTGGTTGTTGAAGAAGGTAAGGCAGTCCACTTTGTATTCTGACTGAGTCCAAGTTAGGTCAGCTCAAGTCCCATTGGTGGATCACTTGTCAGAACCTGGTACCAGGTGAGAGCTTAGGTCCCCTCTAGAGTATGACGTATTTTCTGAAGGAGGGGCTTGCGTGGGGTCAGTCAGAATCCTAGACAGTTCCTGGATGATAACATAATCGGACACTTGAACCACAATTGGGACGAAGCTACTCTGTATGCAGCGCAAGAATCCAATCATGTTACATGGATTTAGAAGCGCCAGTTTCTGCACATTTGAAGCTAGATTTCGCCATTCCGGTCCCCCAACAGTTGATGCAGCTCCATATAGTTTCCCAGTATTTGATACCTGTTCATCTCGCCCTTAGCATGTGATTGATTAGTCTTCACAGCCAGGGCCTGCTCCGCCGCCCACTGTCAAGAACACCGATAGTTGGATGTTGGACCACTCTAGGGCTTATTTCTCCTCTTTTTCCTTTTGCAACAGAAATCCCAATCATCACGGCAAAAAGAGTACATGTAGTGTGATTTGAAGCTCAACAGATGTACTTGCTGAAATGTACCTGTAAGCTTGCCTCTTGGGGGGCGCGCGTTGGCTGGTGGGGCGCTCTGATTCGATGATTCCGTCCTTAAATAATTGACGTTGTTTTTTCGCCATGACATGACGCTGCAATCTTTCAACCTCCCAGAAACCCCTCATAAACGTAGACAAAAAGCCCAGCCGTTCAAGATGAAGGCCTACATGTACGACAACCTGCCGGTAAGCCTCCCAACCAGCCGGTCTCGTCGCTGTGCGGCTCTGTTGCTAACGCGGGCATCGCAACTGCAAAGGGCGACCAGCGTCTGCCTCACGATTCCGGCCGTGAGGTGACTGCGGATGCGCTGGCCAACCTGGGCGTGCTGTACCACCACCTGCCCGCGACCAGCGAGGTGGACGTCCTGGCTGCCAACCGCGGCTACAAGAACCGCGACGAGATTGTCGTGTCGCCGGAGAAGATGGGCGACGTGTACGAGGACAAGGTCAAGATGTTCTTCAACGAGCACCTGCACGAGGACGAGGAGATTCGCTACATCCGCGGCGGCCAGGGCTACTTTGACGTGCGCAACCAGGGCGACGAGTGGGTGCGCATTCAGCTGGAAAAGGACGACCTCATCATCCTTCCCGCGGGCATCTTTCACCGGTTTACTACTGATGAGTCCAACGTGAGAAATTTTCTTTCTTTTCTTCTTACTTCTTTTAAAGTTCTCTTCCTCTGTCTTTCATCTCATATGCCGTGTTTCGTTTATTACTCATCAACCAAACCATCAACACCAACTAACCCGCTGTCTATTGATTAGTATGTGCATGCCATGAGACTCTTCAAGGATGAGCCAAAGTGGACTCCTCTGAACCGTGCTCCGGAGCTGGACGGCAACGAAATTCGTAAGGAGTATGTCAGCCAGTATCTCAACTAAGAAAGGCCGGTTCGGGGTAGCCGAGAAAAGAATGAACGTAAAAAAAAAAAAAAGCCACATAAAATAAATAGCACTGGGTAGTTTAGCATCTTAGCTGTCAGATGAAAGAAATATGAAGCCATTTACTGAGTCATTACTTGAAACATGAAAAAAGAATCAATGTGAAACGCCATCATCCTAAAGCACTAAATAAACTAAACATGTCACCAAGGAGCTGCCTTGTAAACTTAGCAAGATTCCTCAACACCATGTCGTTTGGTGGCAACAAGGCCGAAGCAACGGCTAACCCGGAGGAACGAAAAAAAAAAAAAAAAAAAAGGCTGAACTGACTGACGACGGACCTGTTCGGATGGAACCTAATCAATAGCCCCCCTTGGCGGTGTGTCTTATAAAACAGACAAGGCTGCATCGGCATCTCGCCTTTCCCTTCAGCTCAACGCCTCGAGAAATGACACTTTCGCTATTCACACAGTATCGCCCGACGTCTATGCCTTGTTCCGGCGAGACGCGGCTGCTGCACTGCCAAGAGGCGTAGAGAACTCAGACTCAAACCTGCTTCAAAAGCCTTGAGGGGGGAAGAATATTGGGATTGTGTCGAAAGAGATCATGGAGAACCGCAGCGAGTCGGGCGAAGCGTCGCGTCCGCGACTGCAGCTGCCGGCGAGCTGCGATCCGCATGTGCCCAACGGGCCGACAAAGCAGCTGGTTTGGATTGTTTGTCCTTCCTTTCTCTCCCTTTGTATCAAAATTACAAAACAATCTTCTCTTCAAAATTGAAATTCCCCCCAAAATGACTGATTCGTCGTGATTCTCAATTCAGATCTTTGGCGGCACCGGTCACATGGGCCGGTCGCTGGTCAAATCCGCCCTCTCGCACGGCGATCTCGTCTGCTCCGTCGGCCGCGTCTTCGAGTCGCGGCCCGAGGACATGCAGGGCATCCACGAGAACTGCCTGGGCCTGCTGTGCGACGTGCGCTCGCGCGAGTCCGTCAACCGCGTCTTCCGGCAGGTCATGGACCGCTTCGGCCGCGTCGACGTCGTGGCCAACTGCTCGGGCTACGGCGTCATCGGCGCCTGCGAGGACCAGGACGAGCACGACCTGCGCAACCAGTTTGAGACAAACTTCATGGGCACGCTGCACATCATCCACGCCACGCTGCCCTACTTCCGTCGCCAGCAGGCCGGCCGCTACCTCATCTTCAGCTCAACGTCCGGCGCCCTGGGAGTCCCCGGATTAGGGCCCTATTGCGCCTCCAAGTATGCCGTCGAGGGCCTCATCGAGGCGCTGCTGTACGAGACGGACGCCTTCCACGTCAAGGCGACGCTGATCGAGCCCGGCCTGGTGCGCCGCGACGAGCCCGACTCGGACACCAACCCGCTGCCGACCTGGGGCCATTTCTTCATCAAGCCGCCCAGCGAGCATTATTCGACCTCGACATCGCCGGCCCTCCACGCAAAGCGCATGGTGCAGTGGCTGGGCGATCGCCAGCCCACCAGCGCCGTCAAATGTGCTGAATTGGTCTGGCAGCTGGGCCACTGCTCATATCCGCCATTGCGGCTGCTGCTGGGCAGCTACGCCATTGAGAGTATTAGAGACCGCATGCGATCCATTACCGAGGAGCTCGAGGACTGGAAGCACCTCAATTTTGCGACGGTGCCGGACTCGGATCAGGGCAACGACGAGATGGAAGTCACTGCTGACTCTTCTGCAGCTGGGTGAAGGCGCAAGTTTATGAGTCTTTCTGTCTATCTTTACACGGTGTTCTTCATTTTCTTTGGAGTCTGGATTCTGGATTGCAGGTTTTATTTCACTTTGCTTCACTTTGCTTTGCTTCTCTTATCAAAAAATAGTCTTGTCTACCTTACCTTGTATATAACAACTGTAACTGTATACCCTCTCACAACTGCTCGTACCTACATAGCAATTGAAGCACCAAAACAGGTACCCAATTTAAACAATTTTAGCACCCGTTTAAGCCAGCAGAATGCTGTAGCTTAAACTCACTAGCGCCGATACGGAAATTCTGCTCCCGAAATCATGCAACGCCTGAAACTTTTTTTCCACTTCAGTCCATTCATTCATTCTGTTTGCTGCCAATGAGATGAAATAGAGGCAACTAACAGAGAAAGAAGAAAAAAGGAAAAAGAAAAAAAAGAGAAAAAAAGAAAAAAAAGAATTGAGTTACTGGCGGCATAGATGCAACGACTCACCGGAGCAAAGCCATCTTCTCTACGGCCTCGCGTCGTCTTCTCCGGCATCCAGCCCACCGGAGTGCCGCATCTGGGCAACTATGTCGGAGCTCTGAGGCAATGGGTCAATCTGCAGCGCGACGAGCAACCCTCGACCAAGCTGATCTACTCCATCGTTGACCTCCATGCCATCACCGTGCCGCAGAAGCCCGAGACGCTGAGGCAGCGCAAGAGAGAAGTCCTGGCCGCCCTCCTTGCCATTGGCCTGGATCCCGAGCGATGCACCATCTTCTACCAGTCTTCCGTTGGTTTTTCTTTTCCTCCCCTGAGCCCAAAGCGTTGCCGTGAATCATAAAATAACGTTTGCCTGTAGGTGCCGGCTCATTCTGAGCTCATGTGGATTCTTGCTTGTACTGCCTCTGTAGGATATCTATCGAGAATGACACAGTGGAAGGTATATAGAAACTCAAACTGGCCTTCAAACAAAGTTCCCTGTTGACATTGAACCCGCCTCAGAGCAAACTCAGCCTGGCCTCATCCTCAACGCTGGAAAATAAGTCTGTCGGCTCCCGGCTGAAGCTAGGCTTATTCTCGTACCCCGTGCTGCAGGCCGCCGACATCCTCGTCCATCGGTAAGCCTGGCAATATATGTCTCTTCCAGATCAGATCAAAACAATTGCTGATGCGTTTTACCCCAAGGGCAACTCATGTGCCCGTCGGCCATGACCAGCAGCAACACCTGGAGTTTGCGCGTGAATGTGTCACAAACTTTAACCATGCGTACGGAAACCATCTCGTCCACCCGGAAACCATCGTCTGTATGCTTGATGCCCATCACCCCTTTCCCCTTAAGCTACAGCCAGCTTACTGAAAAAACAGCCCCTGCCCAACGCATCATGTCCTTGACGGAACCCACAAGTAAAATGTCCAAATCTCACGAAGCACAGCGGTCCAGAATCTTAATCACCGATTCGCCGCAGGACATTCGCTCCAAGATTGCCACCGCCCTGACAGACTCAACCCCAGGAATCTCCTATGATCCCGCTACACGCCCAGGTATCTCCAACTTGCTGGAAATATTCTCAGTCTTTGATACAGAAAGGCGCAGTCCGGCTCAGTTAGCTGAAGCATATGCTGATGCATCACCCAAAATCTTTAAAGAAGCAGTCGCAGATGCACTGTTGACTGGATTACAAGGCATTCGGGACCGATATCTCGATCTAAGTGCAAACGATTCGTACCTTGACAAGATAGAGCAACACGGAGCACGCAAAGCCCAGGAAAGTGCAAAGGAAACGATGGAGATCGTGAAAACTGCAGTTGGGCTGTAAAAAAGTCTTTCGTGGGCATCAGCGTCTTGAACTTTTGCACGTCATATATCCTTGTCCGTTAGTTGTAAGACCACCCTGTATAGTATAGGCATGTATGAGTATGATGATAGCAGTCGCCAATATTGATTTGGCCAGCCACACTCGGCACAGAACATAACATGGGGGTAAACATGTGATTGCATATCTATGGTATTGTGTATCTTTTGCTTCTCTTTCTATCCTGTCACGGAATCATGGCCAACCCAGGCCATTGTCGATTTATGATGCGTATGCAAAGTTGGCACCCCTCGCGGATAACCAGAAATCTCTGACGACCTGATTTGTCGTTCGAGAACCTCTAAGACTACAGATGAGTTAGCACAGCCGTTATGCATTGAATCTCATAAGGTAATATACCTGATTATTTTCTTCACAAAGAGCGACTTTTGCTCTGCAGAAACCTTTTCGCTCGGGAATGAAGGATGTTCCAGCCCGGACTGCAGCCAGTCTTTTGCCATTGGGTATCTGGTCACAAGCTTCCTCAAGGGTTCGCACAGTCGATCCAGCTCACTACGTAGGGCATTACCTCCAATGTTTCGGGCAAGGGATTGGCCAAGCAATGGCCCTAGAGTGTCCATAGCCCTCTGGAAAGTGTTCTGAAGCTCTTCTTCATCTCCTCGCGTGCCGACAAACGCAGTCTATCAACGTGTTAGTAAGCTGCAAGACGCCAGAATCATGCATGCCAGCGGGCTTCCAATAATTGCTTACCCAAAATTCAGCGGCAGCTGCCTTGGGCAACGGCTCCTTTCCATCCAAAACTTGCAATGTGAATAGGAAAAAGAACTCGATTGCGTCTGATGGTTGGAGCCCGATAAAAGTGCCAGGGCTCCTTGTCAGCAATCGGCTCACGAGATCAATGCCGTTCTGCACAAGTTCAGGCTCTGATCCAGGCTCTGCTCTTACATGTTAATACAGGGCGCTGTCATTTCGAGGTTAAATTAATGGAGCCTCTTACCGGGAAGCTGTTTTAGCAGCCCAATTACCCAAACGAGGACCTCTGAGAGTATCTTGTGATACTGGCCTATCGTGTGAGGAGAGAGGGAACTAACAAACGAACACGCCATGCTGACAATAATGCCAATTCTAGGTGTGTCTTTTGAATGTCCCACCAGAAAAGCTACTATATCATCAGGGGTGAGAACGAACGGCCCCGGCTCGGTTTCGGAGAAGCCGCTGCGAAGAACGCTGCATATTAGCTCCGTGACTTCTGAACTTCCCTTGAATACGTTCTGGATCTCGACGATGATGCCTATAACTTGTTTCTGCAGCTCAACCAGTTTAGGCGTCTGTACCTTCTGAGGTGAAACAGCCTCGAGATCAATAGAGAATTCCGGGGGTGACTGTAGGCCCTTTCCCATGCTTGCTAGACACCTCAGGGCCCTCAGAGCAATATGCAAGCCAATGTGCTCTTGAGGGGCGATATCAGGGCAAGGCATCTCCATTTGATGCGGCAATGCTTCATCATTGGTGATATTCAACAGTGTCATGGATTTTTGCACATCGTCTTGTATGAAAGCAAGTAGCCCTGAACAAGCGGCATACCTCTCGTCGTCTTCTGGATTAGCTTGAGCAATGGACGCAAGCGCACCAACAATCTTTTCACGAGAAATGCAATCAAGTGACGCTGTAGCAACCAACTTCTGATACTCGGCTAGTAGATTGTCCATTTCGGGATAGAGATGTAACCGACAAGATGAGCAGAGCCGATGGATGGACTTGGATGCTGGCAAGGCCATTGAGTGATCTGACACCTCTTTGAATAGAAGACTGAGCGCAGTTGGAAGAAGGTGGGTGTTTCTTTCAAAGTATTCTGTGTACTGCTCTATCAGGGTGAGGCAAGTCTGCCTTACTCGAGCCGGTATGTTTTTCTGACCACTTCGAAGTACTGAAAACAGTGGTGATGCAAAGACAGCAGCAAGGGAGCTATCACAGCGCGGGTCTTCTTGACTGCAGTCTGCCAAGCCTCCCAGGCAGAATATAGCCGACTCCAATTCCAGCCAGGAGGAATTTGCCAAGGTGGATAGTATCAATGATGAAAAAGTCTCGACAAGTTTCGGTCCAATCAAGACGTAGACGGCTTGTAGGAAATCCACCACATCTTTTCTGGCATCGTTGAACCCAACGCGATCAACCGAGTCCCATGAGTGAAATTCATCTGCTGGTGGATAGATGATCTTCTTCCATGCGTGTGACGTTGCTTGAAAGATGTATGGGATCATGATCGTGGTTAGTGAACTTGCCGAGGTTGATTCCATCTCCATATCTGACACAAATTCCGTGAATGTCGACCAAAACTCAATGGCGGGAACGAAAATCTTGTTCTCAGCAACGGGGTAGCCATCGGCCGCAAGCAGGCCGCATAATCTGGAGAGTATATTTCGGTTTTGGTCGTTGTCGTCTTGAATGAGAATTTGTATCCTGGCTTCACCAAAGGCGAGAAGCACGTATCCGAGCTGTGTTGCTTCAAAATCACCGTCACCTTGGATTAACTGGTCGTAAAGATTATGAAACCACGCCGTATCGAGGACGTTGGAAAGCGCCGTGTAGTGCTGTTCGGTGAAAAGAGAAGGCCAATTGAAGAGCACATCGATAAGTAGTTCCGCGGCTGCATTGTACAAGTCTTCCACCATCAGCGCGTTGATGGAGCCTCCGATAAGGGGACGCAGAGAGTCGGCAATGTAACTGTTTCGTGCTGATGTCTTTTGAGCAAAGTTCACCCAGGACTAGGAGACAGACATCTATTAGCTTCCCTGCATCGTTTGGTACGCTTAACCAGACATGTGGCCACCCACCTGAAGACACCTCAGCGCATCTTGTTTGACCTCCGGAGAAGTACCATCTCGGTTCATGCACATGGTGATGAGCGTTACAGAATCCGAAGTGTTTGCGAGAACCGAGTCGTATAGCCCAACGCTGGTTCAGGTTAGTGACGCTTGAACATAGCTACGGCGGGGGAGGGGAGTTGCGTACTTGCTTGCAGCGTTCAGGTCGATACGAGCAACATCTTCGAGAATGTTGCTAATCACCAAGATAGCCGCATGTAAGTGGACTCCCGTAAGGCTTTCTGATATGGCGTTAAAGTCCACAGACTCATCGATTGTACCAGGCTGCCAGGCTCGATTTGATGCCAGGCTAACCAGAAGATGAAAGATGTAGCGGCTGCATAGTCGGTGGAAATATAGGAAATAGGTCGACAAGGCAGATGAAAGCTTCCGTACAACGAGCGATCCCGTCTTTTGTTGCACGGCCCCAATGTACCATTCCAAGAGCGAGACGAGGAGTTCTGTGGCATCGCTATCGGTAAGAGACGCACTGGTCGAGGTCAGCCATGAAGTTCAGGCCACAATGGATCGAATGGCCAACATGCCTTTCGGTATTCAGCTTAACGATGATGGTGAGCGCGCCGAAAAACTTGACTTTCTCGTCCGGGCGCCCAAGCAGGTGGTGGGCGAGCGACCATGCTTGTGGTGAACCTTGTAACCGTGATAACGTTGCCTGCGTCTTGGAAATCGTGCTGGGTGAAGCTGGTTCATAGAGAGAAAGAATCAGCTTTGCCACAATTAGCAGTGATGCTTTTAACGAATACCAACCTTCACAGGAAGAGGGCTACAAGGACTAACCGATTCAACTTGCTCGACTTCAGAGGGAAGAAGCTCATCTTGCATCGTGACGGATTTCTGGCGAGGCCACACGGAGAAAAGTTCCACACGGTTCACCAGGCCACGATTGGGTAGCTAGCGGCGCGGAAGTATCATGGCACACAGGTTTCTGCGCAAATATGACCGAGATTGAATGATATCAACTGGCGCGAAGCTCCGATATTGCACGGCAAGCGATTTACCTCCTCGCTATCATAAGCTCCATGATCTAACGTCACATGTAGCCTAGTAAATATTTACTACCCGGAAAAGAAATATTACATAAGCGGCGAGGAATGTTTTACCCCAGTTAAGTTTAGCAATTCTTTAATCATTATATATTTTTTCTTTAATATAGCAGCTACTTTATTTTATAATACTTTCTCTACGATTAGTTATGTTTTGCATTATTGAATATTTTGAATTTATTTTACCAAACATAATGGCTTTGAGTTATGAAGTTATTTTTAGTTGTTTATTTTCTCTTGTTTCTTCTTGTAGTCTATATTCAGTATGTGGTCCTTGGCCTCTTGGTAGAGCACATTTCGTTAATTCTTATTTACACTTGTTTGCTAGGCTGTGGTTTAATCTAGCGGGGTGCCCTGTGTGTGGACACCAAAATAGGAAAGACTCGCTTTCGTCGTTGATTACAGCACGTTTACGGCAGCGACATCTCGTCCCGCTGCACCCACCATATCGTCAATATCCGTGGTGGAATCTTCTGTTCTGCGGCCCTCGAATAACCTCCTCCACCAGCTTGGGGGGTCTAATGGCTTGGAGCCATTGTGCAGCGGTGGGTATACGTCGTTGAAGAAGTACCAAATGTGGCCAATGACGACACCCATGATCTCGTCCCTGGGGATCGTGCCGTGCATAAACAAGCTGAAGGCCATCAGCACCCACGGCAGGTACGGAGCCGTGAACACGAGCAGGCCAAGGAAGCTGAGTCTGGTGTCGGGGTTACGGCGAGACCAGATGTAAACGAGGGTAGAGGAGAGAGGGTGCCCGAGGAATGGCATTGAAACCAGTGGCGACAGTACGATGAGGCTCGCCATTGCGTAGACGAGGAGCCATGAAAAATATGCGGCCGATCTACCTGATGACTCCTCAAGCAGCCGTGCGTAGCGTTGTAGGAAGTATATGTGAAAGAGTAGGTCGAGTGAAAACGGACCGAAGTAGAGAAACGTTGTCAACAGTCGCCAGTACTGCAAGTTGCATCATCAGTTAGGACATGCGAAGAAGAGTAGCGAATGGAGGCGCGACCAACCTGTGACTTGATAAAGACGGCTCTGAAGCTATAGAATAGCTGAAACGGCGTCACCATATGGCACTGGACGAGGGCGCTTGTCAAGACAGTCGCCGCTGTCCACCATCGCGTGCACACAGGCATCTCCCAGAACCATGCTTCCAGTGGGAGGCGATCGCCGCCCATGACTTGATCCATAGCGAACGACTTGAATGATGGCCGCAATCGATGTTGAACTCGTCGGCGATGCGATTGTCGGATGCAAATAAAAAGGGCTGAGGTGGCCTTTGACAGGCAACATAAGCCGGCTGTACATTAAGTTACCTGGCATGCGATGTCATGTTGCACCATTGCCACATCTGTTAGTTGGGATCGAGGCATTAGTAAGTTGAAGATCCACAGTTGATTAGCCAAATTGATGAGACCACCGTGTTAATATTCCTGCTGCACGTGCGCTGCGTTGCGCCTGTAAATCCGGGTATTCTGTGTACATCGTGGAAACCGCTTTGTATCTGATCACAAAATAATAAATTAAACCAATGAGAATATTTGTATTTGTACTGTACACATCACTTTATATACTCAAAAAGCAAGATATCTCTTGGTTAATTCTACGGCATACTAAACGACCTTGGTCGCGGAAGCATCGAGGAAGGACAACAGCTATCCATTTATAGACATTTACTTTCCTAAAGTCGCCTAGTTGCCTCTTCAACATCTTGCGCCTGCTAAGATTAGTACAGTGTACTCAATAGGTAGTCGCAGCTAATGCGGAGAAGGCGGTTTATACCAGGCTTGCCAGGGATGGAGTCAACCGCCTAGCAGGATTCCAGACAAGTACTTGATATTGCCACTGCTTGACCTTGAATAACCTCCAGGTGCCTTTTTATCAATGACTTACCTCACATCTTACCATGACCCTCCCCTCGTGTATTTGGCACGCTGGTCTTACTCTTCTTCTCCTATCAAGCGGCCTTGTGCAGGCTAACTCGAAAGCCTCTCCCCAGAGTGCGCCTGGCCAATGCGACGCTCGTACCATCAACTACATCACGCACGCGCTGCCGTCGCTATGCCTCAAGACATCATGGACGGACTCAATACCGGCCCCGACCAAGATTTCCATCACAGGCGACTACTATGATGCTGCCGAGCGTGTTACACAACCCCTTGTGGAGGAGGAGGAGGCCTCGCCATCTGCAGCGACCCAAAACGACACGTTGACGAAGACATCTACGGGCGATACCTTTACGACGCCTTTCATGTCATTTGAGGACTGGAAGGAGATGATGCTAAAGGAAACTGGACAAGACCCTCAAGACTTGCACCTTCGGAACTCAAGCGGGCGTCAGAAAGGAGACCGACCATCCCACGACGTGGAAGAGGGACTGGGTGAAGAAGGAGAAATATCCCTGACCTTTGATGATTACGGCGATGGAGAAGGAACTCGAACTGGAACCTATGCGGAACCGGCAAACTCGAATAAGGGCGATGATGTTGACGAGGCTCTTGTGTCCAAAGACGGGAAAGCGCCCATCTACCGAAGCAAAGACGCTGGACAAACTTGCAAGGAGCGCTTCTCATACTCGTCCTTCGATGCCGGCGCCACCGTTTTGAAAGCCGGCCCACAAGCCAAAAATGCCAAAGCAATTCTGGTGGAAAACAAGGACTCTTACATGCTACTTGAATGCGCCGCGCAAAACAAGTATGTCATCGTCGAGCTCAGCGACGATATCCTCATCGACACAATCGTCATCGCCAATTTTGAATTCTTCTCTAGCATGGTTCGTCATTTTAGGGTCAGCGTGAGTGACAGATATCCCGTGAAAATGGATAAGTGGAGGGAGATTGGAATATTCGAAGCCGCAAACTCTCGTGACATACAGGCGTTCCTTGTACAGAACCCTCAGATCTGGGCGAAATATATCAGGCTTGAGTTCATTACACATTACGGAAACGAGTATTACTGCCCAGTTTCGTTACTACGAGTACATGGCTCGAGAATGCTCGACTCTTGGAAAGATAGTGAGACGGGTCGAGAAGATGACGCTCATGAAGAGGAGGAGGAGGTTGAGGAGGAAGAGGTCCTCTCGGTTCCCGCTGCTACTGTTTTACCACCATCCGCGGCTGTTGAAACCACTGTCGAGACCAAAAGTGACGAGGAGACTATTCCCCCTCCCGTCAGCACCTCTCTGCCACCATTAGACGAAGACCCCTTCTACCTTTTGACAGCGACATGCGCTGCGTCTCCAACGGTGGCAGCTGATGGAACACCGGGGAATCTGAGCTCCGCAACCGCTAGTGAGGGGGTCAAACCTCAGAGTAAAGACGGTGCCGTGGAATCAGACCCTGCATCTCCGGATTCTCCAAGATCAAACGCTACGCAAGCGCGTGATCCTTCTACTACACCGCCGTTGAAACAAACGGACCCTTCCAAACCGGCTGTCGAGAATGCCCAAGTCCCGGTAGAGCCTGTAGACTCTACAGGGACAGGCTCCGGGACAAACTCAGGGACAGGCTCCGGGACAGGAAAACCTCGAAGTACCTCAAGCGCCTCCGCTGCTACGCCAACCGTGCAGGGCAGCTTCTTCAACTCCATCACCAAGCGCCTACAGCAGGTCGAGTCCAATCTCACACTGTCTCTCAAATACGTCGAGGACCAATCGCGGCTCATGCAGGATGCGCTGCAGAAAACCGAACAGAAGCAAGTATCTAAGCTCACTCGTTTCCTCGGAGATCTAAACTCCACCGTCCTCGCTGAAATGCGCAATGTGCGTGAGCAGTACGAACAGATTTGGCAATCCACCGTCCTAGCTCTCGAAAGTCAACGGGAGCAGTCCGAGCGTGACATTGTCGCGCTGAGCACAAGACTGAACCTGCTGGCCGACGAAGTTGTCTTCCAGAAGCGCATGGCCATTGTCCAGGCCATCCTATTACTCTCTTGCTTGTTCCTCGTCATTTTCTCTAGGGGGGTCCCCATTCCTTATCTTGCCGCCTTACAGGAACAAGCTGCCGGGATTGCATATACCTCCCCGCCGCCGTATTCTGGCCATGGATCTCATGGCTTCTATAAACCTGATCCGGGTGTCCAAGCAGACGAACAACCGGTGCCGAGCCATATTCCAGTAGTCAGTGTCTCTTCATTTGAAGCTGCACCAAACGTACCGAGTAAACGGATGACGTTCTCCTCCCTAGAGACGACCGAATCCCACCAGCCAATTCGTGAAGCCGGTCAAAAGGAGCTTCCACGGCGGCATCCCTCACTTGGAACGCCAGGATCTCAAAATGATGACAATTATTCAGACATACACCATCTAGATCACGAGTCACGCTTTCATCCCCTCCGCCATCCAGCTCCAAACCATCTAAACACACCCCGAAAACCCCTTCCTTCTCTCCCTGAACATTTGGTATCGAATCAGGACTCATAACATAAGGTAGATATTTCTAGTAACAGGTACCAGTTACTTGGTTAGCGGTCGATGCTCCCATGAGCGCTGTATTAGTTAGTGCTACTGGGATTTTAGATGTCAGCCTCATGGCAATGATATTAAGCGTTTTGACTTTCTCGAACAAAATGTGTATTGAACTATGAACGGACCCTGTTCTCTGTCTGTCAAACTACGTGTTCTCATCTCACCACGTGAAAAATCATCGTTATCAACCGAAATATAGCAATTGCGTTGTGCGTAAAGAGAAAAAAAGAGGGGGAAAACAATCATCACAAATGGAATCAGTAAACTTCAATGTCGCAAAATAGTCGAGAGTCCTTTGCCAATAAAGGGCAAGTTAGTTCGTCATAGCTTCACTCACTGGGTCGGGCTGCCGTAAAGATGCTGAATGGCCGTCTCATAGTCGTACTCCTCAAGGGCTGCAAGACGAGTGCCTCGGTCATATTGGGATCGTCGGCGCCGTTGCTCATCACGGAAATGCTGTCCAGCATTTGGCGTGAATAGTCCTGGAAGGAGTCAGTTAAAATTACTTCGAAACAGGCACAAGTGTGTAACTCACCAACATGCTCAGCATTTTCGCAGCTTCGCTTCATCTTTGACTGGTTGTCAGGTTCGGGAAACGGCTCTTCCTGTCCGGCAAGGTCTGGCATTGGTCCATTAGAGGTATAATAAAGCTTGTCTTAGTTAGCCTTTGTCTCACAGAGTGACATTCTAGGGAAAGTTTCGGCAATTGCTTACCTTGGGGCGGTAGTGCGGAGCCTCCAACATCACAGAACTGTTTCGAAACTTCTGCACCAAGCAGTCCTTTCCCTGTATAGCTGCACGGTTTGGTCAGCATAACGAGTCACAAGACACTACTGAGGCCGACTTACTGGCATATGAGATCTCTGCCACCTTGTCGCTTTTGAAGCAGTTCCTATATCAAGTGTCAATGTGTTAGGAAATCAGTAAAATACCAATGAGGAAGCATACCAGCGTTGGTTTCCGCGAGCGTTGACAAACTAAGTCAATGAAGTCAGTACCAGCTCTCACGAAATCCACTCATTGTGTTCAAGTTGTACTGACATCGATTATATCCAGAGGCTACAGGCAGAAGTTAGTGAATGGTAGAGCCGAAAGGGAGAGATGAGACTCACGTCTACAAAGTTAATGAATGCATATCCGACACTGCACAGGATCATTAGTACTTGTAAAGCCTGCATGAACGAAAGCCACAATGACTCACTTGCAGTCGTTGGCAAAATCGATGCGAAGGTACATAAAATCGTACTTTCCCCAACTAGACTCATCAATGATTCTTTTAAGCATGGCTTGATCTACCTTGTTGGGAATGTTGCGAAGCATAATCTGCAGGAAACAAGTCAGCCAGATTTCGGAGCTATATGCTGGATGAGCCTACCGTAGTGCGGACGTCGATGCCATCGCGGATACGATTGATGTCAACATGGTTATGATGAGTCGTGGTGCTATGATAGGTGGATCGGCTAATTCTCATAGCATTCTGTCGGCGAGCATCCGCTCGTTCGGCAGCACCTGAAAAGGTCCTCGAAGGACTGTAGCTGTTATGGGCAGTTAGAGCCGGAGAGGGTGGCGTCTGATACAGAGTTCCGAATATGGGATACTGCGGAGCAAACGGGGTCAGTGGGCTCCCTGAGCCTGCCTGTGCCGCCGGGAGGAAGGAGGAATCCAGCATATACGGCACAGCTGGGGTGAATGGCGCTTGGAACATGAAAGGATACATGGCAATAGGTGCGTTATAGTGTGGATCACCCTGACCGGCCTGAGAGGAGTTGGAGCTCACAGAGCCAAACCGTTGGTCTGGATCATCTGGCCTTTTGCTGACAGCCATTTCCTCTACTGCTTCGGCGAGTGCGGCGGCAGAGTAGGCATCGACGTTGTATGCTGATGCAAAGAGCTGAATACCCTAAGTGGTTGCAAAGATTAATATGAATGCTCGTCGTAACGTCAAGGAGAGTGACAAACCTCTGTGGAGATACCGCCGCTGCAAGCTTGTATGACAGGAAAGGCGGCAGTGGTGTCACAAAACTCAGCAACAGCTCTGAAAGAGCCGTTTGGGAAAGTAGCCTGCTTGACAAAGGCAAATAGGCGGCCGTGCGATTGCAAAAATCGATGAGCCACTCCCATAGTTTGGACTGGGTCAACCATAGCTCCTGGAGGAACCACAGCAAAGATCATAATCTGACCTGTGTGAGAGATGCCGGCTGCATAGTTAGCAAATCTATCCAACCGAATCGGATGATAGGGTCCTGACATACCTGCACTCTGTCCCATCTCCATGTGGTTGCCTTGAGACTGGGCACTACGTGTCGGATTGGCAAAGGCAACTTTCCAGTCTTTATCAGCTTGATGAAGCTTCGTCTGTGAGGCACAAGCATCTCTGATGTCTGTAAAGTATACAAAGACACCGCTGCCGTGAGCCTTGAAGCTTCTCGCGCCGTAAGTGGGATTGCCATCTTTTCCTAGATCCTGAACACGAATACCATTGTCAGTATTTGCCAAGTGGATGGGGCATTGTTCGCATACGCACCGTTAGAAGAGCCTCTACTTCATGCGCAGATACCTGAGTTGGCGACGAGACGACAAGGATCCTGGATAATCCCATGTCGGTGCTCAAGGCGGCGGAAATGGGGCCATCTCCATTTGGCAGCCGCACGTAGGTATTGCCGACAAAAGGGCTACATGCCGACGCCGTGGGTGACAGCCTTGTGCCAACGCCCTGGATAGTGGTGATGAAGGGATCCTTGTCCAGGTGGGAAACCGTACTGCGAAAGCCACCGGCAGGAAGCCTTGCTGGCGACGTGGCGACAGCAGCTGAGCGGGCATAGCTCTTGAGCAGAGTGGACGACTTGGAGCCGTCATCCGGGGTCATCGTGGTCAATCGCGTGTCAGGCGTTCCCTTGAAGGAATCGGCTCCTCCGCTCGACGACCGAGGAGACGACGGATTGTCGACCTGATGCGCCATTGCAGAGTGTTCCAAACCAATGCGTGATGATGGCTACAGATAAGATGTGAGGCCTGGAAGTGAAGTAAGCTTGTGTGTCCTGAATGACGGAAAGGGAGAAATAAGTAGCTGTGAGTGCTGTGATTCTTCTCCGACTGACGGAGGGTGCAGCAGTGAAGAGAAAATGCAGCGTGCGTGCCGTAGAAGAGAAAGTGATAACTTGCTCACGAGTGAGGAGCTCGTGAGATGACCTGCACAAAATGGGTCGAATCGACGCGTCTGGGCAGTTGCTGCCAAATATGCAGAGAAGAAATTTTCGCGAGCTGTTGCCCTAATTTCCCCGTGCTCTTGCCGTTCCTTCCATCTCGCTGGGCTTTAGGGAAAGGGGCGGCTCGCCCAGAGAGGAAGTAACCAGCTGCCATCTGGCGGCACTGCCACTCCTCCTGCTCCTGCCTCGTAGCCACAATGAAAGAGATCGTCATTTCAGTCCATAATGGGTAATTTGGTGCTCGGAATTTCGGCTTATAGGGGCGCCAGGACGATGCAGCTGCGCAACTGCCCCTATCGGAGGAGAGATCCAAGCCTGAACTGCCACCTGCCATTACCTGTATCATGAGGAAGGAAATGTCCTGATATGTTGATACCTCCTGGGTAGTAATAGAAGCTGTCCAGTCAGGTACCTGCGCAATGGTGGCTTGGATGGAATTGCATGGTCAAACGACAAGAGAAGCAACAAGAGGGTACCTGTCATGTTCGGCATGAACGGCAACGAACGCTTGCTGCGCTTTGATTTTGGTAACTCATTAGAATCTGGTGCGCCATAGCCCGCAATTAATATAATACTGTCCCAGGCTCCCCAATACTCATAAATACTACAAGACTCCATGCTTGCTTTCCTGAACCATACTATAGTAGGTATAAACATTTCCATTCCTTTCCATGTGCGCCAGTGATATCTCATGTAACGAAATCTCTTTTATCGGTGATGACAGTTGTTGGGTGAAGTTGGGTGAAACGATGGTATTTTACTCGGATGCCGCCGCAAAAATTTGATGAATCGAAGAGCAGAATGGTGACGGAGTTGAGAACTGAGCCCTAGGCTTGTGCCCTTCTTCGTCGGCCTCTGCTTGGACCGTCTGGACGTTGTGCTAATACATCCCTCAGCAGGGGGTCGTCCTTGTTTTTATCAATATGATGAACGCGAACGTGTCTGCAATGGGCGAAAGTCAATATTGGTCGATCTTTTGTCATCAGTATCCCCATATGGAAGCTTAGGGCACTAGGGGGTTGCGCCCGCTCTGATTGATAACTCGAACTTGTGTGAAGGAACCTTACCTCTGGAGATTGTCCGGCCGGGGATATTTGTGTTCTCTGTCTGCGCAAAAGGGGCAGACATATCCAGGAGAGTCGTGGACCAGACCATGCCGAATCATCTCATTCTTCCGCTTGAATCCTTTCCCCCCTTCAGCACGAGGACAACCTTGCACGGGGCAGTAGTGAGGACGGACTGAAGAATGCACATTAGCGTGAGAATTGAGAAGATATTGAGTTTGGAACGGCGGAGCAGTGCACCCGGGATATGTGCAGCTGTAGCTTCCAACCTGAGGGTTAGTTATTCCGTCGATGCTCATGCGATCCGCTACAGAGGCTATGTTGACAGGCGATGTGATGGTGTAGCCTGGTTGGTGGGCATTGCTGGAGGCGTTATTATTTTGATACTCGGCGGGAGAGCGATGCATTGATCCATTGGTCGCGAAGTTGTCAGGGCTGGAGGCGGGAAGGGAGTTGGGAGATGGGAAGCTGCGTTGATACGATTCGCTGGGAGAAATTGGATGCGACGCACGACTGCCAGTTGACATTGACGAGAAGCGTGGGACACCTACGGTTGGGGAGCGAGAAAAGGTTCGCGCATCGCCGGTGTGACGTCCTGGTAAGTCTCTGTGGTCGTTTGGCGTTGGCATGTCCGTCGGGAGGTTGTTAATGTCACCCAGAGTCGTTCGTATTGAAGGTAGGCTCGGGCCATTCACACCATCATACTTGGGTGAGTCTATTTGCAAAGGGGGCAAGGGCGACAACATGCTGAGAGGTCCGCCCAGCGGCGGGCTTTTGACTTCGCGCTTGGGGCTGGACACGGCATCGTCATGAATTGAGAGTTGGTAAGTAGAGGCTGACAGATCAACACTGGGCTTATCTTCCCCGGAGAGGTGGCCACCCGCAGCTAAAGCATCGGCGGCAACGGCCCGCAGGGCCGTAGCGGCGCCATCCGGCCGCTGGATAATGTCGGCTTCCGGGAGTTTGGCGTCTCGCGATGGACTCTTTTGAGAGGCGTCATCTTCACCATCAGAGAACTCAAAGGAGCCCTCGTCTGCGCCAGGCAATGCCTGGTGGCTAGCAGCTTGGGCTATCTCAGGGTGACTGCCGCCGCCGAGGTAGGCGACAAGGACAGCATCACCAGAGACGGGCCGGATCTTTGGGCGATTAGACTTGGGAAATCCGTCGAGAGGAGGAGGGCTGAAACTGACTTGAGCGCTTGGTATTTCCGGGGGAGGGCTCTCGGTGAGTTCGAGCTTTGGATGCACTGCTTTCATCTGAGGAGTGCCTGGTGAAAGAACCTCATCTGGATCATAGGTGACGGAGTCTAGCTGCATCGAGTGTTCCTGGCATTGACCTTGGTGCGTGCTTTGTCGGTGCGGAGCCGTGTTCATAGTTCAGTTGTCCAAGAAGTCATCGGTCAGCTCTCCATGGCACCCTTGGGCATGCGGGGGCTATGGTAACGTGGTGGTGTGGACGCGAGACACTCTTTGTGCTTGAGCTGACGGGGACCGGGACACACGAAGCCTGCCGCTCCTTTTTTTTTTTTTTTCCCTCTCTCACACCCACTTTCTTTTTCTTCTCTCTCTCCTTTTCCTCTTCTCCTTCACCCTTGGTTTCGTCTCTTCTTTCTTTCTTTTAAGCAGCCGCTTAGCCAGGACGACGCGAGTCCAGAGCTGGGCAGATTGATTGGGGACCGTAAAGTCCCTCTATTGTGTCTCTACGGATCCTTTGTCTCCCGGATTTCCTCCCAGCCGTCCCCCTGTGTTGGGAATTGCTACCCCCCGCGCCAGCTTATGTATGCGCGCGTTGTGCTGTTGCGCAGGCACGTGAACCTGGCCGGGTATCTTTTATCGAACACCAAGCGTGCCTTATTCAAAGCTACCGGGAGAGGGCGGTTGACAAAATACGGCAAAGTGAGGCGGGAGGACGCCGAAAAGGCGGAGGAGGGACAATGCGATGCAAGCAATCAATATCAGACAGCCGAAACGACATGCGAAAACGATACGCGAAGGGGGCCTCGCTCGAGCTGGATCGAATCAAGGGATAGCAGCGAGCCGTTACTGTAGATGGGCAAAATCTCAGCCGAGAGTTGGATGATGGCGGGGGATGGGCAATTAGGCGGCAAAGTGGTTTTAGCGCATACCAAGAGAGCGAGAGGTCGCATCTGCACACGGCAAAGCAGACGCAGGTCCGTGATGGCGCGAGCGATTGTTGACGCTAACCGCCCGAGAACAAGAATGGAGGGATTTGGTCAGTCAATTCAAGGCGAGCGCGTCGCTACGTGCAAAGCAAAGCAGAGCAGAGCCAAATGGACGAGGCACAAGGCACAAGGCAAGGAGTGAGAGGGGGGGAGGCAGCTGTATGTCGTGGGATGGAGTCCATGGCACAGCTGAGTATCGAATGGTGATAGGCCATACACGCAGCGGCTGTGCCATTGGTACGACTGGACGAAGATTGCGGACCCCAGGCGGCACGAGTCCAGTAAAGGTGCTCCGTAAGAGACACAGCACAGAGACGAAGAGTGTCGAGCAGCTTCCCGTCAGCCCAAGGCCAAGGGTATTTCTGTACAGCCACAGCCACGATGATACCGCGCTTGGTGCATTGACGACCTGACCAAAAGGGTCATAGTGTACAGTTGAGGCATGCCGTGCCGCGCTGTGCGGTTGATAAGGTGTGGTTGGTGACTTTTTGTGCGGTGCCTACTCCGTAGAATATGCACTACGGTACCTTGATAGGCGCCAGTTCTAAAGTGCCCGTCAGTTGCAATTAATTAGCACACGCCAAAACAGCGGCAGAAATGAACGTGGCTTTGCTTGGCGTGCCATTCCATGTGATGCTGGTATTAAGAAGCAAATGAGAAGAGAGAGGGGAAAAAAAGAAATGTTGCATTAGAAAAAATGCAATTGAAAAAAAGAATAAAATAGGAAATTAAATTAAAAATTAACATATACACAATCCAACCCACAACCAATGCACTAGACTACCAGTAGTATTAATGATGAAAGAGATAGACAATACATCTCCATACAAACAGCGCATCTTCCCATCACCACGACTCGCACGCTTCCTCTTCGCTTTATATTGTTAGCCGTGGTGACCTCGGCTAAAATGCCGCGTCGACCCACGCCGGTGCGATACCGAGTCGCGACACCAGGAAATCCGCAGCCGAGGTCTATCTAATCGTGCATCCTGAACCGGAGTGACATAAACGAAACTAAAAACTGCCACAGGGTTCTATTAGATCGATCTTCCGCTGGTCCTTGTATTTCCAGTTTCTGTAAACATTGCTTGGCATCTTACATTGTTTCTTCTCTCTCTTACCCTCATTGTTTTGTTCAAACATTAGGTCATAGAATCAGTCCATTGCATGTGTAAGTAGCATAAGTAGCAGCAAGCAAGCACATGCTCCAAGTTTAAACCACCGCCTACTCTTCTTCACACAATGGCTCAATCCAAGCCTGCTATTTCGCCCTGGGGCGGCGCTGTCGCCGGCGCAACCGGAGCCGTCATAGCAAACGCCCTGGTATATCCTCTCGACATGTAAGTATTATTTCCATCCATGGCCAAAACTCCTCGTTGCTGATTCGAATCGTGTTTGCGACAGCGTCAAGACTCGCCTGCAGGTCCAGGTGCGCTCCACCGACAAGTCCGAGACCGACGGCGATTCGGTACACTACACCTCGACCTGGGACGCAATCTCACGAATCGTCGCCGATGAGGGCATCCAGGGCCTCTACGCCGGCATGAACGGCTCCCTGGTGGGCGTTGCGTCCACCAACTTTGCTTACTTCTACTGGTACACCGTCGCCAGGACGCTCTACACAAAGTCGGCCGGCCCCTCTGCGGCGCCCTCCACGGCCGTCGAGCTCTCCCTGGGTGCTGCTGCAGGTGCTCTGGCACAGCTGTTTACGATCCCCGTTGCGGTTGTGACGACTCGTCAGCAAACCGCGGCCAAGGCGGACAGAAAGGGCCTTTTCGCTACGGCTCAGGAGGTCATCGAGGGACCGGATGGCGTCAGTGGGCTTTGGAGGGGCCTCAAGGCCAGTCTTGTTCTTGTCGTCAACCCGGCCATCACATACGGTGCTTACGAGCGACTAAAAGGCATCCTCTTCCCCGGGAAGAGCAAGCTGAAGCCTTGGGAGGCTTTCCGTAAGTCATCCAGACATCAAACACACACTCCACATTCCATTTTGCCGCGTCTAACAATCTTTAGTTCTGGGTGCCATGTCTAAAGCCCTGGCAACGATCTGTACCCAGCCCCTGATTGTTGCCAAGGTGGGCTTGCAGTCAAAGCCGCCTCCGGAAAGGAAGGGAAAGCCATTCAAGAGCTTTATCGAGGTCATGCAGTTCATCATCAAGCGCGAAGGTGTCCTCGGTCTCTTCAAGGGAATGGGGCCCCAGATTCTAAAGGGCCTGCTTGTCCAGGGCATTTTGATGATGACAAAAGAAAAGTAAGACCGTTCCGTTCGTCTGTCAGTGGTTTCAGAGCGCATGCTAACACTTTTGTCCACAGGGTGGAATTACTCTACGTATTACTGTTGAGATACTTGAAGTCAATCAGCCTATCCAAAGCGCGGAGCGCTATTGCAGCGTCAACAGCCACGGCTGATATTGCAAAGAAGGCCGCGCAAATCACACCCCTGGTAAAAAGCTGATCTAGTGGTGTTTGCATAGAGGTAATGGGATTTTTGTTTTTTGTATAACTCAACGCTATTTCTATTATATGGCTATAGATACTATAGTACTGTACATGTACACGCTTCATGGCTGTCCTAATCAATGAATATGCATCCGAAATTTCTAACGCAGCTATTCCAGTGATAGCTCAGAGTGCGCTTTGCGCGATCCCCCCTATCAAACTTGAGAGCGTTATTTGATCACATGTGGCCTTCTATACCAATCGCTGCTAACGCTCAGGTTTCGAAATCGAATATGTGGTGATTAGGCTCCCCAGTCGCCAATTTGGATGGGAGAGTCGCTAAAGACGTCCCCGCAAAGCTCCTGGATCGCTCGGTGCCCCCATAGACTCTCGATGACGAGATATCTCGGTCCGTGACTTGGATTCGTCGGCTCAATGTCGAATTCGGGTGTCCGAATGATGGCTCCAGAGTCTTCCAAGCCTCCCCTCGACTCCGCTAGGATACGGGGCTCTGACTCTGAGCCGCCAGTAATCGAGATACGGATCATGACAGCTGGCAAGGAGCGGGTGTCGTGATATGAAGTCTCCGACAGAGGTGGCAGACTTCGAATAGATACAACGGCTCGAGTTACCCATGAAGCGCTGATGGGTACCCTCCAGCGTTGTCCCTCTCCTCCTAAAGTGAATGGTGAAATAGGTGTTCGTAGTTTTCCTGCTGTATCAGCCGGTATAGGTTCTAGAGTAATTGGCGTCATAGACCCGATCCGAAGTGTAAAGTCAGCCATCTGCTGCGCTTCAAAGGTTGAGCAAACCAGAGTGTAGTCTCCGGCTTCAAGCATATCCAGTTCGGCGATGGCACAGCCACGACGATACTCTCCTGATGAAACAACCAGATCCTTCGTTTTGACGGTATTTGCACGCTTCCCTCGTGCCCAGAGTAAATCAACATGGACGTGGACATCTCGGTTACCTGTAGATAACAGGGTGGATATTGGGGTGGCGTGAGGAACCGACAGCTTATACTGAGGATTCAGGAAATACGTCGTGCATGACGAATTTCCCCCAGCCGTCCGTCTATTCCAGCAACCGCTTTGTTCCGTGAAATGCGTCATCTTCTCCTCGGCCTCTTTGGCGTGCACTGGCCCATTTGAGAAGATAAAAAGCGAGAAAGTATAGCTGGGCAAAGGCAGCGCCTGCTGGTCAATGACGACAGTGTATGCCTTGCCGGCCCTGCTCTCAATCCGCGCGAGGGTTTGGGGAGAGTCAACATAAGGTCCGCAGTATGTCGCTCCATCGCTGGACTGGACTCTTTTGCCTTGATGATCAAACACCAGAATGCTCATGTAGCCCAGTTGACTAGCTACGGCAGCTAGAGAACCAGACTTGTTGCGCGCTATTTCGAGCTCGGGATCTGCAAAATGACGGCTCAATAAGATCCATACCGTTCCCCCTGTGGGCGAGGTAATCGAGAATTGCGGGTTTCGCACCAAGGACGCCGCGAAATCTTTGGTAGGGATATCCCAAGCAAAATGACGCTCTTGGCGATGGGAGAACAAGGCCGGGTTCCAGTTGAGGTACATGGACTCGAAATGCTGCGCTATATCCTCAATAGCCAGCCAGAGGGTGCCCGCCGAGGGCGGATCAGCATCCTCATCGCTAGCCTCAGACGATGAAGAGTCAAACTTGGTCCCTACGGAGCCATGGATGGCGGACCACCCTTTTCCTGTCCATGTCTGACCGTGTGACCAAGGATTCTTCACTAGGAATTTGCGGTTCGATGAGTCAAGATCCTGCACAGCATAATCATGCTCCCCTACGAGGCCCATGATATCTTCTTCTTCTGTAGAGACGTGGCCTGTACCCAGCGTAATGACAACGTCGCCCATGTCGTAGGCTGTCTTGACCCGATTCCATGCCTCATCTATGTCAAAATCCTCCCTAGAAGGTATCATGTGAGTAAATTTCTCTCTCCATACTTAGAAGTGCGAATCCATACCTCTGGAGGAATAATTGTTCGGGTATCCATCCAGTGAGGACCCAAAGATCAGTCCCTGAATTGCTGCCGGGGAAATCATAGCCACCTCGTACTTTCAGGTAGGCCTTTTCAAGCAAAGCCGGCCATATCAACCGAGGATTATGTCGATTGATGACAAACAGGGCTCGATCTGTTCCTGAAGATGGCAATCTGTCATCTATGACGACTCGACGAGCACAGCCGTTGAAATTTAGCCGAAATATGTATTTCCCCGAAGGAGAGAGCTTGGGCTGGCCTCTTCCGTGATCGAATGGGTGCATAATCTTGGAAAGAACCTGGAAACAACGCCGTTAGGTATGAGTTTGGCTATCATGGCATACCCAGGTTACATACTGCGTGTTTTCCAGTCCAAATCCTCGCGGCAGCAGAAAGACTAGCGACGACCGAACAGTCAGTAGTTATATCTTGCGCCAAGTCGAAGCGCGTGCCTTGGGTCATGAGAATGCCATCTTGCCCGGCAGAGAAGGGGCCGAATAGCTCGTGTGGTCTTCGCCAAGCTGAGAAGTTTGCTATTTGGGTTTCGGAAAGCGGGAATACGGTGTCATCACTGGTCATTTCGTTCGATTAGAATTGATTGTTCCCGTTTTTTGAACACCTAGACGCTGAGGAGACGTGGAAGTACAGGTGACTCACATAAATGGCTTCAGGTCATCTCCAAGCTGGAATTGTGCGTCCGAGGGGTCTTCACCCCAGGGGGGATAGTAGCTTCCGTGAAGCCGTGAAGCGCCTTGCAGAATATCGAAGCCATCCGCATGTGGCGATGCCGACGGCGTTTTCAGCTGGCTCTTGAGCCGTTCGGCGAGCGCGACGAGCTGTTTGCATTTGCGGCGACGTCGGGAAGCTTCCTCTCTACCGATTCCCTTCTCTGCAGCTGCTCGCATGTACAGCTCGGCCGCTTGTATGGCATAGTCCAAAGCATTTTGGCCAGTTGATGTCGCGAGTAGAGACTCTACGTCCTACAGGAGAAATGCATCGTCAGTGAACAAACTCCCACAGAATTCTTGGAAAAGATAAAAGAGCTCACCTTTGCCCTCCTCTCCATGCCTTAGGGAAATGGCATCATGGCATCACGGAGCTCTTTTGTTAGTGCCGTAGCAGTGACAAGCTGGAGATCTGCTGCTTAAGTGGGTTTAAAAACAACATGCGCCTAACGGATTTACATCATAGGCAAGTCTCCTGTAAAAGGCTAGAAGCAAAGCTGTGCGAAACCCCCATATTATTAGCTAACTTATTACTAATATTGCCGTCGACAATCGGCTGGTTGACACTCTTTGAATCCCTTGTGCCATCAGTAGCCGAGAGTACATGGACGATACTTGCATGAGTGTTACAATAATCGTTGGTCAATATCATTTGGTCTATGGGGTATTATTCTAAAACAGCTCATCTATTTCGTCTCTAAAATCTGCATGGAGCTGCGACAAGACATAAAAAGGCTTTGTGGCTTTTGTTTGTCGCACTGAGCTCTTTGCAAGCTCCATACGGCCGACTGGGGTCTCGCCGCTCGTGTCATCAGAGTTGCTCATTGCCACGGCTTGGAGGCTTGAGATTTTCATTTGCTTCTTCTTCACAGCAATTGTTCCTACTTCCCGCTTTCTACGACATGTAATGATTCGACGCGAGTCTCTTCTCTGAGAAGTTCCCAAGCTCAAGTCCTCATCCGAGTCCCAGCAAATCTCGGTTTCCATAACATTCTGCTTTGGCAGTTTGACGGATGTACCATCGTCTCGGTCAATGATTTTCTTGGGGCTGGGCAGCACCCATTCGCTAATCCCCTCTTCCCATCGCCATGCCGAGAAAATGGTGGTCAACTTTGCGTTGGCAGATTTGGTAACGGGCAGGCTCTCCGCAAAGGTCAGATCGCGGAGATCGTTTGTCTTCTGAGCTAGCATAAACGCAACGTCCTTTTGAAGTCCGTGGTCCAACCAATCGGGTAGTTTTCGGCGGCTCAAGCTTGAATAGATATCGGAGAGTATCTCTTGACTTGAAGTCGTGCTGCTGCGTCGGCGACATTGGATGATGGTGCATAAAAGAGTAACCGTATGCTGGTATTGTGCACCATTGTTCGTATCAGTGTTGATTTTGTGAGCCATGTTTTCAAACTCCTCTGCAACTCGTCTTTTAAAAGCCGGGCTTGCCAGGTCTGAGTTTGCCACCGCAAGGTAGCGTGCAAAAACGAGCAGAAAAGAGGCATTGTCTGAAGGGCTCTTACGGCTCCTATACCGTGCAATAAGTGAGATACTACATTCAAGCACATAGACCAGCCGTCTCCACGCTGCTTTTCTTTGCTCCTGTTCTCCAGGTATAATTTGCGCCTCCAACGTTAATGCTGCGACCGTCAAACCAGCTGCAACACGGATGAGGGCTTGTTCTATGGCACAGCAGTCAATTTCTTTGGGTCGGCTGCCTCGAGCAAGGGTCCATATAGCTATGCACATAAATTCCACAATATGTGGTTTCGCATTTCCAGAAGTTAGGCCTTCGAGTCCAGAAATCCAGAAACCAGAGAAGGCTTGTGTAGAAAGCCAAGATGATGAGAGCAACCCTTTATTGATCAAAGTAGAGATACACTCAAAAAGGGGACCTGGTATCTTCTTTCCTTTATACGAACTCAACACTGCCCAGAGCGATGAAAAGTCCCTATTCTCGTTGAGATGAGTCGTTCCAGCTCGAAGCTTGGAAATTTGACGTCTGTTTATCGAGGTTACCACTTGAGCAGCCTCTTCATTGCCGTTCAAATGAATGCAAAGTCGTACGAGAATATTGCAGAATTCTGGTCGAAAGAGCCCATCCAAGATGGCATTGGATAGGAGATAAACAGCTTGGGAACGAACCACAAGCCTCAAGGGACGCCATCCAGGACTACTTGATCCCAATGCTTCCAACTGATCAAATATATCCGAAGCTGCATCAGACATGTCCCATACTGATTCCACCCCACTCTCTTTCAATTGTTGCCGGTCCCATGCGTCTATGTCTGCAATGCATGCTGGAATTTTGCGTAGACAAATAGCAAGCAGTGATTTGCCACGAATATGCTTTCCTTGGAGTGTTGTTGAGTGTAATAATCGATTTAGCCAATGGAATATTGCTTCGTAGATGCGGTATAGATCGCTAGGAACATGTCGTCGGATAGAATTTAGCTCATCGACCATTTCAGACGGAAGAGAGTCCATTAAACCGTATTCGATATCGATATTCTTCGCCGGCGTGTCGATATGATCCCGGATCTTGCGCCAAACAGGGGTGCGAAAGTCGACCAATTCGGATGTTGGAGACAGGTTTCCCAGTTTCATCGCCCCAAGGGTGCGCATTGGTCGTTGAGGAGTAGTTGCCGCTGGTTTGTCTGCCGTGGATGCCTCCTTCTTTGGTCTTTGGCCATACGTAGAGCGGACACGCTTCGCCGTCGACTCTTGTCCATTATCTGAAGCTCGCTTGGATCCAGCTGAGGGCGCAGACCGATTCTCTGACATTAACCGTCGAAGGCAAGCCAATCGAGACTGGAGCTGTCGAAGAAGACGCTGACATCGTGCGGCAGTCCAAAGCTGTGAATTGTCCGAATCTAAGCCTCTCGAGCCTCCCGACAATCGCGATTTCGTACCATGGCGTTGAGATGAGGGTGCAGGTCTCGCGACCTGCGCCAGCGAATCCATAAAGCAATACTACTGGGAGCGACCAAGAAGAAGAAAATAAATGTTATGAGTTATAAGTGAAAAAGAAAAAGACAAAAAAAGAAAAATGAAGCAATCGCCTAATAGCATAACATCATGGGCGTGTTTGTGTAGTGATGATTGTTTGTACCAAGAAGAGTCGAGGCACAGGTCTCTGTTTACTTTCTTCCATTTCCGCACTAGACCGCGGCTAAGACAAGCTAGGGTCCAAAACTTGTGGGGTACTAACCGCACCTCTATGATTTTCGTAGCCGAATCAAGTACTGCCCATGTACCCCCGCAGCTCCGAATTGCCGGACCATGGTCCAAAAACTTTTTTCTTTTTCTTCCGGTGCCGTCCTGGGTGACTGACTCTTTTGCAACCCAATTCCTCAAGACGTCCCAGTCATTTCCGCTCAATATTTCAATGACTGGTCTCTTTATTTACTCTCCAGTATTTCGTCCTTAATCGTCCCGCTTTCTCAATTCCCCCCCTTGTATGACAATGGCGGCCGAAGCACAAGCTGCGTCTTCCTCTCCAGGTAAAGAGGTCCCGTGTACAAGGTCTAATCGACGAATCAACTAACCACCGGCAACCCCCCTGTAGCTAATGCTGTCGACGAGTCTCACGACAACGCTATGTCTGCTCCCGAGAACGCTGTAAATGAAGGGGAGGCGGAGGCGGAGGCGGAGGTCGATCCTGCGGCCGAAGGTAATATGTTCTCTGTTGCCAACAGCGGGTTATAAGTCGCTCGAGTTCTAACATTGCTCATGTATAGCCGTGATTAACCTCACGATTCTCCTTCCCGATCCCGAGGCCGAAAAGATGCAGATTATGGTGGGCATATAACCAAGGCTTCATACCATTGCTCACTTCCCATTAATACAGCTTCTAGGTATCAACTCAAGAGCAAGTTCACGAGATTCGACAGTCCATCATCGACCTGCCACAAGCTTTTCAGTACACATGCTTCCACCTCGAGTTCCAAGGCCAGAAAATCAATGATTTCATCCCTTTGGCCGAGATTCCCGACCTTGGCACTGAGCCGGAATTTCGCTTGGTGCCGGACCCATATACCGAGAAAGAAGCTCGCATCCACCTGGTCAGGATTCGAGAGCTGATCGGTGCCGCGGGCAATCGTTCCGATGCCGCACAGGGTATCCTCCCGGGACTGTCGCTGTATGAGTCTGTAACCAAGAATCTGTCGACCCAGACCGAGGGTAGCGAGGATCAGCCCCTTGCCAAGGATTATGATTTCCAGGCTACTCCCTCAATCACCACTCTCATCCCTGAGCCCATTGAGCCGGCACCCAAGACGGTTAAGATGGTGGCTCTCTCATCATGGAACCCTCCGCCTTGCCACCTGCAACAGCGTGGACACTTGCTCTACATTGTTGTTACTACCAACGAAGGCGAGCAGTTCCAAGTCACTGCTCACGTGTCCGGCTTCTTTGTCAACAAATCCTCCAATGCCAAGTTCGACCCCTTCCCGCGACCTGCACCCAAGGGTCAGTCATCGCACTCCCTGTTGAAGCTTATCGAGCTGCTTTCGCCCTCCTTTTCCGCCACTTTCAAGAGCCTCCAGGAGCATAACGGCCAAAGGGACCCATTGGCTACCTTCCAAATCACCAACGCCATCCCTAACTCCCCTTGGGCTCTGCCGTCTCCTAGCTCCACTCTCTGCACACATTCGCCTGATATTACGAGGCCTCAGGAAACATATCTGCTGGCTGGCGTCGATAACACCGACACATTGCGTGACTGGAATGAGGAGTTCCAATCGGCAAAGGAACTGCCGAAAGAGTCCGTACAAGACCGGGTATTCCGGGAGCGCTTGACATCGAAGCTCTTCGCCGACTACAATGACGCTGCTGTGAAGGGTGCAGTGTTGATTGCCCACGGAGAGATTGCGCCTCTAAACCCAACCGAGACCAGGGATGCGCAGATTTTCGTCTACAACAACATTTTCTATTCTTTCGGAGCTGATGGCGTCGGCACCTTTACTTCGGAAGGAGGCGATGAGGCCGCTCGCGTTGCCACTGGCAAGGATGTTGCAGGTGTGCAGCTGGTCAACCAGCTGGATATTGATGGCCTGTTCACGCCTGCTACTGTTGTTGTTGACTACCTGGGTAAGCGTATCGTTGGTCAGAGCATCGTTCCGGGCATCTTCAAGCAGCGGGAGCCCGGCGAGCACCAGATTGATTACGGTGCGGTAGATGGCAAGGACGTTGTTGCCATTGACGAGCGATTCACCGCCCCATTCTCTCAGCTTTCCAAGGCCCTCAAGGTGAAGGAGCACCCTGTTTGGGACAAGGATGGCAAGAGATTCGACCTCGAGGCCAGCGTAGAAACTAAGGGTTTGATGGGTACGGATGGTCGTAAATACGTTCTCGACCTGTACCGAATTACGCCCTTCGATGTCGCATGGCGGGAAGAGACGGAGGCCGCAGAGTACCCTCACAGGATGACCGTCCTACGGCCGGAGTTGGTGGACTCTTTCGGACGCTACAAGATGAAGCAATGGATTGACGTCGAATTGGCCCGCCGTGCCCAACCAAAGTCGGAAGACACTTCAGCCGAGGCCAAGGAGGAGACCAAGGAGGAGGACAAGGAGGAAGCCAAGGAAGAGGCTAAGGAGGAGGCTGAGGAGGAGGCTGAGGGCGAGGCCAAGAACGAGAACGAAGTTGCGAAAACAGATGCTGCCGAGGCTGAGAAGAACCAGCCCAACCTAGCTGACTTCAAGTTCGCCCTCAACCCCGACGCTTTCAGCGGCCAGACCCCTCGCACTGAGGAAGAGAAGGCCGAGCTCGAAGCCGATGAGCAAGAGGTCAGGGCTGCGGGAGAATACTTGCGCGACCGAGTGATTCCTGAGTTCTTGCGCGAGCTTACTGATTCCGACATCAGCTTCCCCATGGATGGTCAGTCACTTGGTCGCATCCTGCACAAGCGAGGTATCAACATTCGATACCTCGGAAAGATCACGACCCTCGCTGTCAACGACAGACTTAAATGCCTGCGCGAGATCTGCATTCAGGACATGGTTGCTCGTGCGTTCAAGCACGTGTCCGCCACCTATCTGCGCTCGCTTCCCGTTCCATTTGCGCCTTCTTGCGTGTCTCATCTCCTGAACTGTCTTCTGGGCCATCGGTTTAACGCCAAGCCCACAGCAGACATCGATTCATCCTTCCGGGAGCTGTACTCAGACGCCGATTTGTCGTTTGAATCAGTCACCCCTGAGACGCTGCGAGAGGAGATTGAACAGCAGGTCCTGAAGCGCTTCCGTTACCAGCTTCCTGCCAACTGGTTCGATGAGGTGCGCCCTGTGCAGCTGCTCCGTGATATCTGCATCAGAGCAGGTATCCAGGTGCTGGCAAAGGACTATGCGTTTGAGAGCGGTGCCGCCCCTGCTGAAGCCCCTGTCAGCGCTGCCCAGCCAGAGCAGACAAATGGCCAAACGAACAGCGAGACAAAGAGCAAGAAGAAGAAGAAGGCGGCAAGAGAGAGCTCACCAACCACCTCCCCAGCCCCCGAGGTGGTTTCTACCTTTACCCCTGACGATGTCCTGAACGTTGTGCCGGTGGTCAAGCACTCGTGCCCCCGAAGCTCTCTTGCGGAGGAGGCCCTGGAGGCGGGACGTATCTCCATCCTTCAGAACCAGAAGAAGCTTGGACAGGAGCTGCTCCTGGAATCTCTGTCTCTTCACGAGCAGATCTACGGCATCCTGCACCCGGAAGTTGCAAAGGTCTACAACAGCCTATCGATGCTGTATTACCAGCTCGATGACAAGGAAGTCGCCGTTGAGCTGGCTAGGAAGGCCATCATCGTCTCCGAGCGCACTGGCGGCGTTGACTCGGCTGAAACCCTGCTCAACTACTTGAACCTCAGTCTCTTCCTGCACCAGGTTGGCGACAGCAAGTCTGCCCTAGCCTACTCCATTCACGCGCTTAAGCTGTGGAAAATCATCTATGGACCTGGTCACCCAGACTCGATCACGACCATCAACAACGCGGCTGTCATGCTGCAAGGTGTCAAGGCTTACCACGAGTCCCGACTCTGGTTCGAAGAGTCGCTGCGCGTGTGTGACTCCGTCTTTGGCAGACAGTCAATCAACTCTGCTACTCTCCTGTTCCAGTTGGCGCAGGCCCTCGCCCTCGACCACGACTCCAAGGCAGCCGTCAACAGGATGCGAGAGTCGTACAACATCTTCCTCGCCGAGCTGGGTCCGGAAGACAAGAACACCAAGGAAGCCGAAAGCTGGCTGGAGCAGCTGACTCAGAACGCGGTTTCCATCGCCAAGCACGCCAAGGATGTGCAAGCCAGACGCCTCCGATCGGGCATCAAATTCCCCGTCGCAACAGCTGCACAGACTGCTGGCGTTGTACCGCAGCGTGGAGCGGCGTCTCAGATCGATTCCCGCAGCATCGACGAGCTCCTGAAATTCATCGAGGGCACCGACACATCCAAGACTGGTTCCAAGAAGCGACCTGGACGCGGAAACCCCAAGAGACGAGGAGCGACGAAATAAACAAACACATCGATGAGCATGCTACCCAATAAAGCAGGCGTGAATTTTTGTTTTCTCTGAGAAAAAGAAAATCGATGTTGATTATGTATTTAACGAGATGTCATGGTTTTTCATGAATGGGTTATGGGCATAGGCTTCAAGGACAAAAGGGATGGGTGTAGTTGAAATGGAATTCCTCGGGGCCTACGGGATTATATATACTTTCCATGGGCTTTGGGGGAGTCTTCATGAGTGTATTATATAGTTGTTCGGAGGGGGATACAAAAAAACGAAGCGGGAAAAAAAGCAAAAGGACCATGTATATCTACGTACATCATATAGTTGGCTTCCAGCTTGGAAGCAAGACGTTGAACAAAATACCTCACTCATTAACGTACATTCAATCCATATCTCGTCACAAACATATCAAAAGATGAACTTCCACAGGAACGGAGCATCACGCTCTCTTTTCTCTTCAGTCAACAGATAAAACTTGATACTCCGTGAACTGTTCAAATGCAACACATGTGCCAGCAGCATGTGAATTGGCAATTATTGCTTAAGCAAAAAACTGCACAAACTCGATTTTGATACAATGGCCCGCCTATAAAAACCAGGTATCATCACTTCCCCCCTAACCAGCCAAAAAAAGAACACAAACACCAAAAGCCAAAAGGTTTCATCAGGACATTTTTTGCGCCCCTTCAGGATTTTGCCCAACTCATACGCCGCAATCCCACTTTCCCATTGTCCCTTAACCCATTCCATATAGACGTACAGACCAATAATGCAGAGAACAAAAATACAAACATAAAATCATAACACGAGGTTCATAAAACAAGGTTTTTGGGTACCTGTTGAAAGATATACCGTTTCATGAACCGCCTTTCAAGGCGGCGCCGATGGGAACGCCTCTCTCTACCGGAGCATGGTACGCACCAATACTCTGAAAACCCCTAAACGGAATTCTGTCAGTATCAAATTGAGAAAGGGGGGAGAGATGGTATCGAGACGGGTGCTGCAGTGTTGTAAATATACATACTTCATCAAATCAAACCCTTGCTCATCCTCGTGCTCATCTGCAGCATCCTTAGGTTCTTGTCCGCCAGATTTCTGTGGTCGAGACGGACTGCTTGGCGGTGACTTGCCGGCCGCAGGCGGGCTACTGCTTGGAGGACGCCCTTCTCCAGCAACTCTCGAAGGACTGATTTCGTATGGCGGCTTCAACGGCGTGCTACCGATGTCGGCATACTTCCAAAAGGGCGCCGGTGAGCTGGTCGGCATGTGCTGGCTGGGTCGCTGTGCAGTGCTTGGAGGTGCCAGCTTGGGATGGACTCTCGGCGGCGCCGGCGTAATAAATGATGCGTTATCATCTTGCATATACGACGACGTCAATGTGGGCGACTGAGGATGGAAGCCAGAAAAAGACGAGTCGCCCGCGGTAGATTTTCTCGCTCGGGGTAAAGGGCTTCCGTCTGCAGTCAAGGCCGAGCTCCGGTCCGTCTGTCGACCATATCCGCGATCCGGTGTTGACTGTATGGCGCGGAGGGACGACTGAGGGGGAGGCGATACCAGCGACGATCCTCGCCGCTTTTGCGCGGATGAGGGATCCCGGGCCAGGATATCTTTTGGGCCGTGGGTAATGTAATTGAGCTGGCTCGGTGACGATGGCACTGACGATCCCCGATGACCGCCACGTCCTATTTTGTACGCATTCCTCACCATTTCGTCCCGGGTCTCGGGAACGATGTGCCATTTCATTCCTTTTCCAGGCTCGTCGGTAGACCGGGCGACCTTGTCAAAAGATTTATTAAGCGACAGATTGTGTCTAATAGAATTCTGCCACCCAAGGTCAGCACTCATCAAATTAAACATGTCGATAGAACCAAACTACTACTTACCTGCCAACCTGCCGCATGCTGGTGGCGATAATAGGAATAACTATTCATGATAAAGTTATAGATGCCGTTCAGATTGAGCTTGCCATCGGGGGCGTTAAGAATGGCCTGCGTTATCATCTGGGCATAGCTGTACTGGGGCTTGATGTGCTGGTTGTCATCGAGACTAAGATCTACACCACTGGCTCCAAGAAGACCGCCCGGAGTGCTCGCCGGAACGGGAGACTTGACAATCGTCGCCGTGCTATGGTCCTGCGATGACGTCGGCGTCCCGGGCCGCTTTACATCTACTTTGGCCGGTGTGCCGGGGCCGTACTGGCGAGGCTGCGCAGCCTTTGGTGCATCAACAGCCCGTCCGCACCGCTGGAGAAAGGTGGGATGGACGTGGAGCGCACTGAGCTCTGAAGGAAGCACAAACATCATCTCGACGTTGCCAATCTCGACGACCTCTCCGCTCGTCAGAGGATGCGACGTCTGCGGCTTGATTGTCTGGCCATCCACCTTGGCGCCGTTGCGACCCTTGACGTAGAGCATCCAGATCTCGTCCTTGGAGTTGAACGAGATGGTCGCATGCTCGCGCGACACCATCTTGCCGGGGCCGAGGTCGATGTGCACTGCATTTTCGCTGCTGGTCGGCCCGCCGTGGCTCGGTTCGGGCGCGCGCCCGATATTGACGTTGAGCTTGGTGATGTAATAGGTCCAATCCTGCGCCGCGATCTTTGCATATGCCTTGACTCCATCACCGTTGGCCTCGTGGATGGCGTTGGAATGGTCCTTGCTCGCCTGGACCGGCTGCGTTCGGAGCTGCTGCGTCACCTGCGCCACCAGCTGGTCGTCATCGGCTCTGGGCGACGACGAGGCCTCGGGCGCCTGCGACGGAGCGCCGGCCGGGACGGAGTCGGGCTGGTCTGGAGAGGAAGCTCTCTTGCGCCGCTTTGCGGGACGGCTGGGCGACGAGCTCTCGAGGTCTGCGGCGATTTCCTTGTCCTTGCGAAGGTCGCGGCGCCCGCGCTGGGTGCGCTTGCCCGATGGCGGCATCGTCGGCGTTGTGTCGTGTATCGTGTATATCGTGTCTGTTGAGGCGAAAGGTTGGATGGAGGGGGAGGGTCGTTGCGGAACTCGATGCTGCGGAGATCGATCTCTTAGTCGGGCTGTTTAGAATAATAATTTTCCTTTTTTTTTTTTTATCTTATCGCCCAGCGTCTTTGCTTGATGCTCGCTTCAACAGCCAGCTGGTGGTCGGGCGGTCTGGAAGCGGCGCATGAAGGGCCACAGAAGCCTGCGGTCAAGTTTGTGCGCCCCAGGCTGGCATTTAAAGAAAAAATGCGTGCAAAGAGGCAATGATTCAATCTAAAGCTGCCATATTTCTGATGGCTTGTTCAAACACAATCGCGTTCGCGTCGGGCGACCCACCACTTTAGATGTGGGAACTTTAAAGTGGCGAGGAGGTACCTGGGTACATGTACATGCGAGGCTGGTATTCTCGTTAATTCTCAGGCTTTGATGCAGGGCGGCGCGGGCAGACTCTTCATCAGCGGTTACCTGGGGTAACAGTGAGACGGAGTACATGTACTGTAAGCAAGGTACCGCAGGCAGTGCGTAAGGCTTCAATGTTCCTTTCGGAGCATGAGACATGCGTGCTGGAATTCGCTCATGCTAAGAGAAACCTTGAAGAATCGCTGCCGATTCTCCCTTGAGACCAAGTACCGTTTGGTACACGCTACAAGTGCTACCGATCGATGTAGAACCCAAAGGGTGAAACAAAGACAACAAAGGGCAGAGTTAAAGTAGGTACATTCAAAAGACATTCGAAAGAGATACAAGCACAAACAACGCCGCCGCCAAACAACATCTGACGCTTGTACCCATGCTGTACCTTGTCAACTTGTATCATCTGTCCAGGGATCTGCCTCCAACTTGGCCAAAACACAGGCCACACCAGACCAGGTAGCTCAAGCTCCGATACCTTGCCAGTGCCTTAGCATTAGCACCTGAGCATGTGCGCAGTCCTTACATGCATATCATCCTTGCTGCTTTAGCGCCGGGCCGATGCTCTGAAGCGGAAAATTGCTTTTCCCATCCGGAAAGCCTTACGCTGTGCGCGCGATTGGCCGAGCCAAAGTGGTGGGATTTCTGAACTCTGGCAAGCCGATTTCCTTTGAACATTTTGGACGTGTTTTTTTGCAACCTTTTTTTTTTTTTTACAGCACAAAAAAAAGGTCAGCATCGGCAGTGCATTTGCCTGCTACAATCGCCGCTGAAGGAAGAGGCGAGTTAACCATCGCCTGGCTGAATTCTACCAAAGCCTCGTCTCCAACAGCAAATATCAACGCTCAACTCTCGCTTGGCCCCCTCGACGATGCTACTGAGCCCATCGGCTTCCATCGCGATACATCATGGCTAGCGAGCAGGTCTATGGCGTCACGCCGCCAATCTCCGTCACCCTCCCTACCGAGGCAGAGAAGCGTGCTAGCGATGCCCTCATCGAAGAACTCCGGCGCCAGAAAACATTCGAGAGCCCATCAGACACCCAGAAAAGGCATGTCGAACGCGCGTGGCCTGGCCGCATACCTTGATCCTTCTGAACTAACCGGCCGAGTCATCTAGATTTACGGTTCTCGACTCGCTGCAAGAGATTTGCAATGAATTCGTCCGAAAGGTTGCCAGGGAAAAGGAGCCCAAGAATGAAATGCTCATCAAAAACGCCAGGGGCAAGGTGTTCACGTACGGCAGCTTTCGCCTTGGCGTCTTTGGACCTGGTTCGGATATCGACACGCTCATCGTCGCGCCAAAATACGTTACTCGAGAGGACTATTTCAAATACTTTCCCGACCTGCTCGTCTCAATGGCGCCCGCGGGAGCCATTACCGATCTGACCGTGGTCACGGATGCTTTCGTGCCCATCATCAAATTCGAGTACTCCGACATCAGCATCGATCTAATCTTTTCTAGAATTATACAAAAGCAGATATCCCCGGACTTCGATAATCTCAAAGACTCGAGCCTGTTGCGTGGTCTAGACGAAGCGGAACTACGATCCTTGAACGGCACGAGAGTGACGGACGAGATTCTGGCTTTAGTTCCCGAAGAGAGTACATTCAAGCTTGCCCTCCGAGCCATCAAGCTATGGGCGCAACGCCGAGCCGTCTATGCGAATATTATGGGTTTTCCTGGAGGTGTTGCCTGGGCTATGCTTGTTGCTCGTGTCTGCCAGCTCTATCCCAAGGCTGCCACCTCCGTCATCGTCAACAAGTTCTTCTTGGTCATCGGCCAGTGGCGATGGCCACAGCCCGTGCTACTTAAGCCCATAGGAAGCGGTCCTCTTCCAGTTCGCGTCTGGAATCCCAAGGTATGTGTTTGCAGGACTATTCCTGGTCATCTCTGGATACATGCTGACTCGCCTGCTTCTCACTAGGTTTACAAAGGCGACTCGTTCCATCTGATGCCCGTCATTACCCCTGCCTATCCTTCGATGTGTGCGACATTCAACATTACTCGATCCTCCATGTCCATTATCCAGCGCGAGCTTCGTCGCGGTTTAGAGATTTCCGAGCAAATCATGGTTGGCAAGAGACCATGGAGTGACTTGTTTGTCAAGCATACATTTTTCACGTCGGGATATCGATACTACATCTCTGTGGTGTCTGCAAGCAAGGACAAGGAGGCCCACAAGGTGTGGTCGGGATATGTTGAGTCCAAGGTCCGTATGCTGGTGCAAAAGTTGGAGCAGCATCCCTCCATCGCACTTGCGCACGCGTTCAATAAGGGGTACGATCGACGACACCGGTGCAAAAACGACCACGAGATCGAGCAAGTGCAAGAGGGCAGTCTCGAATTCATGATCAAGGATGAGGGTGATGGCCAGTCTGGCGGGATAGAACCCAAGCCAGAAGTGCAGGATGGTTCTGCCGAGGCTGTATCCCCCGTCGAGGTCTTCACCACTACTCACTACATTGGTCTTGAGCTGGAAGAGGGTATGTTGCCTCTTGCTCCATTCGTTGTCTAGGCCCTCCGTCCGTCGAGTTCTCATGTGATGCTGATTTTACAGGTGCCAAATCCCTTGATCTATCATACCAGGTCGATGAGTTCAAAGTCCTGTGTACTTCATGGAAGAAGTATCAGGAAGAACTTCAGCCATCCGTTTCTCTGGGTGTGCAGCACGTTCGAAAGTAAGCCCCCTCATCACCTCTACGATAACCAAGGATATGGGTTGATGGTCATGAAAAGCTTCAACCTCCCAGACGACGTATTTGATCCCGGAGAAGAGAAGCCTCAGAAGAAGAGCGCTAAGAACACCGCAAACAAAAAACGAGGCCCCCCAGAGGTAATACTATCGCATCGACTATTCGCCCCGCGCTGTGGGATGCGATACGTTTATCCAATCTCCTGAGGAGGGAGAATGCATACTGACACATTGGCAGGACAATACTCCACCGGCGAAGAGACAGCAAGCCTCGGTTGCGGCCGCTGGCTAACGAGAACAGACAACCGTGTCACAGTTCAAGCCTTGATTTCGGTTTGAACGAATGTTTTACTAAAATTTCAAGCTGACGTTAAGGAAGTTGGATGCATTTCTCTCCCCATCCACCGTAATTCTGGCTAGTCATTAACTAGCAGCTCAACCCATGCGACTTCGTCGACATTATCGCTTTCTAGTTCCCTTTTTATTTCTTTTCTTCTTTTCTTTTCTCTTATCCCTTTCTTCAGCTTGTCCCTTATTTCTTTGACGTATACCACCGTACTGAGGCAGGCATACGAGGTACATAATAAAACGGCGCCTAATCTGATATTAGCAGGACGATGAGAGCTGGTACTCGCGGTTATACCACCTCACACCGCATATTCTACGATTCCGTAGCGATTATCCTTCGGTCGTATCTATACTGACACAAAGAGGTCCTCTGAGATGATTTTTCTTTTTTACTTTTTTTTTCTCTATTCAGATTTGCATTTAAAATCCATACTAGGGGTTAAATTTAGATAGAGTTGGCTTGCCACAAATGCAATTATATTCTGAGACATTGAAAAGCTCTCCTTTTGAGGCTGTGGGTGATTTTTATGAGACAATGTTTCCCTTGATGGTTACAAAGTACTGCGTAGGTACAGCCTACACGCTACCCCAGCCATGCTGCATTCCTGCCCCTTCCTTTGTCTGATCCATGTGCTTTTAGCATGGACGTTTTGTATGAGTCCCATTCTTAGTGTACACACTCCTTTATGTATCTCACCCCCTTGTTTTGGAAAGTAGGCAAAGCAAGGTGAAACTTACAGCTCAAGCCAAGTAAGTGTCAATCATCAAAGATCGTCATCGTCTTCATCGCTGCCGCTTGACCAGTCATCTTCATAAGCAGCTCCCAAGTCCGCCAAGCCGTTGACCAAGTTCTCTCGCTCCTCTAGTGAGATGAATGGGGTTACTTGCGAGCGCAGGTTCTTCATCTTATACACGATGGAGCCTTCTGAGGCTATCGATGTGCGTACGGGGATGCTCTCGCGGCCGTGGAGGTCGTAGTTGTATATTGAGGGGAAACTGTCGAGGAGGGGGTAGAGAAGAGAAGTTTTATAGCTAGGAGGCAGTTTGGTCAGTCTTTGTATAGCTTCATAGCGCAATTGTACTGGTTTTTGTATAGTACAGCTTGTGGGAAAGGGGGGGAACTTACTTTCGAACAACAGTGTTTCCGATGATGGGGCGCTGGTTCTTCATGTATTCACCTGCGGAGTCTTTGCCGGGGTCCTCGGGTGCTCGAAGAGACGATAGTCTGCCAAATGCCCGATTACTATTGCTTCCCATCTTGACTCCGTCTTTTGAGCTTCCAATCTGCGACAAGTCCAGTTCCGGAGGCTCGTCCGAGTCCAGTTCGGCCTGCGGCCCAACAGACATGCGCATGTTTGCTAGAGTCTGTCGACCAGAAACATTCAAGCACTGCGCCATATCAGCCATCCCAAGAGGCTGCGAGCTCCCATCAAGACGTAACCTCGACTGCAACGAAGCAGTCTCCGTAGCCGTAGCAAGCAGTGCAGAGACGTTCCACGCCGAACTGCTATCCACGGCAATACCAGACGGAACACGAGAGTCGGGAAGACCCAGGGGCACCACCATGGAAGCCTGGGCACACGCCTGATTAAGACTCATCGCCGTGTTAGCCAGCCTCAAGCGTCTCTTCTCCCTCGCAATCGTCGCCACGGGGCTCTGCAAACCCCAGACCCAGATACACGTCTTGGGATGCTCATCCCTTAACGCCTCGAGATACGAACTTGCGAAACCCCCCCACGCATCGTCCAGCGTGGTGTACACCTGCACGCCCTGCATCTGGTCGCACTCCTCGACAAACGGGCGCCAGTCCCTGTCCACCATTTCATTCTCCTTCTCCAGCGACTCAAACAGCTCGGTGCCCATTTCGAAGCGCTCAAAGGGCATGATGCTGGAATTCAGCTCAAAGTCGTAGAGCTGGACTAGAGACTTGGGATGGTAGTAGACCCGTGAATAGTCGGACCAGTACCGTATATCTGAGGCCTTGAGTTTGCCTGGCTTGACGCCGGCATCGAGGTCTTTCTGGTAGTCGATTGAGGATAGCGGGTTCTGCTTATGAACTGCCGGTTTTCCAGGCCTATTCATTCACAAAACAAGCAACAGAAACAACTCTTTAGCAAGATTCTCACAATAACAAGGGTATAACACTTCCCCCAATGAAGCAAAACTCATCAAGAATCCACATCCTCCCACTTTTAAGAAGCTCTCAAAAACTTACCATAATGAAGCTAAAGCAACGTCCTGCCCCGGCGTAACATCGTACATAGGATTGACCTTTCGCAGCGGCCCAAACGCGCCCTTCAAATCATAGACGAGCGCCCGCGGCAGAAACGTATCGGATCCATCTTCGCCAATGCCCGGCCTCCAGTGGATGTTGTGGTCCACGAGCGACTTTTCGTCTTCTGCGTATGTGAAGTAGGATTCTTGAGTGTTCCAGAAGTGGGTGGCGACGTAGTTGCTCAGATTGCCCAGCTGGAGGGTGACAATCTCACGCATAGCTCAGTGCGGTTCTATGCAAAACTCGATTAATAACAGAAATGGCAATAAATGATGAGCTCCAGACACTGATTTTATGTGAATGGCAGATGAATAATGACGAGTTTTTCTCACTTTTCGTAACGGCTACAGGGTAATTAATATGGGACATATTGGTAGCTCTCAGCTGCCTTGAGGTCCGCTCAAGCTGGGTGCTGACTAATACTCACCAGATGTCCAAGAACTTAATTGATGAGAAAAGATGCATGTTATCTCTTTGTCTAGAATTGTTATATAGATAGATAGATAAAACCAAGATTATGCATCTGTTACAAAGTTGAGGCGCTCAAGTAAAGACGTTGAATATGGGAGAGTAAATTAATATATATCTAGACACATGTACCATCCACCTCATGATATGCTATTACAAAAACGTCGAGGCATCATTTTACGGCCCTCATACTATTGCCTGCAACAAGTGGGCAACGAAACTCCCTAAAGAGAAAACGGAAACACAGGCTTGGACATGGAGGGGTTAAAAAAGGAAAAAGAAAGAAAGAAGCAGTGAAGTGGGGAGAAGGAAGCCTCGACCATAACACCGTGAATCACATCAACATCTTGAGACCATTCCATCCGGACGGACAAGCCATGATGTAAAAAATCCAATCACTCCGATGCTGCTGACAAGCTCAAGAGTAAGCCTGCTGTTGCACTTGATCTGACCAGCCAGCCCCAACAGCCCGAGCGGATCCTGGTGGTGTGGCACTACTTCTTCACGCTTTGATTTCTTGTGCTTCTGACGTCTTGGCTTCTGATTCACTCTTGCCAGTGGCATGCCATTCATCGTCATACCTGGCCCAAGAAGTTGCATCGGCACCTCGCAAAGGCGCTCTGCCTCTAGACTCTGCCGCAAGCTCTCTGCCCAACTCGCCATTTCCAAGGGGCGGTGGTACTGCTCGGGGAGGAATGAACGATTCCAAGAGGGAGTGGACAAGGGGTATACACTCATGGGTTGGCGGCAGATGAGCGCTGACTGCAATGAGGAGCTGCTGGCCTTTTGTCGCCGCCACCTGACACCTTTGAGTGAGGCGGCATGTCGAAGCCTGGCGCTGCCATCTTGGGACATGAGCTGCTCCACGAGCCTATGGAGATCTGTAGCGACAAGTGGGCGGACATATTCTGAATTCATCAACACGCTGGCGTCCATTACATCGTCATCAGAGTCGGAGATGCTCGAGACAGCATAGATATCCGATGATTCAGAAGACACTCCAGGGGCACTAAACGAGAAATATTCAACGTTCTTGTCACGCAGGCAATAATCGATGGTTTGTTTGGAAACAATAGCATCGTCGTTGCTCATCTCATCGGCGCGGGCTAATAGGGGAATCACATTAGTGGTGTTGTGTAGCAGTCTGATTGTCTCTACATCTGCGGCTTCCGGGCCTATATGCATTATGTTAGAGTTAAATATGGTTTACAGTAGAGTGAGGAGCGATGAACAAGTAACATACCAGTATGGGGCAGCAGATACAGCACTGCATCAACGATAGGCTCAGTCCCGTTGCTTAGGAGATTCCACAGGTCGCCATCACTGATTGGCCGGTGCAGTAACGGAAAGAGCTGTGATTCGACATAACGGACGGCCGGATGCGCAGCCTCGGAATCTTGTTGAGGAGGGCAGTCCACAAAACAGAGATTACGGTCTAGCATCTCATCCATTGCTGAACTTCGTCGCCTTGGGGCAAGAGAAGGGTCCAGCTCCGCTCTCCACCACGGGTAGGGGCGGGTGCTGGCATATACTTCGGATACTTGGCCCTTGTCGCGGTTCGTAACGGGGTCAACATGAACAATATGCTCGCTGCACTGTGCAATAGCCGTGATCAAAGTTGATTTTCCGATCCCTTTATCTTCTGGTTAGCAGTCACTTCTCCTCAAGTATCGCCACGGCAGAAACACACCATCTGGGCCTGTCACCAGAACCTTGAGCTTTCCCAACGATTTTCCCGTGTCCGAAAATGGCCGACGTCGCGGAACCGTTAGGCTAGGCATGATGAGCTGCGGCGTATGGCTCCCTGCGAGGCCGTCGTTGGCATGTTGATAGAGGCCGATGCCGCCTTGGTGTGGGCCTATTAGACTTAGAGAAGAGCTGATCCGGCTAGCAGACATGGAGGCGACAGGCGAGCTCATGGGCGACGAGGTTTCGCTGATGACGGACTCGGGACCAGAAGTCCCCAGCATAACGGGAGTCATTGGCCTGGAGAGGTCGTGAGGCGTATCGCCGCCGGGTTGGGACGAGAGAGACGGTGAAGGCCACGAGATGGATGTGGAGGCTGACATGTTGGATCGGTGACAGCTCTTGCCAGCCCGGGCATTTGATTCATATTCGCTCTTGTACGAGAACCGCGGCGTCTGGAAGCTCATCTCGCCCAAATCGCTGATTGAATCCTCGGTTCCGACAAAGTACGTCATTTGGGGAATCGTCGCAGTGGGCGTCAAACTGTCGGAACGCCCATGATGGGCAGATGCGCTGCCGCTGGCCGGAACTGGTCGCATGTTGTGCGCGAGTCTCCAGCAATGAGCGGACTGGGAGACTCAGGAAAGGAGGGATATCTGGAGATGATCGATCAAGCACTTTGTTGAAGCAAGATGCGATGATGGCTGACGTGTGATTTAGAGTTGATCTATCGTTGGGGGAGACTTTCGGCCGGTGATTAACGCGACAGCGCAGTGTTGAGCAAGGTATGGGTACCGTCTCACCGAGTACTGCACAGGTATACTTGGCAGGCGGTGCGGTGGAGATGCGCGATGGCGGAGAGCGGGGAACGACTTTCCGGTACTTTTCGCGTCGTACTCCCTACTTTATCAACGATCGGATGTAAGTCGTTCGAACAAGTTGTGACAGACAGCCGCTAGAGGACTACTGGCGAGTAAGGTGTGATAGAGGTAGAGGCAGTGGTAGATGCTCATCTATTCCCTCACTTGCTAACGGAGCGCGTGGTATTCCTGCTTTCCACGAAGCCAATAACGAACCGCCTATGACCTTCTGTAATGCTCCGCGTCCAGCATCCGACACAGCATACCGCACCTGTCCTCCGTCCTGTAGTAGTGACAAACAGCCAAAGTACAGAGGCAAGCTCGCACCCCGTCTAAGAAATACACCCCTTTAAGATCCCTGGAATGCAGGGACAGCGCTCAGCGTTAGTTCGATACGGCTTATCTAAGTGCATATCCGCGGCCCACAATAGCGGGGCAGCCCGATCCTCCTCTGTATTCCCATCTGGTGCTACTAGCTTCCAGCCTCTTGGGGAGACATCAAGCATTTTGGGTATTGACTCATCTGGAGACAGGCAGACGAAGCTGTTCGGTTGTCAGGAGCAAAGACACGACACAGAACCGCCAAGATGGACGGCAAGAGACATCCCAGCTCGTTCCAGCAACTGGAGAAGCTCGGAGAGGGCACGTACGCCACTGTGAGTTGGTCCTTTGCAGCCCTTTGCCATGCGGTTAAAGGACATGTCGACTAACTATCATCTGTTTTGCTAGGTGTTTAAAGGGAGAAACCGCCAGACCGGAGAGCTGGTTGCTCTCAAGGAGATTCACCTCGATTCCGAGGAGGGCACGCCCTCGACCGCCATCCGAGAAATCTCGCTGATGAAGGAGCTCAAACACGAGAACATTGTCGGACTTCACGATGTTATTCACACCGAGAACAAGCTGATGCTCGTTTTTGAATACATGGACGGCGATCTGAAGAGATACATGGACACTCACGGCGAACGCGGCGCGCTCAAGCCCACGACAATCAAGTCCTTCATGTACCAGCTCCTCAAGGGCATCGATTTCTGCCACCAGAACCGAGTCTTGCATCGAGATCTCAAGCCACAGAACCTACTCATTAATAGCAAAGGATGTCTCAAGCTTGGTGATTTTGGTCTTGCCCGTGCCTTTGGCATTCCCGTCAACACCTTCTCCAACGAGGTCGTGACCTTGTGGTATCGCGCACCAGACGTCTTGCTCGGTAGTAGGACATACAATACGAGCATCGACATCTGGTCAGCTGGATGTATCATGGCTGAGATGTACACTGGCCGGCCATTGTTCCCCGGAACAACAAACGAGGATCAGATTGTCAGGATATTCCGCATCATGGGTACGCCCACCGAGCGTACATGGCCCGGCATTACCCAGCTCCCAGAGTACAAGCCCACGTTCCAAATGTATGCGACTCAAGATTTGCGAAACATTCTTCACGCAATCGACCCCAGTGGAATCGACCTAATTCAACGGATGCTCCAGCTTCGACCAGAGCTACGCATAAGTGCTCATGACGCCCTGCAGCATCCTTGGTTCAACGATCTCGTCCTCCAACAACAACAGCAGCAGCAACAGCAACAAGCAGCCTTGCAAGCTCAGGCGCGGAGTTTCCAGCAGGCGGTCCCCTCACAAGCCTTTGATAACAACTACTAGGCATAGCTTGTGGCGTATCCTCCGCACCAGGATCCTACAGGGCTGGCCATTAGTAGGCATACCTATATGGCCAATCCTGACTATTTTTCGATTGTATGGGGAAAAAGTTGACTCGTTATTACTTCTGGCTGGCGATCAAGACAGCGTAATTGCATACCTACATAAAAAAAAAAAGAGATCATCTGCACATGTCTAGAAGACGGTGTGGGAATACTACGGTCAGACTAGAGCTGTCGCAACAAACCCGGGCTTTGGCGGTGGCTGGATGATATTACTGATACTGATAGTTTATCGTTCATGACTTTAGGGGGGGAGGACAAGATATCCATCCTTTTAATAAGAAGCGAAAGCAGAAAATTCTCATGTTGGGCTTTGCACACTCTGTCACAAGAAATGGGAACTTCTACCATTTGACTTTGTAGCGCTTGGATTCAGTGTCTATTGACAAGGCTACCATCTACGGGGCTCTTGAATTTACGTTTATTTGGCTCCTTGGACCACGTCTCGGCAAGGGCGGCTGTTTCATCTTCCTCGGGAGCGAATCCCATACTCAGCCTGAGCTTTTGAATCTCGTCGCGAACCGCCTTTGCAAGTTCGACTCTGAGCTGCACTGCCTCTGGGTCGTGTCTCAGCTGGTCGGGGTCACCAGCTTTCTCAACCATCTTCTTCCAAGAAGTGCGATAGTGGCCAAAGAGGCTGTCGACGTCGGTTGGTTTCCCAATCATGACTCGTACTCGCTGGCCTATGCGCGGCAGGAAACGCGGGAACCCTCTATCCTCGGACATGATGTTCTGCGTGCCATGAATGAACATGGGGACAAACTCTGGTGCCGGGTCGCTTTCGAGAATCAGGCGGGATACACCCCATTTGAAGTAGCGCAAGGTACTGTCGGGGTTCTGGTGGCAGCAGGCCTCGGGGAAGATGTGGACCCAGGCATAGTGGTTGGCTGCAAAGGCAGAGGGCGAGACGAAGGAGTCGGTGCCGTTGGTGGAAAAGGTTATGTCGGACGGCTTGATGACGGATGAGGGACTGGAGAGAAGCTTGATTGCCTGGGCAATGGTGGGCTGGTACAAGCCCCCTTGCGGCGAGTGCCACAGCCGGTGGGTGGGCAGCACCTGGCCGTAGCTGAAGAAGGCCGAGAAGAAGCGGTTCTTGAAGCAGATGTCGTGGGCACCAAGGCCCCAGCGGAGGTTCTCGACGTCGACGGCGTACCGCAGCGGGAGGATGCCCCAGATCAAGGGATCATCGAGTCTGGGGCTAAGTTAGCAAAGAGTGTTTTATAGCAATTGATTTTTTGGCTCCTTCAATTGAGATACCATACACGGAGACGTGGTTGCACACAGTCAGCAGGCCGCGGTCTCGCTGCCCGTTTTTGCGGCGGTCCAGCACGCCCAGCAGGTTGTCCAGCCCCGTGACCTCGACCCGGTTGAGGCCGTAGAGGAAAGCTCGTGATGCGGCCCCGACGCTGCTCATGACGGCCACGGAGGCGAGCCGCCAGGGCGCACCGGGCCGTGACGCGGGCGTTGGATGTGACGACGACATTTGAGCTCCCGGGCTATGTTTGGCTGTTAATAGCTTTGGCTCGGAGGGATGGCCCGGCGCTGGGTTCCATGACAGGCACTTATGGAGGCCATGGTGGTGAGAAGCAGCACATATAATAGTACCGTATGGAGCAGATGGAGCCGAGCCCTTTTTTTTTTTTTTTTTTCCTGCCGTGGTTCCTTTTTTCTTTTTTTCTTGGGGGAGCCAACAAAGTCGGCCGGGTGCTAAAATGCTGCAGCTAGCCGGCTGAACTTGGCCGCTGTCAGTGGTTGATCCAGTGCTGGAATATAGCGCCCAATGCCTGAACCACAAGCGCTCCGTAGTGGGTGTGATTGGGCAATGGCAACCGGAACTGCACCTGCATTTCAAGGCTCCGGGGCTGGCATTTCTCTATTTTGGTACTAGTCCAGCTACGGGACGGGGGATGGCTAATCCTAGATGGGCAGTATCATGTCTTGCCCAAGCATCGCGCTGCTTCAAGCTAAAGTAAGATCCGAAACTCTGCATCTACATTACAAACTGCTGTACATACATACAATACGATACGATACGACACGAGTGCCGATTCAGAATTATTTTGTGACTATAACTCGAATTATTTACCAGCGTTGTTGAATCCAGTAGAGGCCATTTGCTTGCATATCTGTGGCAACAATAGCCATAATGTCACATAGTAGGCAGCTCTTCTCTCTCCTGCTGGGCGAGCTTCCAGCTTGAGCTCTCAGAAGCTAACCACGAAGTTCCCCGTTCATAGGCAAAAGAAACACGACCCGCCCCGTCTTCACTTCGTACGAAAGAGAGCAGGCTAAATCAAATTGGAGCTCAAAATCCGCACAGCTCAGCCGAGACTCATTCCTGCCCTTTGGATTCTGCAGTCTCTGCCTGGAAAACGCCCGAGAGCCGGTCGCGTGCCCACGAGGGGACATTTTCTGCCGCGAATGCGCCCTGGAGAACCTCCTGGCACAGAAGAAGGAGCTCAAGCGGGCAGAAAAGGCGCGCCAGAATGCAGAGAAGGAGGCTGCCAGGATCCGAGCCATTGGCGACGACGAGGAGCGCGAGCGGGCCATTCGCGATTTTGAACTGACCCAGGCTGGGTTGACGAATAACAGCTCGGGCAAGGGCAAGCCAAGTTCGAGTGCTGCGGCGGAGAGTAAAAAGGAGGACGAAGCTACTGTTCGCGCTGGGTCAAAGAGAAAGTTTGCCCTTGATGCGGACGAGCTTGATCGGATAGCGGAAAACGATAAGGCAAAGGCTAGGAAAGCAATTGATGATGAAAAGGTGAGTAGAGCTTACACAACCGTTGCTGCCACATCCAACGTATGCTAATCTTGTCATGACAGGCTGCTAAACCAACACTTCCTTCATTCTGGACACCTTCACTCACCCCGGATGTGCAAAACAGCGGCTTGGCCCCCGTCGCAAAGAAAGCCAAAACGACGCCCACCTGTCCTGCTTCTGCGGAACACGACGCCCACCCCTTTTCTCTCCAGAAACTGCTGAAAATCGAGTTTAATGAAACCACAGACTCTGCCACCAAGGAATCGCGCAGAACCTGTCCGTCATGCCTCAAGACCCTTTCCAACGCTTCCAGCCCGATCATGGCGGACAAGTGCGGCCACGTCCTGTGCTTCAGCTGCGTCAAGCAGTTTCTTCTTCCTTCGGAGAAAACACAAGCCCAAGAGGCAGAAACAAATATTGCGTGCTTTGTTTGTAGCACCCCCGTTGCCGTCGTCACCAAGCCCACTAAGATTTCGAGCGCAAAGGACTCTTTGCCGACGGGGCTCATCAAGCTGAAGTCAGAAGGAACCGGTTTCGCTTCTCGTGGTTCGCGCACCGTGGAAAAATCAAGCGTTGCTTTTCAATGTTGAGCGGAGTTTGATTCACACTCTGAGCTACCATGCCCCTTGGCCCAGATTATCGCTGTAGGGAAGACATGGTGCCGAAATGCACCGTATCGATCCTCAAGCTTCTTCATGGAGCCATGCATTGCTCGAGTAACAGGGCTCGTATATGCACCTGGAATCACACAACGGTGTATCAGGACTGTGCACTGAAAGAGGATTCCAGTCCAGCTTCTCTTTCAAAGAGGCCCGAGAAGCTCCGTATGCTTTACGCCATATCGAAGAGCTTCTTCTTATCTCTGGGTGGCTTGATTGGGTGATAGTGACAACAATTGATCGCTGTCCATGAAATCAGAGAGCCAGCAGGCTAAAATGCTAAGTCCACCATCTTTCGGGCATCATACACTCTCCACCAGTTCTATTGAGTGCATGTCCTTTGAAGGCATCCTTAAACATAGTCCAGCAAGGTGAAACACCTGGACCAGTGCGGAAAAAGATGCATTCGCTGGCCGTTACCTTGCAATGCCAACCCATGGAATAGCTCGACATTACCCGGTGAGCTACTACGGCCACTGCAGTGTCAAGCCGTCTCCTGTGGACGGAGAGATGAAGAGTAGGTCGTTGCATCTCTGTTACTTTGACTGGGGGCATATAGACTGTAACCTACTATAGAATAGCATTGTGTCTTTGGATATAGCAAGCACATAGCCAGTCTCTATATAGAAGCATTATAGACAGCTATTCAATCACAAGCACGCATTTATTCAATCTTGTATAATGATGTGAACGCTGACTGAGTCGGCTTCTATTGATACACCTTGTATGGCTGTCTCCAATAATGTATTTATACAGAGATGCGTTTATACAATGAATATGATAAACCTTTAAAAAGAAGTAGAAGAAAAGAACAAGCGGGTCGGCACAGTATTCCAATACCGAGCTGTATCGCTGCCCGTGCCCCTGAATATAAAAAGGATAGTCGTTTCAATCATCAAAAACCCATTTCCTAGTCCGAAAGCCATTCCCTAAAATGGTATATACCCAAAAGGACGATTGAATAAAAAAAAAAGTTCCAAAAGAAGAGAAATAGGAAAGACACCGTACGCCTTGTCCATGCTCAAACCGCCGCTGTAATCGCAAAACCAAAAGAAAGAGAATAATAAATCGATCTCAGGGGTCATGTTTTCTATGCCTGGCTTTCTATGCCCGACTCGCCACCGAGGCCTGCCTCTGTGGCGGCGCAGGCATGCCGAAACTTGCCTGCCGCGCTGATCCCGGGATGGACATGGATTCTACGTCAGGCTCACCCGGAGCGTCTTCGTTATCCAACATCCCGGGGTGGCCAGGGGGCAGTCTCTGAGCGCCAAAGCCGGTGACCTTGAAGATGTTTGTGCGGCCTCCATTGGTGGCCATTTGCAACTGCTCATGAAGCCTTGCAAGCTGGTACTGGCGCTTGATGGGGGTGAAAACGGGCTGGGGGATCAGGGGCTGGGGGTTCCAGTGGGCCAAGGCACTCATAACGGCGCCTGTCTCTTCATCAGAGTCTACAGGGCCGTTATTGGCATCGTCGTCGTCTTCAAGAGGTGCATTTGCATCCAACGCAGCTTCTGTAGTATCGATTAGCCTCTGAATAGATAATGTGTAATTGGTGGCAGTGGGGGAACATACTCTGCTGCTTGGCCTGATTCTTTTTCTGGTACGCAGCTAGAAGCATGTCGTAGGGTAAAGATCTTCCTGATACAGCACGCTTTGCTCCCATCGAGTGACTTTTACACGTTAAAGAACGAGCACACGGTTGGCCATTGGGTAGAATGACACCACATTGGCGCTCAACATCGACAGGTCCTGCAGGGAGAAATCAAGAGGAGTCAGCGAATCTATCCGGGGAACCGTAATTTTTCTTCTCGCAACAACATACCTTTTGGCTTCGGGAGCTTAGCCTTTGGCTCATCCTTCTTCTTCTTCGCCTTGGGTCCCTTGTCTGCATCAGCATCAGCTTTGCGCTTCTTGCTGACCTCTGGCTTCTTGCTGGCGGCCTTTTTGCCGGCTTTCTTTTCTTCCTCGGCGTCACTGTCTTCGTCTTTGCCATCTGCGTTGTCGTCATCATTCTTCTTGGCCTCTTCTTCCCGCGCTGCCTCCTTTGCTCGCTCTCGAGCTTCTCGAGCCTCCTTCTTCCGCTGGGCCTTTTCTTTCTTGACCTTGAGGCACTGTGCTATATGGGCCTTTGCAGCCGTTTTAAGGATGCTCTTCTTGCAATGCTTGCACTGTTGAAGCTCCGGGTTGTCCTCCAGGGGTCGTCCAGTCGCAAAGGTCTCGCGGGATAAGTCGTCTAGTTGGTTGACGACGGGACCAGGAGACACTGGTACCGATGGTGACGAATTGTTTGTCTTTTTTTTCTCTTCTTGCGCAGCGTCAGCATCAGAATTCAGCACTACTGTAAGAGGTACAGAAGAGAGGGAACAGGGCTGGGCGATATATACCATCGATGACGCTGCCGTCCATCCAGTTGCCCGGCTTGCTATGCTTTGGAACCGACTTCTTAAGCTTTATTGTTGCATTCTTGGAGTCTTTTTTGGAAGCGACCTTGATTGTTTGGTCTGCGCCTAGAAGCGTGAGCTGGAACGAACTGTTACATGCATGGTAAATAATGATATCGCCTGCCCACCTTTGCGCGACTCTGCGTCTGGCGCCATGATTGCCGCTGCGCCGGGATGATGTCAGGATGTGTGGTTTTAACGGCCAACCGGCGAATAACACGGTAAGGAACAATTGTAGCAGGCTCAGCAAGGCACGACAGCACTTTGCAGGCGTTGGAGTTGGATATAAGTTGCAGACGGACAGTGACGATCGCGAGGCTGATGTCCAAGGAACCCAACTTCACGTGTCTTGGGTGGAATGGGCGACGTCGGAAGCAACAACGATGTTCCGAAGATATCGCGGAGGCTCAGCGGTACGTACCAGCACCACTTAGAGGCAACCCACTGATGCTGAATCTCATTGTTTGAATCTGAGCTCAGTTGCGATTCATTTCGCAGCATTGTAAATGTCAAGTACAATAGAGTAATAGACAAGATGCTCATTAGGCATGTTATTGATCTATACAACAATATTGAAAATAGAAATAAAACAGTGACGTGCATGCATAGGTACATACATGCACTGTCCCGTAGACCAACCAACCTTGTCCGGTGTCACTTTACGGCACTACTTTAGTGAGAGGGTACCTTAGTCGGCCCCATGGGGATCGCAGCGACCCATTTGTTCATTCTCCGCTATGCTTTACACAAGAATCCGTATCAAAGTCTAGGTACTATAGCATCTAGACCGCTGAACCCAGAAAACGCCCCAGTATATTCAAGAAAACATCAAGCCAATCATTCTAAATAGGGGGCGCCAACAGCCCAAGGAATCCACCAGTTATGTGTGTGTGTACTGTAGGTGAAAGGGGTATAATATGATAGAAGATATAGAAAAAAATGCACTGGCCACGATAGTCTCAATCATCCCAGCGTTGGGATATTGTTTTCACGCCACGCCTTGTATATGCGGTCCCTCATTGCCATGTGGCCAAGACTGCGCTACAACAGAGAGAGTCAGCATCTTGTTTTGGCTGCAGATGACATGGAAAAGAAACCAAAAAGAAAAAGGAGAAGCTTACCGGATGAAAAGTCTTGCCGTAATATGTGGGCACATACCACATGGAATTCTCCGCCACGACCCGCCCGTCTGCCTTTCGCAGCTCTGCATCTTTGCTAGCCGCCGTGGCCATCATGCACAGAGCCATCTCGCCCCAGTCCCCGGATTTCTGCGCTGGTCCAAGGCAGTTGACCGGATCAACCAGCGGGGAATCCAGAGGGAGTAGGGCGTCCGTGGCCCCGAGCACGGGCGTCTCTGTATTGTCCAAACCGCCAACGAGGAAGAACCACGTTTCGTTTCTCGCATAGTCTGGCTCGACGACGCCCGGCTCGCAGAAGCGATGGCCCTCAAAGGCGTCGTCGTAGTCGACGAAAAGGACCCTGGGCTCTGCAAACGCGGCGTTGATGGCGTCGACTGAGCGGCGGATCTTGTTGTTGACGTCGACAACCATGTCGTTCATGCGCTGTCGAAGCTCCCGCTTCAGCTTGGGGCCTCGCCACCACATGCCAAAGGAGTAGTCGTCGCACTCCTCTGTGTCGGCGTTGAAGAAGCGGGCGTATCCAGTGACGGTGATGGTAAACCACGGCCGCTTCTCCCACCGAACGCGGTCGAGAATCTCCATAATGACGAGTCGAAGGCGATGTTCAAAATCGGAGCTGGCCATTTGCTCGTCGGCGTGACGAAGAGCAGACTCGCAGGTCCCAGAGTAGAAGCTGTAGAAGCGAAAGATGCAGCTGTTCATGATTTCGAAAAAGCCCAGGTCGTTGCCGCCAATGGACAGGAGGGCAAAGTCGGCCGTCGCCGTCGTGTTGAACTCGTCAATCTGGCTGTGCTCCGCACCAGCGAGCATATCGTTGACGGTCGAGCCCGTGCAGGAGAGGAACTGAAAGGTAGGGCCGTCGCCTCCATCCAAGCTGCGGCTGAGGTCTTCCTGGACTAGCATCGGGTAGGCATTGTGGCCGTGGCGACAGTCATCTTCGGTGCCGTTGAACAGGCCTGTACCGATGCCGGCAGAGTATGAGTCGCCGAGAGCGATGAAGCCCGACGGACGGTTTCCTGGCCTGCTAGGAAAGGGCGGTGCGTAAGGAGCTTGGGATCGGTAGGCTGTAGAGGGTGATTCTGTGGTTGTTTGTAAGGCGTAGGTTAGTGGAAGGGAGCGCTATTGAAGTGACGCAAAGCAAGGAACGGAGGATGGACAACGCTGTCTCACCTGGACGATGCTGTCCCAAGACCAGCTGTTCATTGTCCAAGCGATGCTCGTATGGCTGGATGACTAGGCCGAGGCTGCGGATGGGAGCCCAGGCCAGCGTCAAGACGAGCAGCCAGTTTGCAACGTCTGGATACCGCGTCATGCTGGGGATGAGAAGGAAGATGAAGATGAAGAAGAAGACAAAAATAGCAGACGAAGCAAAAAGACAAACAAATGGCAGCTCAAGACATTTGAGCGCGCGGAGAGGATTAGACGAACGCTTCGGATTGCCCCGGCGTTGGGGAGAGCCGGGGGGTCGCAACTCGTTGGGCTCGGTGATGAGGCTGATGCCAGTAGGAGTAGTTTTGTGAGTGAGTCTTTTTGACTTACATGGCCCATCTACCCATATATACGGATACACCGGTAGATAGATGCAGCTGCAAACGCACCTACTAATAATAATACGTGTGAGCTGCCATACTGACTGACTGTCTGTCATACAAGCTCAACTGTCATGCAGTGGCATCTGCCTAGGGACGCGAACAGATAAGATAGCAGAGCCTAGCCTTGTCCCGGGGTCACGATTTTGTTGGGCTCGCCCACGCTTATAGGCTGGTGCTGATCCATGTGCCGCGGCCGCGACCTCCTACTTGCTGCAGCTTGTCAGGGGCTTTAGTTGGATGAGTCTAAGTTAGCCCGTTTGCGACGGCTCACGGGACTGAGGCGGGAATCAAGGGTCTGATCTGGTTCACATTCACGCGGGTTTCATGTATGTACCGGGAGAGAGGATGGATGTGGGATTAAGCAGAGGTAATATCTGCCGGGTACTTTGTAGGGTACATGTCATGTTATCTTGCCGCATAACGAACAACGCTGGGTGTGTGTAACGGGAACAGAGAGAGAGGCCGAGGAAAAGTAAATTACTCGTGAAAATGCATCCAATAGTAGTTTATTACTTACTGTAAGTGGTAGTGTAAGGAGCTGCCTTCATACTCCCCCAGCTCCATCATCTGTACTCCGTAGTTAGAGCAACTATGTACCTTAAATGTGCATCGCATTTGGCCCACATTGTTGATTCCCACTTCTCCATCTCGAATCTGCCAATCTCCGCCCATCAAACAAAGCATGCACAAGCACGAAACCAGGAGAAACACACCTGAAGGCAATGGGAAACAAAGCATGTACAAGCATCAAGTACAGTACACGTATTGGACCCCTAATAAGAGTACATTACCTAACCTGTCACTGTCCATGCCTTTCATACGTCATTCACGTGCAGCCCCCCAGTGACACTTCTCTCTCACACGTTCCCACGCTTTCCCCACCAAAAAAGGGCGACGATCTCGATCCAACAACGAGAGCCTTGCGTCATCGCCCATCGACCCCCTTTCAGCTGCTCCAGCCCAGCCCAGCAAATTCCAAGCTTCAGAACTGCAGATGCAGCATTACCGGAACATTTTGTCAAGGTACTAAGGTTTATGCTTGTCAAAAATAGCAGCTGCACAAGGGCAATTCCCCCACCCCACCTCTTTGTACATACTGCATTTCGAATAGCTGCCAGTGTACAAGTACAAGCAAAACTTGGCTGCGCAAATCCCCTCCGTCATTGCCGTCATACGTGTGTCCATGTTCATGTCTGTTCCCCCCAGCCTCGCTCGCCATGGCCATTCAGCGAGTAGAATCCCGGATTCTGTTAGTTCAAAGTCGCTCCCAGCTTGGAGGCCGTGCTACGTCGACGTCAGAGGCGGGCTTCCAACCTAATTGCTCTTTTATTAAAAGGGCCACCTCTTGAACTCTGCCCCCATTTCCAAGTGATTTCTACCAGACCCAATTCTTTCTACTCGACTTCGTACTATAATACCCATCATCGACACAACTCGTCTACGTAACATCTTCTTCTCAACGCCATAAACCACTAAACGCACACCACTTACACAATGTCTTCCGCTATCGAAACCATCAACCAACTCGCGACATCCGCCGCAAAGGCCGTCTGGGGCGACTCCAGCACCGACGAAACCCACAAGGAGCCCATCTCGGGAGCCACTGGCGACGTTTCCAAGGGCGAGCCTTATGACGCCGGCAACTTGGGTATGATTGACAACTACTTACACGATACCATATGTCAAAAACGACTAACGCCATATAGATCCCAAGGACCAAAACAAGGTCGAATCCAGCCTCAAGGGCCAAGAAGACGACTCACCCTCAGACCTAGCCGAAAACGAATACTACGCGCTCTCATCCTCCGCAAAATACAAACCCCTCCCCGAAAGCCCTCGAACCCAAGAACCCATCGGCGGCCAACTCCAGGATAGAACCAAGAGTAACCTCAAGGACACAACAACAGGCACAAACGCAGATGACGACGTAAACCCCGAAGAAGGCAAACCCCTCGACAAGCTCACCGGCGCCGGCCCCCGCCCCGTCGAAGAGCTCGCCAAGGAAAACGGCGGAAACGCCGCCGCCGCAAGCTCCAACGACGCCGTGCAGGAGGAGGACAACAATAAGCCAAAGGAGCAGAAGCTGCCCGAAGATAACTCCCAGCAGCGCGACGACAATCAGAAGTGGGAAGCTTCTGAAGACGACTACGTTAAGACGACGGGGCTTGCGGCTGATGGAGGGAACTTTGATGCTGCGAAGCCTGGGGCTGGAGTTGAAGCTGATCGTATGTCCCCTCCCCCACCCCTACTTTTCCCCTATACTCTCTTTTATTCATTCTTCTTATGGACATGGTGAACTCCTACTGACTATGTAAATTATATAGGCTTGATGGAGCAAAAGGGCCTCAAGACAGATGACGACGATAACAACAACCACAAGGCCGGCAGTTCTGGCCGCAAGAGCTCGGATTCAGGCCGTCATCACAAGGATAAGCCCACTCTGGGGGAGCGAATCAAGAATAAGCTGCACCGACATTAAATCCTGTCTTGTCCTGCTTTTCCCTAAATTCCCCCTTTCTGCTTCTGTCAATTTTGTATCAATTATTTAATTCTGCCTGTATGGAAACGAGGAGTTTGTGTGTATGATACTTTATCTGTATTTGCTCGAAAAAAGTGTTACTTCTCACGTTTGAAACAATATATCCAAGTTTCACGATTTCAAAATTCTCCAAACTTTTCAATGCAAGCCTTTCGTAGATTCGATTTCCAAACACTAATGCTAAACGTCAAAACAAGTATATACCATCATAAATAGCCGTACCATATATATATGCAGACGTTGGATATATATATGTATATATATAAAACGGGTATGATATTCCAAGTTTCCCAATCGCCATTCGACATTTCCTCAATAGATGAAGAGAAATTTCCATCCAACTCTAAATCAAGATGCCCAAACATCCCTCGGATAATAGAAAAACTGAGAACATGGAATAATGTTTTGTTTTGTTTTCTTTGCATCATGCGAACCCAAGTTCCTTCTCGAGCCATAAAAAACCAAAACTCATCAGAGGCGCCAACGAGAATGCCAACAAGTTTTGTTTGCGAATCATAATCACAAAGTCGTCAGAGGCGGCAAACCACGGTAAAATCCATACTACTCTTCATGGTGCCGATGCATTTCAACGTCCAGTCATCCCCACGTTTGGGTCATTGGATGTTGGTCGAAATCAGGAAACCCAAGACACCTTGAATGCAATCAATCCACGACAGCATTTCTGTACAAGGGCCGTCCAGGCTCGGCTGCATCTTTTGTTTCTTTTCGTCCTTTTTTCCATTCCCTTTCAATTATCCCCCTCTTTTTCGCGCCTCGAATCCCTGGAAAAAAGAAGAAGAAATCCAACTTCCGCTGCGATATAGTACCAGACCATTCCGGCATGGCCTTTTTTTTGTGGCCAGATCTTCCCCATTCTAGATCCTCTTCGTATCATTTCTCTGCTTCCACTCCCTCAAACATGCTTTGTGCTTCTCTTCTATACACTCTGCTTCTCCATTGTACAACACGTTAAGCGTCTTTATATATGGGCCCAGTTTGCTGACTGTTTCAAACAATATCAGAGTATCAGGGCTTTGGTGCTCAGGGGCGAGTATTTCACAAAAAGCCAGATTCAGCAAGCACCCTACATCACACAATTCGTTAGCAACTGTGAAAGAGCAGACCGAAGCAAATGCCTCCTCTGTTTTGCTTTGTTGTACATACCTGACAATCTTCTCGTCTTCACGCTCGCGGGGTTCAATCTGCAAACTCTTGTCGTACATCTCATGTACGTCTCCCGCAGCTTGCATGTTGCTCACTATGTAATCGTGCAGTTCAGGGACTGGCTGTAGGGAGTATCCCACATTCTGGTATTGCTGAATGTCGCGAATGACTTCGGCTGTCTTTGCTCTCTTGGCAAAGTTGATCAGATTGGTCTTCTTAATCACCGAGGGTATACCGTCCTCAATAAAGGTAAGATCGGTCAAATAAACACCTACGTTCTTCTGTTAAAACTACCATCCTTCACCATAAAGTTGCTCAACAGGCCAAACTCACCGAAAAAGGGGATACACGGCGGGTTGGCAACGTGAAGCGCCTCGCGGTACTCGCCAAAGTTCTTGGTGCTAGCCATAAGTCGACGCATCGTTTCCAGAACAACGCTGGTTCGCTGAGGGACTTGATCCCAGGTCCGCTTCAAACGCGCAATAGGCGCCGTGCCCAACGCTGAGATGATGGATGTCAACGTGGAGAAGTTGTTGAGACCTCGGCATTTCTAGTAAAACTGTGTTAGCACTGGATTGTTCTTTCAATATAAAAGTGTCAGGATACGCAAACATACGTCGGCAACAGCAACAAAGTGCTTAATCACCACAACTCGCTTCTTGACATCCATCTGGTTTAGAATCATCTCCGCCACCCAGTTGGTCATCTGGTTAGAGTGCAGAATCAGAGCCTTGACATTCGGAGCTGCGTCAGGGTCGCCGTCTGCAACCTTTTTCTGCCACGTCTTATTCAAGCACTCAGTGGCCTTGATCTTGGAGTACAGCCGAGACTCGATGATTGTCAGTTGGCGAGCAAACTCTGTAACGTCAATGTCCAAGAATTTGAGTTTTCTCATGTTCTTTGGAATGATGGGCGTTGGAGTGCTCTGGTTCAGGGTTTGGATCATGCGCCTGGCGCCAGCCTCCTTGCCGCTGAGCCTCTGGTCGAGGATCGCCATCAGGGGCCCTGAACCTGGTGTCTCAGTCGACTTGACAGTGTCTCTCGCAAACGTGTACACGTCGCGTATCAGAGTCTTGGACTCGTCGTTGAACTCTTCCATCCAGAAACTGTCGAACCAACTCTTCAGAATGTTGACCACTCTGAATCGGATGAGCTTCTGCTTGCGGTCTCGCCACAACTCATAGTCTTGCTGTGTGAGGCCCTCCGGAGGCTGTATGCCGAACCGTTGAACTAGCATCTCAAAGAGCTCGCGTGCTGAGGTAAAGGATCGATAAGTCAAGAGGAAGGTGTTGTTAAAACTAGAATCAAGTTTATCATGGCGCGTGAGCTGCTCGACCAGTGCCAAGAGGGATCCTCCCTTTACCGTGGGTGTGGTTGCCTTTGCGTCCCAAGAGAGGTCGTTTTCGTAGTCCAGGAGCAGGAACTCGGGCGTGTCCTCGTCCGGTTGAAGCTGTGGTGACGGGTCTTCTCCAAAGATCTTCTTGACCTTGGAGTAGTCGCCCTTTCTGGAGAATCCAGGAGGGGCATCGCCCTCGGAGTATGACTGGGTGGTGATGAGTGGCGGTCGGACTGGTGCGGTCCTTGAGTCTGACCGCTGATGGGGTCTGTCGTAAGGCATAGTCTCTCCTCGCTGGAGCTGGCCCCGTGGTGGTTGACGAGCCTTTGCTTGCTGCTGCTGCATGTTGATCAGGACCTGCTCTGAAAGCAGCTGTAGCGAGAATCCAGTGTGCGACGAGTTCGTCTCGAGTGCTCTCGCGCATTGGCGAACATAGTCGAGACGGCTCTCGAGAGGCTCTCCCCGTACTTCTGACCATTCGTCCGCCAGGGGTCCGGCGACGGCTTGGCAGCTTAGCATAAGGTCGGCAATGTTGTCGTACAGCGATTGCTTGTTGATGCTAAAGTCTTCCAGCTGAGGTGTCTGGAATGTATTGCCCAAAGATGACAGGTCGACGGACTCAATCATGGCAATCCACGGCCTAAACGTCTCTACAACCTTGCCGCCTGCAAAGCAGACATTGTTAGCAATGGCCTCGTGCCGCTGAGGCGAGATGATCTTTTCAGGAGCTGTAAGGTTCTTTTCCAGCTCCCGAATGCTAGACACGAGAATTCTCTTGTGCTCATCTAACCTCTCGAGGAGATTACCATCGAGGACTGCGGTGGGCTCGGTGAGACCCTCCTCATCGTCAAGGAAGTTGGGTGACATCAAATCATGGAAATCTAGCCCGTTGCTCTGCCAGCTCCCACCTGAGGTGCTGCCAATGACAAAGCCAGGGAAAAGTCGGGGGATGTCCTCTCCTCTCTGTTGCCTGGCCACTTCAACATAGCTGAAGACGCCACCCAACACGCCGTCGGCCTCCTGGAGACACTTTTGAACAGATTCCGCGTTGGGCCAATCGGCGGCAGCAATGTGTGAAGAAATAACCAGCTTGGAAAACTTGGACATCATATCTCGGAAGTGGGGATAGAGTGCCTTGTTAGTAGAGATGATGGAAGGCTGACCAGAATGGTTGTCCGTGGTCCCTGAGCCGGCGGCAAGAAGTAGTCTGAGGTGATCGGAAATGTCTTCGGCCCTGGCCACGTATTCGGAGCGGGCGTTGTTGGTGACGGCCTCGCGATATCGGTCGATGGCGCGCTTCATGTTGGTGACAAGCAGACTCCAGGTAAGGGGTGGCGTGGATCCATCGTCGAAGAAAGACTTGGGCACGCTGGTGGTGGCAGGCACGTTGTATGTGGTGCTGGTGAATGATGTAGCCGATGCAATGTTTGGTGGTTGGTTGGTGTTGGCGAATCCGAGGGCGTATGCATCGCTTCTCTTCCGCCGAGCGGGAGAAGTACCATTCATCGAGTCCATTGATGTTGACGGGGAGAGAGCTGCACTGAATGAACCGCGAATGCGAGGCTGGATAGAGGATTAGTTCCAAGTATTTTCTTTTTTGTTTGGTCATGTTTAATGGACAGATAGATGTGCTTACCATGGACCCTCTGGACGCGAGCATCAGAGATTCGCCTTCGGCCTCTGAAGCTGAAGTCGCCGAGTCGTCGTCCTCGTCCTGGGTCAGCCCACGCGCCATCATTTCTGGCGGCGGCCGTGTCTTCTCGGGCATGGCAACGTTCATGCGGTCCCTGGGGCCCGTCTCGGCCGAGGACACGGGCGATTCTAGCGGCAGCTCCATGCTGCGATCGCCCGTCATCATGTTGTAGTAGAAGAGGCGGCCATCTGGCGTGGCCTGCGGGATCCAAAAGTCGGCGCGAGACTTGTCGCCGCCCATGTCGGTGCCCTCGAGCGGCAGGCTGCCAAAGCCTTCGCCCTCGGAATCTTCGTCCTGGTCGGCACTGTCTTCGTAAAGTTCGTTTTCCTCCATTTCGTCTTCCATGTGGTGGTTGGCATGGCCGTTTTGGCCCATGTCGGGAAACTCGTCGGGGCTAGTGATGGCCTGGCAGTAATTGCTGGGGAACCAGCCGCGCACTCCATTGATGACGCCGTCCCACCAGCCGCTCTCGAGCTGGGTGATGACCTGGATGATGTCGCCCTCGTGGAAGCTGAGACTGGTCCTGTCGTCGGCCTCATAGTCGTAGAGAGCACGGACGTACATGCTGCCGGGCGGCGCAGTTCCCACGACGCCGTCCATGGTTTTTGGCGCGCGCGTGTGGGGGAAGAGCTAGAGAGAGGGGGGAAAGGAGAAGTTGGGGAGCGAGAGAGCGCGCAAGAGAGAGTCGGAGAGGGGGCTTCGACAAAGGCCCAAACGCGATGGCGATGGCCGGGATGGGCGAGATGGCGATCGAGTCACGGTTTGCGCTCGAGGCCGCGGAGGATCTGTGCCAGCAGAGAGCAAGTCGAGTCGAGTCGAGTCGAGTCGAGGCGGGTCGGATCAGATCAGGATGAGATGGCGACAAAATCACCGCAGGACATGGTCCGCGAGTCAGCCTTGTTGCAAGCCGATGGCGGCGCGCGCTGGGCCGATACCAATGCCAATGAGCATGCCACCAATGTTGCAGGCGGGAAGCAGGCGAGACGTGCTCGACGGGCTGGAGATGTTCAGCAGATCGCTGGGGGAAAGGGGAGGCTATCGTCGACTGGAGTTTCGAGTGGCGGCAATTGGGGTGGTGGCCTCGCTGTGTTTCTGGCGCTGCTGCAGAAAGGGCACGCTTGCTGCTAGGCCGTTACGGGCACTGGGGGGAGATTTAGGCGAGACAAGAGCACTGATGGAGGCGCTGTATCTTCCCATGTGCTAGTGGGCGCGGGCGTCCTCCACTTCTACAATGGATTGGATCGGTTCTGGCAGCGTTAGCGAAGTACAAGGCCCAGATACTGCCCGTTACAGCAACCCCACGCGCCGTCAACCTCTGGAATCCGACAGCTGCTGGGGGAACTCGACGCACCTGAAGCATGCCGTCGATCGCCCAAACAAACGTGGAAGTGGAAGCGCAGTGCAGGCTCAAGCAGCACGAGCAACGCGCGACATCAGACCGGCGGAAACGAGACAGTTGCATGTACTCCGTATCTACTTCCCATGGACCCCCAAAATGAGACGAGCCCCGCTCGCCATGCTCCGTCGCTCCAGCTTAGCGCCATGCACGCAGCCAGGTACAGCTACCCCGGGCAGCCACAGACGGCCAGCCACATGCTTCGTACCCGGTACTTGCGCGCGCTCGAACTAGTGGCTAGCCACTAGGAGGAAGCGATAGCTACAGCACCTCCTGAACCGTTTGAAACCTCGCAGCACACCAGCCATTGATGTGTTAGGCCGGTACATGGATTGATGGAACTTGCACCAACAAATTTCAAAATTGAATTGAATGCATCAATCAAGCTAGATGGACCCACGACGTGCCGGAGCTTGTCCATGATTGGAGATTTGTGCTTGAGAAATGGACGAGCAACGATTTCTCGAACATTGAATGGAACAGTTACATGAGATACGATATCAAGAGGTACGTGAATGGGTCCCCAAACACGCGCAAAGGGCGCACAGACAGGCACATGTGCAGTGCATGGTACCTCTTTTGCTCTTGTAAGCCATCCATCTGATCCATTGCCATCAATCCCTACAGGTTGGTTGACTCCATTGCCTAGAATGGCAGAACGCTTGATTGTTCTCTTTGGTGCAGCTGTCATCTCATAAATACGGATAACATATGAGCATTCCTTCTCCTCCAATCTCCCCAGCTCGTGCCTGTCATTGCCTCTTAACGAAGGGCTTGTCACATTGCACCCCACGTTTGACCACCTTGCCAGCTATCCAGAAGCGAGAAAGATGAATGAGAATCTACGAAGCCGGATTGGAAGGGGATGGTACGGATCGGCTCTCCTCTTTCTACTATGGATACGATAACAATGCCATGCTTCACCTTCTGTGCTGCAACTCTGAGCTACCACGATGATGGCAGAAGCGTTGGTCATACCGCTTCCGTTGCATTGCAATTCGAGACAGACCAACCTATACAATCTTGTTGGAACTATTGCAAAGGACGGAGTATGACCGGGAGCACAGCTACCTCTCTCTCTCTCTACCAGGGATTATTCGGCCCTCAAATCTTGGAGCGACGGGCATACAGTATGGTGGGCAGGCACAATGCAATGCAATCCTCCCACACGACCCAAAAACACACAAAGCACAAAGAGAGAACCAGCCAGCCAAGGCATAATTCTGCGCCGGGACCTCAGGCCGTTGGCATCAAAGTGAACCTACTCATTTACACATGGTCCGAATAGTCGGCCTCTTCATACCGCCTCTTCGACCTTGGCCCCCTTCGCATGAATAAACGCTAGCAAACCCACAAAGTGTCGGCCAACGCATCAGCAAAAAGAAAACTCGGTAATGAACTCGGACACGAAAGACACTTCGGAGGAGTCCGCCGAACAGGATCTGAATAGGGCTCAGTTTAAATCACGGCAGCAAATTTTTTGAGCGAAATGGGGCGGCCGCGTTCCAGATAGAAAGCTTCAAGAAAAGCACGAGCACGCACCACCCAGCAGCAAAAGCAGCATCCCGCCACTAACAAGCAAAGAAAAAAACAATTACAGCTTCAAGGGACTGAACTACTTTTCGCCAAGTTTTCGCCAGGCCAGACAAAGGCCGGAAAGCTGCGTCAAAAGTCTCTCCCGGAACCGACCAACCGGCCACTAGTACTTGTGCTAGAACTACCTAGCAGCAGAGCTAGAGTCACCAGCAAAATGAGCTTCTCTCGTGTCACGACAAAGTTGCGCCCATGGCAACGAAGAGCTCGCGGGATTCTAGAAAGTGGATGTGCCAATTTACTCCCAGGGGCGCGAAAGGAGGGCAGGGCCATGGCTCGCCTTCAGAACAGGCGCAAGTACCGCTACCAGTCAGATACAACGTGGGGCTGGTGCCCGGAGCGGCCAGCGTCTTAGGTCCCGGAAGCTTGCCCCGGACCCGCCCAAGAACCAGGTACTATACTCGTACATTGTCGCCCTCTAACCAGCAACAGCTACAGTATTTTCGGTGTCTGGTACAGTATGATGAGGTCTGGACGTCTGCTGGCACTGTGACGGCTTGGTCAACTCTGATTTACAGAGACACAGCAATGGAGCACTTGATACAAGGGTCATCCTCCACTGGCGAGTACGCGGAAACGGTGCGGATTCGGCTTAAACGGTGGTGGCTGGGCTTGTGCAGTGCAATTTGTGCATGTTTCAGTCACCGTTCCGTTTCCCGTGTTGGCGCATCTCGGGGAGGTACTTGAGCCACAGAGAAGGGCTGCTGATAAGCGTGCATGTTCGTCGCGCCTCGTACTGTGCGGCCAGTGACGCGCTGCCATCGTGTACATGCTGGCCGGAGCTTCTGGTGCTGACCTTTGAGGATTCATATCATGGCAGCACTGAAAATAGGGGTCTGGTCGCCTTTTTGTCTGTGCCGCCTTACGGGAATAGGGAGCTGCTTGTACCAGTGATTGATGAAGTGAGCACCACGTTCAATGGATTTGATGCATGCAATTTGGCAGAGACACACACCGCTGGAGCTGCTTCTACTTTGAGTTACAGCGTCTTCACACATCAGCGGTAGTGGTGTTGGTGTTCATGCTGCAAGTCGATGATGATCTGAAGATACGCACGCTACATACAATACACGCATGTACGAGTACGAGACAGAAAAACAAGCGTCTCAAGACAAAGAACCAGAGTATGGGGTTAAAAAAAAAAAAAAAAAGAGAGAAAAGTCTGGAGATTTCCCCTCCATTACACGAGTGAGTCCATCCAGATTTTGAACCCATTCGCTACATCCACCCGGTGCCGTATGGAGCATCGTCACAATCTACCGAGGCAGCGGTTCAAGGCTCCGGTGTGTGGATGTTGCTTTTTTTAGTGCTGCGCGTGTCAACTTGTCCCAGGACAGCAGCTGTGCCCACAACGACCCGACTCCGTTAACTCCATCTGATCTCAAGACATGAGATGATACTGTCCGAACCGGTTTGATTGATGATGGCACAACGGCATCCCTCTAGAGAAAAGGAAGATACTGTATGCTCGGCTTTGTCAGCTTCGGTCGTATGCACCCCACGCCGCCCGAGAGCTGACTAGAGCCGCTGCGGGTTGACGGAGCGGGAGATGCAGCTACGAGAGGAGCAAAATAGGACGGGCAGACATGTACAGTAAGACGGCGATCTCACAGGCAAGGTACAGTACAGCAAGGCACGCACGTAGCGTGGTGTATGTCCTCGTACAGTACTCGCAGATCCAAGTGAAGTGCCTCGGTGGAATTCGCCTGTTGCACAGCCAATGCACGCTTACCTGTGCTCTGCGTGTACGAGTAATACGTATGGACAGCAGTGGCCATTGTGGTGATGCCCGATTTCTAATAATACTCGTGCCGGGAGATTTGGTGTCCATTACTAGCAACTTCGCCGCTTGGGAGGCGCCAACGGACGGGCTCGTATACACCAGTCATTCGAGCACCTGAAACGACTTCTCACCGTGACTAAGACATTCCACCTTGACCAAGGCTGAGTGGCGGTCTACTGCAGTGTGTCCGACAAGTATTGGACGACGTTCGCTTTCCCATCACCGCCAGTCTGGCTGATTTGATCCCATGGATGATGGCCAAACCGAGCACTACGAAGACAGGTAACGGTACATGCAATGCATGCACGCATCTGCATGCCCCCCTGCCCGGTTTCTTGGTGAGCAGTGGTTGATTTTCCCGTACACGCACCTGGTCCAAGCACGGAACACGGAGAGAAGTGCTCACGGAATGGAAGAAGGGGGTCTAGTTTCAACGCTGCCCCTGTCTCCTTTATGCACGAGAATGCATTCATGTGCCTTAGCACGAGTAGCGTGTACAGGTACGTGGAGGAGTGCAGGCATCTGGGAATGCGTCCATCTCCACTACTGGAAAAGTACTTTCCAGAGTAGTAGACACCGACTGTTGGACAGTACCTGTCAGGCAGGATTGCATCGCATTGTCTCACCCAGCGAGCCCGTCAGCGAATGCGCAGTACTTGGCGCCAGCAACCTCACACTTGCATTTGAGGTATCTGTCGGGTAGCCATGAGGGCATCCCCTGTAATGGACGCTGCCCGTAGCTTTTGCTTGGTACAGATACTTGCAAGCCTGACAAGCATGTATGTACGGATACAGTATCCATCAATTGATGCTTGAAGAGTTGAGCGCTTCTAGAAGGTGTTTTGTCAGATGGCACCGATTGTTTTGCGCCTTGACCACGAGTCATTGATACAGCATACAGGTACAGCCATGTATGTACGTATGAACAGTTGTACATGATAACATTGCTTTCCAATGGAGGAAGACGAGGTGACAGAGATACACAGCTCAGTGTATTCATAGCGTCGAGGCTGGCAGTGACGATAACCTTGGCCAGACTGTGCTCAATGAGCGGTGTGCAACGGCTAATACAGTGCGATGCATTGTTACTAAGACGGAAGCTCGTTACTCCCCAAGGTCGTCGTGTTCTCAAGAGTCGCCCAAAGTGGTGGCTCGGTAGTCCGCTCTCAGCTCCTAAGTTCGGACATGGCGCCCGTGGTGGGTTGGTGTGGATCGCCAGATGCAAGACCGGCCTCGTTGTGGTGATAGAACCCAGCTCCGATGCTATGGAGGCGGGATCGCGGAGACCGACCAGGTGCTCATTGTCTGTTTCCGCTCCATCATGACGCGCGCCGGATCTTGATCAGTTTGGACGTCCGAGTACCGGTACCGGGACGTGCGTCCATCTCGATTTCTCGAAAGGAGCAGGGCCCAAACAATATCCCCTCCAGCTCTGTTCGGTACTTGGGATTCTCAAAAGTAATCCAAGACAAGGCGGCGCATTTTGGCGTCTCTGTCTCCCAGGGAGACGCTGGAAGTGGGCACCGCTATTGCTAGCACCAGCACTTGTAGCATGTGTGTCTTATCCACCTCGCAGAGTGGTAATGGGCTTGGCGGATACTTGCCATATTGGGCCTTTTGCGAGGCCTGGCGGCACTGATCGATTCCTAGAACGTCCGATCCAGCTTACTTTGGCGAGCGCATGTGTGAGTGCAGTACACATGCTACTGCAGCGGAGCAGCATTGGCGGCGGCGGCCACATTCAACGTCTCTTGGCCCTTTCAACGTACCAAATACACCAGCTCTCTTATGGTGGCTGCTCGACACTTTTCGGTGTCCGTAGTGATGGCAGAAGGGAGGGGGAGAAGGGAGAAGGGGGAAACGAAATGAAGAAAGGTGGAAAACGAGAGGAAGGGGACAGGAAATGAGGAAGCTATTTCCTGCCTTACNGGCTCGGCCTACCTAAGGACCAACAACACACAGTGCTGGCCAGGGAATATCGATCGTGTTCTGTTCTCGTGATGCCACCATGTAGCACGGAGCAAAGGACAGCACATCATCTCCAAGGCTCCTGATGCCGCCAGCATGTAGGCGCAAGCTGTGCTGACCGACTGTCGCCAGAACCCGATGGTGGGGTGGCCATGGCCTCTACTGTACGAGTACAGGCTGCAGGCGGCGCGCTATTCATCCATGTTAGCAGGACAAACAGACTTGCAGCGCCTATCAATCAAGCCCCCAGCACGGCTGTACGTGTGATCAATGGATCAATATGCTAAAACACGCGGGACATGATGCCACCCTGCATGGAAGCTGAGAGGCCGCGGGGTGGAAGAGGGACGGGAATAAGAATGACAGCGGATGGTGTCTAGTAGCCGCGAAGGGATAAAGGAGAATGATAAATGACCAGCGAATGGCAAAAGGAAGAGTCTAAAGGAAATGAGAAAACGCAATGAAGAGACGAACGGGCAATAGAAATGAAAGCACGAAGAAAAAAAGTTGGTGGGGGGATGGAGCGAAGAGGACGGATAGGCGGAAGACGCAGGTCCGGTCACTGGAGTTGATGGATCACTGATTGTTCAGTGGCAGTCAAAGTAGAGGTACGAGCCCCCCGTAGGCACTTGTACCCTGTACGAGAGTTGGCCGGCATGGCGTCGGGTGTGCCTGGTTTTCCTCCCTTGCTGTCCCGCGACTCAGGCATTTTTTCCTTTTTTCCCTCTTGCCTCTTGCGCACGGAGGCCATTTGGGTCTGTGTTTTTGCAGTGCCGCTTTTAAGGCAAAGTCCTTGTCTCTTTGCTTTTTGCTTTTGCTTTTTTGCTTTTCCCTTTTTTTCTTTTTACCTTTTAGTTGGGCCGAACGAGGCGGGAGGCGTGCTGACCTGGCCTGGCTGGACTGGACTGGGCTGGGCTGGCCGTGGCTGACCTGATCGGACGGGACGTGTTCGAGGACGATGCGCCAACGCATTTGATGGCAACGGGTGATCCCGAGGGCGAAAGAAGGAGGCGCGAGAGTGTGTAACTGGTGATGATGAGACGAGATGTGATGAGCTGGGAATCTGTCTTCGGTCATCTTTGCTGACTTTGCGAGATGGATAGCTGGCACTTCTCGTTCGGCATAGAGACACCAGACACGTAGATATACAACGCCGTGGTCGGTATACTTGCAGTGCAGAGAGTAGAGCGTCCATGGAAATATATGGAGTTGCATCCAGGTGGACTACCCGTACTTCAGGCATGTCGCAGGCACTCCGCAAGCCAATTCATTCTTCCAAGTCTCGTGTGGGTTCGGAGAGCGAAATCGAAATGGCACGGCAAAGCTGGTGGTGTCAATTCGGTGCTAGTGCTTGGAGCTATCAATCCTCGCGGCCAAGCGTGTGACTCCGGCAACCAGAGCCTGGAGCCCCGACAAGCTGCGACGCAACGGCGGGCCAATGGCGGGGCAGGGCTTGCAAGCTTGGGTGCGTACCGGTACCTGGCCTGAACCCGGACCGCGCTGAGCTGCGAGTACCCAGAGGTACCGCCCCTTGCGCCTCCCCCTACTTCCATGTAGCTTGCAGCGCCGGTGTCATCTGGTGTGTCCAGCACAGCACAGCAGTACCGCCAAACCGCGCTGCTGGAGGGGCCGAGCTTCGCCCCTCTTGCGCTGACGGGACCCCCGCTGGAGGCACTTGGTAGCGTCGGTCGCCAGCGCAGCAGGCCGCTGTGTCGCGTTTGAGAGGTGGGCTCCATCGTCGTCGCTTGACGGGGTGTGCTCGTGATGCCTCTGCGAGTACCGCCGCCGCGGACGATGGCCGCAGAGATACCTGCTGCGCCTGCACCGGTACTTGGCTGCCGCGTCTGGCACGTCGCCGGGCCTGCGAGGTCGCGGTACAAGAGCCCCGTCCGACGCCCCGTCTGGTGGCCGTACCGCGCTGTACCGCGCTGTACTTACGTCTCGTACCGCTACATGCACAGCACAGCAACTTCCAGCCAGGTACCCGCGCTCCAGTGGGCACAGCACAGCACAGCGCATTTTCGCACCATGGACAGCCTCCCCCTCCCCCTCCATCCCTCTTTTTCCCGCCCCGACTCGACCAGAACTTTTTTTTTTCCAGGTATTCTCCAGTGCCCTCTGCCCTCTGTGCTGTTTCCCCCCTCCTTCTGCGCACCCACCCCTCCCAAAATTCTTACCCCCCCAGTGGCTTGCTGTCCGCGTCCCCCGAATTGAAATCTTTCCCCTCCCCCCCTCTCGCCGTCTTTCCTTCATTTACTGCCCTCGCCCTCTTAACCCGCCTCTCCCCTCTTCGTCTGCCACCATCTTCGTTGCCCCCAACGACAAACTACACCAGCTTCACAGCATCGCCATTCTCTGTCCGATCCCCGACATTCTATCCGTCGAGGCCTCCAGAAGCCTCTGTCCTCACCAACCCACATCTATCATCTTTCCATGACCAGAATACCGTATTTTCCAATGAGCAGCATCAACATCGAGGCCACCGCAGTCACACTTTAAACCCCACGGGCGCGCGTGCGAGCGAGGAGCTAGGAGTCGAGAGCGAGAGCGAGAGAATTCGCATCCCACCAGAGCACGAGTACGATATTCAACCATCGTAGCGTCTGCCCCAGCCGGCAGAGCCGAGCGTCGCGTCAGCGCAAAACACACACATCGCCATCTTCATCCCCCATCAAACCACAGCACGCGACTTTGCCCAAAATGCCTGGCGCCAGCGTCGCAGTTCTCCCGCCTCCAGCGGCCTCGACCCCGTCCTCGCGGAAGGCGTCTCTCGCACCAGAACGCAAATACAAGTGCCAGTTCTGCAACAGAGCCTTCAGCCGAAGCGAGCATCGAAGCCGTCACGAGCGATCACGTATGTTTCCCAGAAAAAAAATTCTCCCTCGAAGAAAGAAAAAATTATCTCGAGCATTCTTCGCTCTCCAACATGCCAGCTCTGCTAACTCTCTTCTTCTTAGATACCAAGGAACGTCCCTTTAAGTGCATGAAGTGCCGAAGTACCTTTGTTCGTCGCGACCTTTTGCTCCGACATGATCGCACAGTCCACGCCAAAGATGGCGGCGTCCCCCTTCACAGCGACGGCAAGCGTCGTGCTGGTCCCAAGACTCGAGCCATCGGCGGCCCCTCCAAATCCTCAATCGCCTTGGACACCTCCACCCTGGAGCAGATGGAAGCTGGCGGCGACGGCATTTTCGATGTCGAGGCCGCCGCCATGCTCGTCGCCGACCTGCATCACAAGGCCACCGCAGCCATGCGCGGAGACGATGGATCTTACGAAGACGGCGCATCCATGGCCTTTTCCCCACGAAGCTCCACCGTCATGGAGCCTGCCGTCACCTATCCATCTGGTGCCATCGCCCTCCCGCAAGTTCAGTGGGACAACTTCATGGCCGAGCCCAAGCCTCACTCCATCACCTCGAGCGCCTCGGGCTCTTTCGAGTCGTCGCAGCCCTTTGCAGGTGGAAACAGACTGTCGCACCATGCCGGCCAGTTGCCTCCATTCAGCGGCCGAAACTGCAATGGTCTTGTGCCAGCGCTTCAGTCCATGATCAATTCGCTCCCCGCCTCTGGCCCCGAGATCCCAGCCCCTCAGTCTCCCTCCGCGGTGGACTCGCAGCAGGCTGGTTTCAGAGCTCCTCAGGTTTCTGGCGATGATGAGCGAAACATGATTCTGGACAACATCCGCAGCACCGACCGGGAGCATGCCATTCCCGAGAGCTTTCGCCTCCCCGGCCTGGGCTCTCTGAACCGCTACCTGGCCACCTACTTTGGGCTGTTCCACCACCATCTGCCCTTCCTGCACCCTGCTTCCTTCACCCCGTCTCAGGTGTCGCCCCCACTGCTGTTGGCCGTCCTCAGCATTGGCGCTCTCTACGCCTTTGATCAGGACCAGGCCTATATGCTCCACATCGGGTCCAAGGTTCTCGTCAACCAGTTCCTCCAGAACAAGGAGAACTTTAGCTCTCGCAAGTGTCCCCTGTGGACCATGCAGAGCTCTCTCCTCAACATGATCTTTGCCAGCTGGAGCGGCGACCCCAAGGGCTTGGAGTGGGCGTGCTCCATCAAGAGTCTCCTCGCCAACATGGTGGCTGGAAATCGTTACGAGCTCAAGCTTCGCCAGGAGGCCCGTGGCTCGTCCAAGCCTACTCGCGCAGAGTGGGTTGAGGACGAGGGCTGCCGCCGCACGTACTATGCGGTCTACATCTTCTTTGGCTTGCTGACTCTGACGTTTAATCACACCCCCGCCATCGGCTTCAACGAGTTTGAGGACCTGCAGCTCCCTTCAACGGAGGCCCTGTGGAACATGCAGGTTGCCGACGAGGCTGCATGGGCCGAGCAGCTCGAGAAGTCGCCCGCCGCCATCTTCATGGAAGCCCATGACAATCTTTTCCAGGGTGAAGCAATCAAGTACAGCGCCTTTTCCACCCGTGTCATGATCAATGCCTTGTTCCTCGAAGTATGGTACCACAAACGTAGCCCAGAGGCCTTGCAGGATGTCGTGACCGAGTACAAACTTAGACTCGCCCTGGAGACGTGGGAGAAGTCGTTGGACCTGTGCGAACCGGAATCTGTCGTGGTGCCCCTTAGCGCTCCCCACAAGGGTCACCCCCTCATCTTCAATGCCCGCGCCATGTACCGTAACGCCCGCGCCCGCCTCGAGGTTGACCTGAAGACCGTGCAAGAGGCCCTGCGATACCACGAGCCGTACGAGGTCGCTGCCGCCATGTCTCATGCTCGGGACCGCGTCAAGCGCTCCAGCGAGATGATCAAGGTGATTGAAGAGTGCTACAACTGCCTGGAGACGGCCGTGGTTCAGGGCGTCCGCTGGGTGGCGCGCACCTCGTCGACCAACTGGAGCGTCGAGCACCCCCTGTGCGGCCTGGACCTGATGATCATCCTCACGTTGTGGCTGTATCGCCTGGAACACGACGAAGAGCCAGCAACGCCCGAGGAGGTGGCCATGTACTACAAGGTCCGACAGCTCTTTGTCAAGGACTTTGACGAGAGCATCATTGCCAACTTGAGCTCCGTGGTTGCCCGCCTCTGGGGCTCCATGTTGGACGAAGTTGTGGTGTGGGGAATTACCCGTCTCATGGGCGAATCATTCAAACTGCATTCAGAAGCCCTAGTCGGCTATGTCGGCGACGAAGCTTCCTCTAATGTATCGACTCCCTCGATGACCTCGCAGGGAGCGGACGAGGACAGCGTGTACTAAATACATATGCGATGATGAAACGACTGCTTTCTTTTTTCTCTTCTCTCTGTTCATCTTTATCAGGGGAGCGCGACAACACGCGCCGGACTTTCTTAACGCAAAACTCGATTTTATGGCTTATTTCCTCCTTTTTTCTTTTCCTTTTCTTTTTTCTCTTTCAACTTATTTTTTCTGGCTTGTCAATTTTCAACATTGTGGCGCGTGCGGTTCGGAACGGAGTAAGGCTAATGCTGGGAATGTGCTGTTTGAATTATTACTTTTTATTTCTTTTTCTCTTTTTGTCTTGGTTTCTCATGTCATTTCCTTGACGGCTCCTGAGACAGGGCAGGTGATCGTGTGTCCTCGTATCTGTTCTGTTACTGCTCTTAATTATTGGCTTTGATTTGATTGTTTTGTTTTTGCATGGGTCGATCGAAAGGATCACGGGGGGTAATTCTGGAGAGGCGGCGAAAGCAGGGAAATACTGGCGGGATAAAGGATTGGACGTTTCGCATGATTTCGGGGCTCCGAGAAAGGAATATTTGGATCTCGACACCGCGGCAGCGCAAGCTAATGAACTGCGAGGGCAGGTTGATTGGCTGGTCCATGATGGTGATGCCGCCTTTTTCGCATTTCCCTTTTTTTGTTTCTAATGGCCCTTGTTGCCCCCTTTTTTTTCTCTTACCTTGGTAATTTTTTTTCTTTTCCTTTTATTTTTATCTTTGCAGCGGTTGTTTTTTTCCTACCTTCTCTCTTCGCGCTTCTGCTTGTTTGCTGTCACTTTTCGCTGGCATTGCAGTCTGATTTACCATTGGCAATTTCCAAATTCTCAGATACCTTGTTCGATATACAGATTGCTATTCTTCATTGAACCTTTCTTCTTCTTCTTCTCTCCTCCTTTTTTCTTTCCTTTTAACTGTGTGCTCTCTCCTCTTGTCAATGTTTGTTTGTGCTGTGTCTTGTTTTTTTCGTCTTGGTTATGCTACGAAGGGATGCTTACGGAATGACAGCACTCGTGCCCTCACAACATGTCGTGTGTGTGCGAGTGCTCATGGACGAGAGCCAGTCCCGCTACTTCGGTGTGTATAGATATTCTAGTACTACAATTCGAATAATTGTGTCTCTGTCAAACCGATGATGCCACGTAGGGTGCCAAGTGCGTGTACATGTCTGTGACTTTCTACGGTATTCATGCTCCAAGTATACGCCAATTATGCCATGTGACTGCACTAAAGTCGTGATATAATAGGTAGAGTAACTAAGGTAATCAAATGCTTGGCTCCTCGGAAGCGGCCCATGGTTTAATTACCTTTTACTTTTTGTGGTCGGCCAACCGTTTCCCACGTTCTTGTCAAACCTGCATGTACGACCTGCTCTGGTGTCATCCGATGAGGAGAAGCTGGGGGAGGTCAGAAGGGCAGTTGGAGTGGTGGTACCTGACTCTGGCTGTCCTCCCCCTTTCTACCGACCTTATTCTGGGCAATGACCAAATGGGGAAGGCTGAGGCTTTGGAGATGGTGGTTTGATAGGCTGTCAAGTGGCGATGCCTGATGCGTGAAGATGCCCAACTGACTTATATTACATGCAGGGTAAGTATGTACATGCAAGCATCGAATGAGTGGCAGAGGACATGGAGGCCAAGAACAAACACACGGCACGGGCCTTGGTTTCCCCGATAAATAATGAGACATAGTTGGTGATTGAGAAAGACGAACGGAAGATGCAAGGGAGAGGAGACGACGCGCGAGCCCAGGGTAGGACCGTGTGTAACTTGCAAGCGCAGGAAGTACAGACAAAGCAGGGCGTCTCGATTTCCCTCATTCTCTCATTTTATTTTTTATCTTTGCGTCGTGCCTGGCCTTTGCACTGCATTGTGTACTTGCATGCCGTGCAGTTGCTCCCAAGAAGACGTGGCAAGCAGAAATGTGGCGAGCGCATGCTCATTTCCTTCTTCATTGTCTGCTCACGGTCTTGGTGTTTCTGTGGCTTGGGCTGGTTGCCTTGTTCATCGGCTTCTATCTCTTGACTTCTCTATCATCTTGTGCTTCTAATCATATTTTTCTTCTTCTTCATTTTGCTCACCAATAAACATTTTGCTTTTTTCTCTGGTTGTATACCACAACTTCCCTCGCACAAAGACGGCTTTGCTTTCATGGCTACTGCTCGGGGATTGGGCCTGATGCTGGCCCTGGTGGTGGTGCTCATGTCGTGCCTGGTGGCAGCGGATTGTGAGTGCGGATTTCTCACGCAGAGCTCTGGGAAGAACCAGACACGGAACGGAACTGTAAATGGAAACGAGCAGCTGTTCTTTACCAACATGATGGAGAGCAAGTTCTTTGAGATGCGAGACATTTCGCGGGACGGCACGTGGAGGCGGCAGCAGTACAACGTTTCGGCGAGGGCTGGGAGAGGCGAGTATGGCAAGTCGTTTGGTTTGGACAATGTTTACACGACTGCTCGTGATGGTGACGATACCGATGCCACGGAGAGCGATGGATCGAACAACTCGAATGGTGGTGATGGGGTTGGACTGGTGGTGGGCAGCACCGTTGTGGATGAAGCTATTCCGGTGGCGGAGCTGGATTCGGCGAGGAAGGACTTGCATTACGGCTCGTATCGTGCAGGCATGAAGCTGACAGCCGTCAATGGCACCTGTGCGGCCTTTTTCTGGGTATGTGATTGTTTTGCTTCGTTGTTGTGTTGATATCTCATATGCTGATTGTGTCTCGCAGTACTTCAATGACACCCAGGAGATTGACATGGAGTTTCTGTCGCGAGAGTTTGACCCCGTGAAGAAGATTTATCCCGCCAACCTCGTGATCCAGTCGGAAGCATCGCGGAAGGCGGGCTATGATGCGTCCAAGACGGGCACCTTCAAGGTGGTCAACCTCACGTTTGACCCTACGGCTGGATTCCACGAGTATCGCTTCGACTACCTACCCAATCGCGTCTTGTTTTACGCCGACAGCCAGCTACTGGCCGAGATGAACGGAACCTCGGTGCCCTCTGGTCCGGGCCACATCATTCTCCAGCATTGGAGCAATGGAAATCCCCTGTGGTCTGGAGGCCCTCCCGAAGAGGATGCTGTTCTCACTGTGAGCTATGTCAAGGCCTATTTTAACTCTTCAGACTCGAATGTTCAGTCAAGCTGGGCCGAGAGCTGCCGAAAGGCGCGCAGCGACAGTTCAGACGATAGCAGCAGTGACAGAGTGTGTACGGTTGCTGACGTGACGGCAGCAAACGCCAGCACAGGAGGCACCTTTTTCAATACGAGTGATGCGAACCAGCCAAGCGGTGGCGCAAATGATGAGAGCGGCGCGACTTGCCTGGGCAGCATGGAGGCGAATCAGGTGATGGTGACGAGTGCGATATTGCTGGTGTTGATGATGACTTGCTTGTGAAGGATTCTTCTGGATGGGTTCTTGTGACGTGGATGGAATGAATGGAATGCAATGATGAGTCTATGACTTCAATGTTGTGTGTGCTATGGGAGAATGGAGTTGGAGTTTTTACATGGAAGGAAAACAGTACTTTTGGGTGTATATCATAATGGATAGCTGAGCTTAATCATCGCGACACTACACAGCCAGCTTTGAAGGCGTTGGGTGTATCTGTTGAATGATGATGACTTTCATTTTTTATTTTTTCACTGATGCCTTTACACTATGACGACGCGATTCAGCAGCTTGTTTTCTGTCAAGTGAGGCGATGGCTGCTGCTGGTCAGATGCACGATGCCGTCATGGATCCACAAGACACCGAGCAGCTGGATCTGATGTTTCGCTTTGCTGTTCGAATCTTGCTTCTTTGGGGAGGTGAGGCGGTTTTACCTTTTTAGCAGTGTTGGGCATGTGATTATGCACAGCAGGTGGATAACAGCCAAGACAGCTGAATGACAGTAAAAAGGTTGCTGGTCTTCATCATGGGGGATTGCGACTGCTTCGATTTTGGGATTATATTGATTGACTGGAATGCTTATTATTAAAAAATGTGATGCATTATGAGACGGAATATGTGAAATGGGCAAATATGAGTTTTGATTCGTAGATGAAATTTGAGATGGTGGATGGCATGAATCGTGGCGCGGGCTGAAGCCTGCCCAGCTGACTGTGGAGATGATTTACATGAATCTCTGTCTGGGTTAGATATAAGTATATAATAGTCGGAGCATTTTGGTTCTAGAAGATTTGACATTACTTGTATAACACAATTTCCATGACTTTGATGGAGGTTTAATAATACTACTGTTACTGTTACTTCTGTTGCTACTCACACCAATTCAATTCACTTCAAATTGCAATCATGACGCCCACTACCCTCAGCGTCGTGGTCAAAAACAACTCGAATGCCTCGCAGCTCTACGCCTACGTCACCGGCCGCGCAGCCCAGGGCCTCTTCTTCCTCAGCGCCGACGGCACCACTCCCTATTTCCCAACTTCGCCGTCGTCCACCTTGCAGCCTCTCGCAAAGGACTGCGCCGTGGCCATTGGCGGGCCGGGCCGGAGCCGCACGCTGACGGTGCCGCGGCTGGACGGGGCGCGGGTCTGGTTCAGCCAAGAGTCGCCGCTGACGTTCTTTGTCAACCCGGGCCCGGCGGTGGTGGAGCCGTCGGCGACGAATCCCGCGGACCCGAATTATGGGATTAGATGGGCGTTTGCGGAGTTTACGTTGAATGAGGCTGAGTTGTATGTTAATGTGTCGTATGTCGATTTCTTTAGCGTGCCGGTGAGTCTGAGGTTGGAGAATGGGGCGGGCAAGGTGACGAGTGTGGAGGGGATGCCGGCGGGTGCGTTGGATGAGATTTGTGGAAAGTTGAAGGCGCAGGCGGGTGTTGATAAGGCGGGATGGGATCGACTTGTTGTGACGCAGGCTGGGGGGAGTGGACAGAACTTGCGTGCTTTGAGTCCCAACTCGGGGAGGGTCATGTTCCAGGGGTTATTCGACGGGTATTATCGCCCATACGTGGACGCCGTGTGGAAGAAGTACCAGTCGATGGATTTGGTGGTGAACATGCAGTTCGCCGACTGGGGCAACGCCGTCGGTCGAGTCGATGCCTCGGGCCAGACGCTCACGTTTTCCGGCGGCGGAGGCAGCTTTGCTAAGCCCTCGGAGGGAGACATCTTCTCGTGCGACTCCGGGCCTTTTGCGCACGGGGCGGGCGTGTCGGACAAGCAGTTGAATGTTGGAGCGCGGCTGGCGGCTGCGCTGAACAGGAGCACGCTGCTGGACGCGGTGCCGCACCCGGAGGGGGAGGACGTGAGCATGTATTATAAGGAGGCTGTGACGAACCACTATGCGAGGATTTGTCATGAGGTGAGTGTTGGGGGGAGGGGGTATGCGTTTCCGTATGATGATGTTGGGGCGACGGGGGGGACGGACCAGAGCGGGTTTTTGAATGATGGGGATCCGAAGGTGTTGACGATTGGTGTTGGGGGGCCTCTTTGAGGGGGAGTTTGATGGAGGGAGATGAGTGGAAGAAGAGGATGAGGTGATGATGATATTGTATATATGTAGAGATTTGTTTTGGATGTTGGGATGTGTTGGCATTGGTGGACTTGGTTTATGGATGTGAGACTTGTATATATGGATTGAGGTACATGGTTTTTTTCATTATATGTATTAGTTTGATGATTTATTTTGGTTATATGTATGAGTTTGACTTCTTTTGTTATATGTATGAGCACATGAATTGTTTTTATTATATGGATGAATTTGCTATATTCTATTCTAGTTCTTTGTTATGTTAAGCTTCGGCCTAGACAATCTCACGACGATTCACATGTCAATTCTCATGACAACCCTCGTGACACTTTATATACATCAAGACGACATCAGCATCATGTGTGTTTATTTATAGCATGAGAAAAGCTTTGCATAACGTGGACCCGCTGAATTAGCTCACCGTTTCTAGTCCTTCTGGAAAAAGAAGGTTGTTGGCGATCATGGCAGGTTTGGTGGATTTGGCTCTTGTTGTTAATTATAGCATCCTTAGCGGGATCCTTCTGACAGGAGCTGAAAAAAAAGGCAACAAAAGAGGAGATGTGGTGAGTAAGCCGGAGAGCGGATTGTCCTTGAGACGGTCTGTGTGTTGCCACAAGATAAGCTTCGTGTTGAGTTGTTGGTTGTGATGACTTGTTCGTATCTTTCTAGATTTTATCATTTCTGTGTTACAGCAACTGCTGAAAATAGACTACTGCAAGGATAGACTAATTTGTGCAATCATATGTATGGTATGGGATGCGCTATTCTGGCAACAATACACGTTGGTTGTGCTACTCGTCCCTCACTTACACCACCAGGATCACACCCAGCGTTTACCCGTCTCTTCGTTGCATTCACTCGTATCCTGTGCAAACCTTTTTTCTACTTTCCAGGCGTCTTACCAATTACCCGGTCTCGAATCCAGTTTCCGTGCTTCCTCGCCGTTGTTGCAAGGATGGCACTGCATTATCGGACTCGGAATTCAGCCCAGGTCCACCAACCACAAACCGTTGCACCCACTCTCTCTCTCGTTGGGGCACGGGCCGCGTTCCGTCTCGCTGTTTTAAACAATGCCGATTGAGATGACATTTTGACATGGCAGGGGGAAACAGAGAGATGGGGGGGGAGGGGGGGGCCGGTCGAACTGGGCCGGGGCCGGGGGGGCGAGAATCGACAAGTGACTCCGTTTCCAAGGTTGTTGTTGCGTCAAATCCAGCAATAGACAGATGCCCGTTCTGCGAGTGTTTTTTACCCTGCAGCACCCTGTGGGTATAGTGAGTATTTCTCTGTCTGTCCAGGTTGAATTGACATGCCGGTGACATTCTCGTGCTGTAGCATGCCCTGTCAAAACGGACTGGATCGGAGTAAGCAGCAATAGATTGTTGATGCCTGCCAAGCCGGAAGCATAACGAAAACCACCTCCCTAGTACATGTTAGTTGGCCGTAGCACAACGCGAGGGGCTCTCAGCGATGTTGTATTGCATTTGCATCTGATGCTACGTGGACGCTTTGGCTTTGCTCTAGATACTGCTGTATTCCCAACAGTGACACGAGTTGTCTTGTACTGTACACTGCCCTTTTAACCCCTCTCATCTTTTGTTGCACATTTACGTACTGTAGGTATGCGTTGTTAGCCCAAGGTCTGGTGTTTTGTGTAGGTAGGATCATTTTGCTTGGTAATAGACATCCATCCCATTGCTTTTTTGCTAAGGCGGTACCGCATCCCGCCTGTGGCTTCTGGGCGCCCGGGCTAGTACCTGCCTAAGCACTGCTCCAGCACTTCCCCGTCCCGCCCCCCACCAAACCAAGTTCGCCGGCTCGTTGATTGATTGATTCTGATTGATTACTGTGCAGCAACATCCATCCCATATAAGTTCAAGGTTACCGGCTAGACAATTTCCTGGGCCAAGCACAATCTCCACCTCCTTGTAACCGCAAGCTAAAGCACCAAATTCGACTTGGTACGAGCATTAGCATTACGAGCACTAGCACAACGGCTGATGAGCTGCAGCGGGTGACACAAGCAGGACGTGAAGCTTCCCAACTTTGGGGCCCCTTGGCGCAGGTAGCAAAAAGGCGCGCGACAGATTGTGAGAGAGAGAAGAGGCAGAGACAAGAGAGAGAGAGAGAGAGAGAGGAGGGGCTGAGAGCGTATTACTGTATGGAACAGCAGCAGCCAGGCGACGGAATCCCGGAGGCATTTTATCTTGGACCGTCGCGGTCGCATCGCGACTGAAGGCCTCGCTCGCCCTTTTGAACTTTGACTGCTGCTCCACCAACATAACAGAGCAGAGTGAGCAAGTGACAACACACCAAGAGACTTACGAGAAGAAAGAGAAAGACAAGAGGACGAAAGTGAAAAGAGATTGATAGAGAGAGCATCAGCGAGAGAGACAACTCATTCAGCAGCATCGACAATCATGGTCTACTGCGGCAAGCCCTCCAAGGGCTGCTCCAACTGCCGAGAGCGCAAGATCCGAGTAGGTTTGCCTCGTCTACAGCCTCTATTCCTGTTCCTCTCCTCTTTGACCCTTTGGAGCTTCATCTTCTTTCATCATGCAACCTAGTGTGGCGTTTCCGTATGATTACTTACGCTTCTTCTCTTCCTCCCGCCTGTAGTGCGATCAGAAAGACCCCGGCTGCGGCCAATGCACCAAGCGCCAGATTGAATGCCCCGGCTATCGCAACATCGTCGATCTCATGTTTCGCGACGAGAGCAACCATGTGATCAAAAAGGCAACCACCGCGAAGCCGCGCATCAAGAAGCTGAAACATGGCGTCCGGGCCGCTCCGAAGCTAGACGCGGCGCCTCTACCTCTAGGACCGCCACCGCCCTCTCCATCGGCGGGCGTCCTGGTTTTGCGCGACAGCCCGCGGCCTTCAAAGGCTCTGAGCCCCTTCAAGTCCCGTCCCAAGAACGGGCCCCTTCTCTCGGTGCTGCTGGCCGGCTCCGGTGACCATGGCGATGGCTATGACGATTACGACTCGTGGCAGACCAACTCATATCCCTACGAGTACGAACGCATCGTCCGTCGCGGCCATGGAGACGACGACGACGACAATGGCGATGATAGCTTCGAATATGACGACGACGATGATGATATGCTGGTACACATCCCTTATGCGCCGTCCATTTCTCTCCAGGAGCGAGGCACTGCCTTCTTCTTCTCGCGCTATGTCGCCACCGACCATGGCTGCTATCAAAACTACGACTTCATCTATGACATCTGGAAGCCACCCAGCATGAACCGCATGAGGAGCGCAGACGCACCCCCGATTAAGAGGGCAGATGCTCTCATATCCGCCGGCATGACGGCCGTCGGCCTGGTGGGCCTGTCCAAAATCACAGGCGATCGCGAGACCATGACGCGTGCTCAGCAGAGCTATGGCGCCGCTCTCCAGCTGGCTAACGCTGCTCTCCGCAACCCGGGTGAAGCTGTCGAGGATAGCACAATGCTGGGCGTCCTCATTCTCGGTACATACGAGTTCATCTCTGGGCACACGCCGCAGACGTTGCACGCTTGGCAGGAACACATCAACGGCGCTGCCACGCTTGCCACCATGAGAGGCCAAGCACAGTTTCGAACAAAGGCCGGCGTCAGAATGTTCCTCATGCTATGTCACTCCGTCCTCATCAGCTGCATCCAGAGCGGCCTGCCCATGCCAAAGTCCATTGTGGACCTGCGTAACGAGCTGAGCCATGTGGCAGACAGCAAGCGGCCGGCATGGCGTGTCATCGATCCCTTATACAGGGCCCTTCAGATTCGACACGACATCAAGCACCGACGAATCACTGGTGTGGATGAAATCGTCGGCAGTCTCGTCGAGATTGAGGAGGACTTTGAAAAGCTCATCAATGGACTGCCGCCGTCTTGGCGCTATCAGAATGTCAGGCTGACCAGATCCAACCCGGCCATCATGGGCCGTACGTGCCATGTCTATCCCGGCTTGACCCAGGCTACGGCTTGGAACGCTGTACGGACCATGAGAATGCTCGTTCAGGAGACGATCCTGGAGCAGCTGTGCCACAGTGTCGAGGATCCCACTACTCTTCCGGTGCACCACCAGATGCTGTTGGTCAAGGCTATGAGAATGCTGCGCATGCTCGGCGAGGCCGTCGTTGGGAGCGTGCCCCAGCATTTTGGCATCGTGAGCTCCCGAGACGTCAAGTACACCAAGACCAAGGAGGCTCAGCCCACCGTCACCGCTCAGAACCAGTCATCGACTATTCTAGCGACGCCGTCACTCTTGCCACCCGCCTCTGACCGAGACGAGAGCAAGTCCCCTGTTCCCGCCTGGCCACGTGAGAGCGTAGCCACTCGCCCGACGCTGCTCGACCCAACGCAGTCCGAGTTGGACAATGGTCGAGGCTGCGACTCGGAGAGGTTCCTGACGCTGGCTACGGCGAGCAACACCATCATCTGGCCGCTCTACACGCTCGGCCTATCGTCATCTTGCACTCATGAGACGAGCGCCTACATTGTCGATAGACTCATGTCCATCTATCGCGAGACGGGCTTGGAACAGGCCCGAGTTGTTGCAGGCATGATGCAGAACAAGGTCGAGTCGTTGACTTGGGCCAGCATTCCTACAACCCGTTTGCCGTCATTACCTGATGACGCTTTGCCACTGGTGGTATAGAAAAGTCTTTTCCCCTTCTTTTACAACTTCTTCTTTGACCCCTTTGGACTATGACTTCGTTGGATATACTTGGCTACTTTCAATTTTTTCGCTTTATTTTATTCTTTTTGGGTATGAAGAATGCTGACCTGTGGCCCATCATTTTGACTATCTTTCACCTTTTTTATCTCCCTTGTTTTTGAGCGATGGATATGATGCCTTTGGATCATTCTCCTTTTCTTCTTTCTATCTTTTTTACAGCAGCTATTTGGCTACGACTTCTTTCTTTCCATTCATCTCTCTCATATCGGCAGCGTGTTTTTCATATAGTCACAGTTGTATTACATTATCAGTTATTTTACCAGATAGACAAAATCTCGCTGTCGCTGTAGCAGTTGAATGTCATTCCCCCCCTTCTTTTTACCAACTATCAAAGTTTCCAAATCCGCCTGCTTTCATCTTCTTGCGCGGCTGTGTCTCCCATGTGTCCACGTCGTCTGCATCGCCAGCGCCTCCTCTTTTGTTACTACTTGACCCCCCTTGATCCATTGCGCTCGCGTCCAGATACTTGCCGATGCTCTGCTTCGCATCGGGCTTGGAAAACGTGCCGTCGCCGCGGAGTCGTTTGCCCGTCCACGTCGTCTTGTCGTCCTCTGTGCCGCCCTGCAGGCGAATTTCTTCCTGCTGCTTGTCGAGGCGCTCTTTTTCCTTCTTCTGGGCCTGGAACTCCTCAAAAGGGTCTACGAAGACGACGATGTCCTTGATGACGATTTTGTTGAGGGGTCGGTTGGAGCCGTCGGTGGGGACGTCTTCCATTTTGGCGAGGACGTCGAGGCCGGACTCGACGCGGCCGAAGATTGTGTGTTTGCGGTCTAGGTGGGGGGTTGGTTTGTAGGTGATGAAGAATTGGCTCGAGTTTGTGTTTTTGCCCTTGTTGGCCATGGAGACTGTTTTTGATCATATTAGTCTAAATGGAAGAGTAAATGGAAGTGTTGGGACTTACCGGTGCCTCGCGCGTCATGTGTTAGAGGGCCATCAAACTCGTCGTTAAAGTTCTTGCCCCAAATACTCGTGCCCCCCTTGCCGGTGCCTGTGGGATCACCACCTTGGATCATAAAGTTGGGAATATTTCGATGAAATGCGACGCCTTTGTAGTAACCCGTCTGAGCAAGCCTGATAAAATTCCATACGGCTTTGGGCGCCGTCTCGGTTTGTAGTTCGATGGTGAGGTTGCCCAGGTTGGTCTCTATCCTGGCATAGCCTTTGGTCTTGACCCGCTTCGGCTTGAGCATAAACTCCTCGTCCGTTAGCAGCGCCCTTTCACCGCTCGTCTCGGGGGTCAAGCCAGTGCTGGTGAAACTGGCGGCGGCCTTGCCAGTGGTGTATGCTGCGGCGTTTGCAGCAATTTTTCTGTCCTGTATCATGGGTTGCCGGACAGCAGCGGCAGAGCCCGACTGCCTCGACTTTTCTAGCGCGCCCGAGCTTTTGTTCACGTCGCCGCCGGCTTCTCTCGCCTTGCGCGCCTTTTCCACTGCGGCCTTGGCCTTGAGAACCTTGTCGCCCATGCTGCCCAGTGCCCCGGCGTTGATATTTCCGGCCTTGCGCTCCTCTTGCTGCTCCCTTGTCAATTGCGCCTGTTCGCCATCTTGTAGGTATTTGAATTGGTCGAGATTCCGGCTCGCCATGTTCTGGGGGTCCTGAAGAGTGATGATATCGGCGCGCGTAAAGGGCTGGTCGTCGACCAAATCCAGCCACGACTTGGCCTTGATGTTCATGCGCTCGACGGTGTCCCAGGCAAAAACGTTGGCATAGTTGCCGTGCCGGATGGCGACAATGTGCGTGTTGTCGGTAAAGACTTTGTAGGTGACGGGATCGATCAGGTCGCCTTTGCCGTCGCTCAGGCCGGCGCCGAGCGAGTCTGCCTCTGCATTCCTGGCAAAGTTGAGGCGGATCAGGTCCTTCTTCTGCAGGGGCTCGGCGTTGACGGGGTTCTGGTTCGGGTGCTTCTCGAGCCAGGCGCTGATGACTTCGACGTCGAAGACGGTGCCGTCGGGGGTGCAGACGGGGTTCTTGAAGGGCTGGAGGCTTGCGGCGCAGAAGTTAAAGGGGAGTTTGCGGAAGGGGACGTTTTGTGCGGAGCGGGCGCCGGCTCCTACGCTGGCGGAGTAGGCGTCTGATGAGGACCATTCGGAATGGGTGATCTGGTTGAGGGTGTATAAGTTAGTTGAGTTGAGAGCGCATTGCGTACAGCAGAGATGGGAAGAGTTGAAAAGCAACTTACATAGAGCTTGTCGGTGCCTTTTCCCATGGCTTAAAGACTGTTGATTTTGAGAGAAAGAAATATGAAAGACAAGAGACAGAGAGATGAATTGAATGGGAAATGTGGTAGAAGTCACAATGGCATCTATGCAAAGGGGTATCGTATCGTGTCGTCTGGTAGGTATGATTATGTATGGCCTGCAAAAATGACGGATGACGATGGGCTCGAGAAATAACAGTTGAATCAATTCCTTATCGTTATCAGTGCTCGTACAGCACTACCAGCCCGGTACCAGCCTGCTACAAACAGGTACCGAGATCCCCCAGCTACTCTGGCAAAAGCTACTTTAGCGGGCTGCGTAATTGGCCTTACGTACCACCCAACGGCCCGCATCTTCAGGTACACCGTGCGCGCTTCAATCCCGAAAGCTGCCACCTCGCCAGGTCCAGAATCCCGCGGCTTCGTATCCAGTTACTTCTTGCAACTGCGTAATGCTTTAGTGCAGCTCGACGCCTGCAAGAGCTCAAGGATTCTGATCTTCTCTTTTCAATCTCTTCCGCAATAACAATTGCCTGTCGTCTCCTCTGGCTGCCTCGAGCCCACAACACAAAACACCTCCGACCAGCTGCGCTTTGTTCTGTTTGGTGCCGCGCAATTTGGTCGCTGAATAAACAGTCCAGTCCCGACGAGCGCTGAATCCGATCCCGAATCCTCACCATCGTCGAGCCGCTTCTGTTGCTTTGGATCTCCTCGATCCCCTGGATTGAAGCTCCGGCTGCTCATCGCCGACTCTCAGTTGCTTCTGCGCTGAGCCTAGATCCGTCGCCAGCATGAGGCCTCTTCTCGGGCTTCTCGCCCTGGGCATGTCGCTCTGGACCGCCCAGGCGCTTGAGGTTCCCATGGTATGCGCGCCAAGTGCTGGACACCCGCAAGGGGGTGGCATTGGCTAACCAGCTCTTTTTCTTTGCAGAACCAAAAAGAAGACTCTCGCCAGTACTGTACAGGTATGCAACATGCCGTGTCGATAACTCTTGGACTCATCCCGTATCCCTGGTGGGCTAACGAATGCTCTAGGAATGTACAGTCGCACGTCTTGGGGCGGCCCGGTTGATCCGTTCATTCTCGTCAAGTTTCTCAACAACACTGCCCCTCAAGGCGACGACCCCATTGCGAGTCTGGTTATTTTCGAGTGGAGAGATGCCGATTTTGTGGGAATCCCGGATCCAGACATTCAAGCCACGGTAAAGCACTCCAGCACTTATATCTGGCCTCTCCCCTAATTGCTAACGACGACGACTAGCGACTTGCGCTCTGTGACGAAGGCATGATTAAGAACGGCGTTTGTAACTCGACCGACAAGGGCGAATTTGTTCTGGCCCCGAATGCGACTGAGGCTTCCAACCTGTTGATCCTGAGCAAGGCTGTCCACCTCAACAACCCAACTCCGATCAACTACCCCATCAAGAAGACTGGATACTACTGCGTCATTACCGAAGGCTTCAACATTGATAAGTACAATGCCGTGGTTGAGTTTCGAAATGCCTACGGAGAGCTGCCGGCAACCCAAATCCCGAAGCTCCCTTTCTACGGTGGAATGTCCATCCTATACGCCCTAGTAACTGTTTTCTGGGCTTTTCTTTACTTTCAACACCGACATGATATCCGTGAGTGCTAGACGCTGCCTTGAACTATACTCGCTTCTCTTTCTAACCGAGGTCTGCTGTAGTTGCCGTACAAAACTACATTACGGCCATTCTCATCTTTTTGGCAATTGAAATGCTCCTCACCTGGGGCTTCTATGGTATGACACTATATACATTGCACAGGCTCTCATTCTATTCTAACCATTTCATATAGATTTCCAAAATCACCATGGAACTGCCAATGTGGGAAGCAAGGTCTATCTCATCGTCGTTGCTATCCTCAACGCGGCTCGAAACTCATTCTCCTTCTTCCTGCTTCTCATCGTTTGCATGGGATACGGTGTCGTCAAGCCTACCCTTGGCCGCACAATGATCTACGTCAGATGGCTTGCTGCTGCACACTTTGTGTTTGGCATTGTCTATGCAGTCACAAGTTTACTGGTATCACCAGAGAGCGCTGGTAAGCTGAGAGTTCCCACTCCATTATCTGCCCCCTCCTCGCATTACTAAGAGATGTGAATAGGACCATATGTGCTTCTCATTGTCCTCCCGCTGGCCGGAACCTTGACTGCCTTTTATGTCTGGACGCTCAACTCGCTCAACTTTACTCTCAAGGATCTGCGTGAACGCAAGCAGCACGTCAAAGAAGGCATGTACAAGAAGCTGTGGTGGGCTATCCTCATCAGCGTCTTGGTCATCTTCGCCTTTTTCTTTTTCAACAGCTTCACCTTTGCCTCTGTTGGCGACCCCGATTTTGTTCCTTTCCACTGGAAGACTAGATGGTTCATCCTTGATGGCTGGCTCAACATTGTTTATTTTGCTGATGTTGCTTGGGTCGCATATCTCTGGAGACCAACAGTCAACAACCGCCGCTTCGCCATGAGTGACGAAATTGCGCAGGATGATGACGGCAACTTTGAGATAGGAGACATTGGTATGCCTGACGACTCAGATGATGAAGAGGCACAGATTGGAAAGCCTGTTCCCGGGTTCGGGCAAGAGAGCGGCCTGACAGGCGCTGGGCCGGCACAAGCCAGTACCAGCAGAGCCGTGCCCGGCGGTGCGTCATCACAATCGGCTGGTCGTGGCATTCCACGAGAATCGCTCGAGGGAGAGACAATATTCGCGGTTGGCGAAGACGGTGACAAGGCATCAGATAGCGAGGCTGACAGTGACGACGAGGATGCCAAGCTTGTACACAAGAAACTGTGAGGAAGGGGGGACGATGAGGCTTTTGGAACCGCTTGGCTGTAGAATGGAACGGAATAGGCTTTTCGGAGTTTATGAATTTGGGTTTTCGTAACAAACGCTGTTTATTTTGTGTAGAATAGAAAATTATTGACAAAGCATGAGGCATCGATGAGGCCCCCTTTTTTTGGTGAACAGGGCTGGTTTCAATAATCATCACACCGGCTCAACAATACACAAAACATATAAGGGAGCTGCACTTGAATATATATATATATTTCACAGCAAGTAAACTGGGCATTAGTCCCTCAAGCTAGTACTTATCATACATTTACATGTTGAACCCCTAAAGCTCTAAGCCTCCGTCACATCACCTCCGAACCCAACTGGACGGCGACGGCCGTCGTTCTCGGGCAATATCGCGAGCGCCTTGTATACTTTACCCATGCCACTAGGCCCACGGTCGACGAGGCGTTTCCAAGCCTTTTCAATGTCGCTAGCCTTGGACGGGGAAACGCTAGGAACCTTGCTGAGGGCCTCTGCGCGCTGGCGGATGCCCATGAGCTCGAGGAAGTCGGCCTGGGAGATGGGCCCGTGGACCTCGACGCCGTCGCTGGCGAGGGTGGCGGCCTCTGCAATGGCGTGGAAGTCGACGTCGGCGCTGAGGTCGACGAGGCCGGGGGCGGAAAAGGGGCTGACGAGGCGGTGCTGTCGGATGCCGCGGAGGGAGTTGATAGGTACGGTGTCGGCGGTGCCGTAGTCGAGGATGAGGGCGGCGCCGCTGGGGGAGGCCTTGGGATGGGCGCGGGAGCCGCCGATGCGGGCGGCGAAGTCGGCGGCGTAGAGGGAGGCGTCGGGGCAGATTTCGATGACGGAGCCGGGGGTCTGCTTGAGGCGGCGGTAGCGGGTTGAAGATTCGGGGAGGACGCGGGAGTGTCTGGTGGTGGCGGAGGAGAGGACGAGCTGGAACTCGGGGGGAGGCTCGTGTTGCTGGGACTTGGGGGTGCCGAGATCTGCGTGGGTTGCGCCGGGAGGTGTGATGGAGACCATCATCTCGCGCCACTCCATGGTTGGCGGTGCGGGATCGGGAGCTGGTGATGCATCATCTGGCTGAGGAGAAGAAGAGGGGGAGGGTTTGGGGGCGGCTGCTGCGGCGGATTGGAAGGTGTGGATGGGGAGAGCGTCGAAGAATTCGTGAGCTACGATGAAGGGAGTCTTGTCTGGCTCTGTATCATGGATAGAGAGACGGGATGATTAGCCTCATGCTGTGTAGTGAGCTGCTGTCGGAAGTGTTCTTACCTATGGGGATGGACTTGATTGTCTCGGTCCAGACAATCGGTGCTGAGCTGTATTTGCTGGGGCTGTGGCATCCGGCTTTGGATTCAGTAGAGGGCGCATCGGGGCCGCAGAGGAGCTTCTTTTGCGTTTCTCGCAGCTCACGGCTGGCTTCGACCATGAAGACGTTTTCGATGCTGTTGGCCATGGCTGGAAAGCGCTGGATAGTCTATCAAGTTAGTTAGTTAGTATATGGGAGGCAACGAAGAAGAATAGAGTTGCGAAGGCTTACACGAAGCATGTCGTCCATGAGGGTACCTCGGCCGGGGCCAATCTCGATGAGTTGGACGCCCTTGCTGGGCCTGCCTTGGCTCATCCACTCGGCGATGAACCAGATGCCGAGAAGCTCGCCAAAAATCTGGGAGATTTCGGGAGAGGTGACAAAGTCTCCTTTGGTGCCAAACTGGTCACGGCCCTCTCCAACGGCTCCGGTGTAGTAGCCTCCCAAGTCACCGGTTAGGCACATTCGCATGTAACTAGCCAAGGGGACGGAGCCGGTAGTCTGGAAGAGGAAGAGTTGGTTAGCTATGACGATTGTGATGGTGAGTTGAGAGTTGTATTGTGATAGTGGCATACGGATATAGCTTCATAGAGCTGTTTGGCCAATGGAGTGGACCATTTCCTCTCTTCTACACGGCGAGAGCTAGTTGATGAGAAATATCGAGGGACGCATATTGATGGCCTTATTATATGAGTGTATGAAACTGAGTGTGAGTGTGCTTGTAACAGCAGCCGCTGTCTTGCGAGATGTGCAACTCTGGGGAGAGAAGCCGTGGCGGCAACGGCGGGCCTCATTGCGGCATCGGCCAAAGTTCAATTGCACTTTTTATTGGTTCATTCAACAATAAGTGAGTAAGTGAAGAAGTAATCAAGTAGCTGGTCAAGGCAAAGTGCAGTGCAATGCAATGAGTTGTGAAAATGAAGATGAAGGTGAATGAATAATTCGAGGCTTGTCGTTGGCTCAGAGAAAACCGGAGCTTTTTTTTCTCCCGAATGCGCCGTGGGTGTCTCTCTTTCCAGGTGCTAAAAGCTCGGGGCTAGCGGTTACAGCTCCTACAGCACTACAGCTGCCTGTAGCATAGCTGGAAACTACACCTGAGTTGGTTAAAGGCGACGATAAGATAAAGCTCCAGAGGGTCTCTCCTCCTCTTGTATCCTTCTTTCAACTTCATCCAATACTCCTAGTTGATACGCTCCTCTCGAATCTACACAAATGACACTTCAAGGTCTCTTCATCTTTTCAATCATCGCCTGCAATGTGCTTATGGGAACTTGATGAGAGCCAATCCAAAGTCTGATAAAAATCATCCATCTTTATTGATTTGAAAGCCAATACGACATTGCAGTTCTTCTAGGGCTAAATGAGGAGGCATCTCGCCCCCCTAAAAAGCCCCAATCTGCGGCGCTAGAGCTGCCCGTGCATTATTCTTACTTCGGATACTTTCTTTCGGCCTATGATCGCTTGTTATAGAGGAGATGAAGAATAGACGAAACGTTTCAAGACATGCCTGGACACTCAATCTTGGCATAGCCGGTCCCAGGGTAGCGAGTACAGCGAAAAATCGTGGATGCAACCAAGAACATGCTGGATGAACTCTTGCGAATGTGCGAGGCCAGTTGAATCACACAGGGGGCATTGGTTTGTGCCTATAGTTTTGCCTGGTGACTCGAGTGACTCAAGCAGGAGAGTCTCGACAGAATCTGGGGATGCAGACTCGGAATGTTGTGCTCTTATGTGCGCTGCCAAAGCCGCCAAGCCTGGGAAGGCAGTGCTATGGTTCTTACACTCTTTGCAAACATAACATCGCCGATGCGTTGTCTTAAAATGGGCTTCCCAATCGGGGATCGTGGTGTAAGTGTCGAATGGTGTCGGGCAGTCTGGGAGAATACATGTATAAGGGGAAATATCTTCGAAGACGTGCTCCCTATTTTGAAGGTCAATTCTATTTCATCTATCATTCATCATGAGACTTGAGAGCAGTACCTCCACAGCTTGTCGTCATTAGCAAACTCGGCCGGTAGAGTTTCGCAGCAGCACGGGCACTTGAACGCTGTTGCACCTTGGGGCAACTTTGGTGCTCTGGGATATCGATCTGCGGGCCTGAGTGCAGTGAGTGCCATCATGGCAGGCTGTGAAGCCCTCTTCTCAGCTTCCTGAAACCATGAGTTATCTTGCGTTGTGGATGCCTTGGTAGGGTCGTCAACGCTTTCCTGTTGATCGCGCTCTTGTGCCTGTAAGAAGCGGTTTCTTCTGCGCAAATTCACTTCTATGAGCCGTTGTTGAACCTTAGACAGCTTGAGCTCTTGGGATATTTTTATGCACTCCTCGGTTGACAGTGCATCTGGCTTGGATACGTCGTATCGGGCTGCAACGCCAAACTCATTCTTGGTGTGTTGTCGCAAACACATGATGCCCAAAAAAGCCCTCAGCTCTTCGTGTTCTTCAGGCCTAAACTTACAGTCGCCCTGCGGAAGGCGTGATCGTATGCCGGGTCGAATAATGGCTTCCATTATTTGGGACAAACACTTGATCGACGTATCCACCTTCTTGGTGGCTGCATCGAGCCGGACTGTGCCTCCGCACAGCTGATGCACTCGGCAAGGAACTTCTTGAGCATGGTCAGAATATTCGAGAGCAGGAGCCGAGTAGATTGCCCAGAGTCGAGGCAATAATCAAGAAATGCCCTGGATGCGGACCGGACGCCGATGCAGTTAATATAGATATTGAAGTCGAAGAAGCGTTCCCCCGCCCACTCGCGCTTCAGCTTTATTAGGCTTTCATGGTGCGTACAGGTTTCGAAAGCCGACGTGCATTGTCGACATAACTCTGTAATGGACGAGGTTGAGAGGGCTTCTGTCGACTCTTTGCGCGAGCTGTAAGAGACGGCTTCTACTTGCCGCTCCTCGACAGATTCCAGAGGCGGAGGTTGCACACTTGTTTCTGCAGGTTTGGGGACCCCAGAGCTCTCGCTGTCGATAGGTGACTCTATCGAGCTTTCGGAGTCATTCTTGTCCATTTTGGGCTTTGGTCACGGAATTCCTCTGCCTCCCGAGCCCACGGTAAATCTGAGTGACAAAACCGTAGCGGGTTGAGCAGGTTAAAGAAGTTGGGTTGGTTGAGTTTGCGTACACAAGCGCTGGTTTGTGTAAGGGGTCTTTTCATCAAAGGAACACGACAATCTGTTTTATCAAAGAAATATGATATTCCTTTGATCAAAGAAAAACGGCAAACATGTAATCAAGGAAACACGATAATCCTTGCATTAAAGTAACACGACAAAACATGTAATCAAAGAAATACAGCAAACATTGCATTAAAGAAATACAGCAGCCTACCTCGGGCGGTTTGAGAGGGGATTAATAAGGTTACTGTGCTGCTGTACATGGCATCTACCATAGATGTTCTTCAACATTTTGGGACGATGGACTCAATTCTTAGACAACGCCAGATATTTCTCGAGCAATTGGGCTACCTGATCTTGGAGTACGGCCTAGATCAGGAGTCACTAGACACGGACTTCTTGGGAGTTCAATTGTTACTCATCTCGGAAGGGTTGGGAACAGTGAATCTCGAGGCCCTCGCTAACGATGACATACTAGAGTTGAACAAGGTGATTGAGAAGCTGGTGTCAATCACAAAGGTGCGGCGGCATGTCTCAAGAACTTCTGGGCACTTCTAACGCTGGAGCTCACTGTTTGTATAAGCTACAGATTGCATATATTCCACTCTCCTTAGGCAGCAAAGTTCAAACCGATCTACTGCGCAACAATCTGGCCGAGTATTTAAAGTCTTTGGACCACAATGAGTGCCAAGAGCTCTCGAAAACTTGTGAGGGTCTCGTCAAGGCCCTACAGATGCACGAGAGCATGCAAGACATATTGGCCAATCCACCTAAGAGTGAGAAGATAGAGTACCCAATGTCTGTAAAAAGGAAGCTGCTCTCAGGCCTGCGGAACGATTCCATCTGTGCGTCTTGTGTCGGACTCGATGAGAGCCAAGGCAGTCCTCAACGGCATTCGACACGACTATTGTTGCAGCAAAAGCCACGCGAGGATAACTGCGATACCATAAACTTCAATGCTATTATTGCGCGAATCCCCCAAGAGGGCTGGAAAGATGTCGGCCTCAGCGTACCACTGTAAGATCTCTTTGTTAATGCCATTATACTAGCTAGGATCCTAACGCCATTCATACTAGGGAGGACTCGGTCGAATTATCAGCGGGGAATGATTCTTGCAACAGTCCTAACTATGGGCCAGAATCAAATCTAGGCCAAATAGTGTTTTGTCCCATCTTGAAAGATAATGATGCTGCTCGTTCCCATTTCGTTTTCCGTAACGGACATTTCTCTCGCCTGCCCAATGTCCAAGCCTTGGAGCAGCAACCTTGCCCAGGCTCTGGCATTACCCTCACGGCCGTTCTACAACAATATACTCTTGAGCTTAAAGACAAGGTCAAACTGGCGCACACGATAGCGCAAACACTGTGGCAGTTTTATGATACCGAGTTGCTATACCGTAAATGGGACAGCGACTGCATCTTGTTCATGCCCGAAGAGCACGAGGGCGTCCAACGAGTTCCAATCAAGCCTTATGTGTCGATCCAGTTCGAGGCATCTGAAGAAAATACAGACGAGTACTTATCTGAGGCCTTCCTCATACATCGATACCCTCGGATTCTCGCTTTCGCTATCATGCTAGTTGAGATCGGGCTGGGGAAACCATTACAGCTCGAGCAGTGCGATAACCTCGTCGCTCAGTCCAATACTGATTTTGAGGCGGCTTTTCTAGGGCTGAATGATCTAAAGGAAACCCCTTGGGAGAATTCCTTAGACAAGAGTGCTTTCATAAAGGCGATTGAAAACTGTCTTGAGTACAAAAACTTTGGACCGGTAGATACCACCTCCGCGGCTGTCCCGAGTCCAGCAGGAAATCAAGATGGCCGAAACTCCTTGCAGATTGACCACACACGTAGAGCTTTTTATGACAAGGTTGTCTGGCCCTTACAATGGCTCGCTGAAGTTGGGTTTCCTGGTGATCAAAGTGGGAGTTACTTGCGCGAGAACCAGAGGTCACTGCAAGTCTCTCGTGCCTCGTCTACTCGGAAAGACCTCGAAGAAGATATACAGTTCCCACCGACAGAGTTCCATGCAAGCAGATATATCAATCCAAAGGACTGGCTCAGAAACCTAAAAGCTATCAATAAGGAAATACACCCGAAATTGCAGAACTTAGTTGTTGATGGACAGGGCGTCCGTGTTGGTGAAAGAGGCATTCGCGTTGCCATTTTGGACACAGGATATGATCCAAAGGCTCCACTGCTAGTAGACAAGAGTGTTGCAAGACGCTTCAAAGGATGGAAGGACTTCGTCTCTGGCTCGGATGTACCAGTTGACTCCTTTGGCCACGGCACATTCATGGCGACCGTCCTCATTCACTCCGCACCGATATCAGAAGTACACGTTGCCCGTGTAGCAGAAAACACAAACAATCTAGACCAATGCTCACATCAAGTTGCAGAGGTAAATAATCTTCTACCAAATCAGTTCGTATATAGGGCAATTCTAACGTCAGCTAGGGCATTCGATGGGCGGCATTCGAGCAAAACGCGGATGTCATCTCCATGTCATTCGGGTTCCCAGCCTCCGATGTTGAGGCGTGCAAACGAATCTCCGAAGCGATCGAGGAGGTGGAGATGAAACGAAATGGACGAATCATCTTCCTCGCCAGTGCGGGCAATTCAGGCGTCTACGAAGATGAGACGTTCCCAGCGACACATCAATCTGTCATCTCAATTCGTGCTACTGACTGCTTTGGAAAATTTATGAAGACTCATCCGAGAAATAGTAGCGGTAATAGTGTGGTATTCGGCGCGGTTGGTGATGATATACCGCCACATCTACGAGAGTTTTACCCAGAAGTCTCTCTGCCAGGGACCTCGGCGGCGACGGCAGTTGCGGCTGACACTGCGGTCATTATGCTAGCCTATGTGCTGATCCTTCCTCAATTATTAAAGATTGAGATTCAAGAGCATAAGTTGAAGCTGTTGTGGACGACGGAGGGAATGAGGAGAATGTTTATGAAAATGTCAGACGACATGGGGCAACAGCAGAGGTTCTTAGACCCGGTCAAATTTTTCTACGACAAGCCAGGTCCCTTTGACAGATACTGTGCTATATACGATTGCTTATAGACTAGATATAGTTTAATCAAGGCCAATTCTATGTTTACGCCTCCCTAGATGGCGCAAAAGAGATACATGTATCTTGTCCGATGTTGTGCTTGACCAAATCCGAATTTTCTTCTGGATCTTCGAGCAGGTCCTCGAGTAGCACTTTTGCCAATTCCATCTCTACATGTTCTTCTCCAATTCCCGTCATGAATGCTGTCCTGTGCGGGAAAATCTCCGTCTCCACGTTTCCGGCCCCTTTCTCGCGTATGACATGGAGAATGTATGCGAAAATTATACCTGGTGCCGTCTCCCACGAGTCAACATTGTCCTTCTTTCTCCCCCTGTGAATGTCTACACCGATCTCTGCTGGGGCTATGCCTGACACGCCTGCAGAGATGCCTCCGGCCCGGGTGTAGCCCTTTTCCATCGTCACAGCCATGCCGGTCTTGGTGACTCGAAGTCCGGAGACGATGTACACGGGGCGCTTTCCATAGAGCCCAGTATCCATGTGTTGGCGAACCGCTGGCTGGTTCACGATGGCTTCGAGAGCCTCCGGCGTCAGAGATCTTTGGAACTGGTGAATATCATGATCAACAGAGCCATAATCAAGCCTGTAACGTTTTCTCAGCTCGAGACGAAGGGATGCCGAGGCGAGATCAAGAAATTTGGCTTATATGCCACCGCCGCCAGAGCTGTTGAGGCTGCGGGAGTACTTATGGTTCTTCTCAGGCACGATCTCGATGGGAGGGATGCTTAATTTGGGATTTGTAAGAGTAAGAGCCTCGGGCTCTAACAAAATCAGGGTCGGCCGCATGAAGTCTTTAATTACTGTTCCTAGCCGGATGATGCCATCAGGGGTGAAGGTTATCCCTGGTGGGATGAGCCACGTGCTTGAGGCCATTAATAAAAGAGAATTGAATCGAGAATGTTGGTGTTTCTGTTCTAATTTGACGAGATTTGAAATGAAACTATTGCCTTTTAAATGTGATCTCAAGCTTGGAAATAATTTTGGGTCGTGAGTACATGCATGTAATGTACTGTTCACTTTCACTTATCACTTCTCCTGAGACACCTCACAGCCTCGTCTCGTCGTTGGGGTGATACATGTACTTGCGTGATCTAGACACGAGCACTTACCCCTCTCGTTTTGGTGTTGTGCTTTGCATTTTGATTTGTCTTCATTGACAATTGTGTCACCGGGACGGAATACACTACATGCACATTGTTTCATCCTGATAACTCCGAGACTAATTGGGCAAATGTTCTACATCCACTAGGTAGATTGGCGGAGATGGCTTGGAGTATTGTGTTTAGATGAGAGGGACTTTTGGAGCTGCTACCTAAATTTCTCGATATCGCCATGGCTTTCCTGTTCGAGAGATATGGGTACCGAGGTGAGATGGAGAAGTTCATCCCACACATCTCCTCGCCGAGAGAGCTGCTGAGGCTGCGGGAGTGCGTATTGGTTCTTCTCGGAATAGATGTCAATCGAGGGAATGTTGACTTTGGAGTCTGTGAAAGCATTGAAGTTGTTTTCCTCCTCGAGTGTGCTGCGGGTTCTGGACGATCTTAGGCACACGTAGTGGTGTTTACTTTCTAAAGCGCATGTACTCTATATCCACATACTGTAACAGATAGCAGATAAACACACATATGTCCCTTACCTATCTTAGGCTTAGACTGCTCTTGGGCTTAAAATAGCCGCAGGTTTCCTGGGGCATTGGAACAATAAAGCAGCCAACGATGAGACCGAAGTCGACTTTGCCCAATCGCGGCCCATGAGGTTTTCGTGACGCGTACAAATATCGAAAGCCGACTTGGATTGTCGACATAGCTCCATAACAGACGAGGAGAAAGGGGGGTTTCCGTCGGCTTTCTGTGCGAGTTGCAAGAGACGGCTTCTACTTGCCACTCCTCAACACATTCTAGAAGCAGAGGCTGAACACTTTTATAAGGAGAGGTTAAAAGGTTAAAGAGTTTAATAAGCATTTATTAATTAAGAAGTCTTATATATGAATCTTTGCAACGCAGCAATTATATCTTCCTTGTATCTTTACAGCCACTGCTGGTTGCCAAAATGCGACACAAATCCTCCAGCATCTTTCTCAATAGTAGCATTATGCACAACCTTGAGCACGTCTGCGACTGCTTCCGAGGGCAGTACAGGCCCAGTGAAGTTGGGCTGATACTTTTGAAACGCCGCTCCCATAGCCATGAGATTGTTTTGCTGCTTTTCGTTTGGATTGAGTAAGTGGCCCGTATCGACTGTCCCTGGGCATACAGCCAGAAAAAGGATTCCTTCATCAATATACTGCGCTTGGAATTTTGTAATGAGCGTGTTCAGAGCCCCTTTGCTGACTGCGTAAGGGTAGCCGAGAGTCAGCTTCCACTTGGTGGTCATGGTTGGCTCGGCCAAGCCTGACGAGATGGCAATGACCTTTTTCGCCATGCCTTTCCGGACAAGCGGAACAACAAGGTTAAACAGATGCGCGTTACCAACAACGTTTATGCGGAATAGGTCCAACATGTCTTCTTCTAGTAGCTTAGGGTCCGCTAAGCCCAGATCCTGGACATCGTCCAGGCCGGACCAGTCCGAGATCTTGCCTGCGTTGGCAATGACGTAGTCAAGTGTACCATTGGTTATCTCGGATATGATGGCGACAGCGGCTTGAAGGTCTTTGATATTGGTTATGTCGGCCTGGACAACAGTGATGTTGGAGGCAGTAATCTCCGCGGCTATCTTCCTCTCTGTTGCCTCTTTGTCGCGGACCAGAGCAATAACAATGTTATTGGCATCGGCGGATAGCTGCCGAACGAACTCAAACTTTAAGAGTAGTGGGATACCGTCAGTTGATACTTTAGACAATCGTAGGTGTCTAGCAGATACGTACTCCAATGCCTCGCGAAGCGCCAGTAACAAGATAAGAGGCCATGTCGACAGCTATTTACGAGAGCTAGTGAGAAATACGTGCTTCGGCTACAATTCAATCTAGGCGCCGTTGATCGTGGTGGTCATTTATGTGTGGGATATGAGCGGGAAAGCGTCGCGTTTTATACATTGTCAAGACATGGCATGATCCACAGCTTTGACACCGATTGTTGGCTGTGATGAAATATCTAGCATCTTCCACGGAGATGCATGGAGTTTCAACCACTTGGAATAGACAGCATTCTCGCGGATAGTTGCTAGACGGCGGAGTTGCAAGGCCTTTGCTTCAGGTTCATGATTGTCTTGAACTCGGGCATCAGTTGCGACCCCCGCGCCGAGGACGAAGTGGAATCTCAAAGCTCGTGGAAAGTTGCCCTGGTGGATTCGGCTGGTTCCGATCTAGCTCCTTGATTGGTCTTGTACGTAAGATCAACTAGGGGGGCTTCATCCTTCATCGGGTTTATGCTAACTAAGCCCGGGGAAGCCCGAGGCCGCCCTTCCTGATGGAGCTGACGGGGAACCAAACTTGTCGGAGTTTCACTACATTAGACATCTTTTGCTTAGCTATCGACTGCTCTCTTCTGCGCATACTTTCTCTCTCGCTTAAACCTCAGCTTCGCGAAAAGTTGACTCACTCACGTAGTCTAGCCACACTCAAACTATATGGCGTCGTATGCAACTGACCAACAGAAAAAGACTGGAAGAGGATGTTGGACTTGCAAAGGTAGGTAAAGCTTCAACCCTTGCACTAGGGCTTTAAGATGGATATACTGACAGGAGACCCCGAATGGAACTGACATGCAATGCAGATCGCCGGGTTGCCTGCGACCGCCAAACCCCCAGTTGTTCAAAATGCATCAGGTCTAATCGGGAATGCTTGGGCTATGGCGTGCGACTCTCATGGCCACGAACCAGTGATTCCAAAAGAGCCATGGTAGCCATGTCAAGCACGCGCTCTCTCCTGGCACAAGGAGTCGCAAAACGCCGCTCGACATTGATGTTGATACACACATCTTCCAGAGACATGGACATGTATCACTATCTTCGAAAGCTGCGAAATGTAAAACGTAAGTTTCTTTTCACAATTGGACATGTAGTTGGTCAATAACATCGTACGAGTCCACAGCGGGCTGATAGCTGACAAACTCAGATGAGAGACAGCCGGTCCGCTTCGTCTTCCCTCCGCCACCTCTGCCCTGGTCTCCAGGTAATCCTGACTCCAACACTCTAGGACTAGTAGACTATTGTAAGACTCTTGTTCTCGAAATCCATTCGGCGCTTGGGGCCACTATCGCTGACTCTCTTCTCGTGCAGTTGCCAGTGTGTCTTACTCCACGCTGTCCGTTTTGGGGGTTGATGCCCGCCGTCTGAGAAATCTCTTGCTTCGTATGACTATTTCCAGCAACACACTCCCCACTTTCGCGCTCAAATCATCGCTGCTGGCCGTATCTTCGCTGCATCGTGACGGTCTGCGGGACTTGGCTTTCCGGTATAAGATCGCTGCCATCAACGCCCTGGCCGAGTCGGCCAAATCTGGACGCCCAGGTGCCTTGGGATCTGCGCAGCATGCTGCTACCTGCATGCTTTTGGCCACTTTTGAGACCCAGCACCACTCCGAGTCTTCAGGCCAATGGGTGCTTTATGTTGACAGTGCCAAGCACATCGTCCAGGCCACAGGTCTTGACCAACGATCAGACCAAGCCGAGCTCAATCCTCTTCTCGATTGGATTTACTATTTGGACATTATGTCGTGGTTTGTCATGCGGCATTGGCGCCATCCTTCCACATTGCCACATTCGACTACAGACAAGATTTCTCTGAGTCGTCGGAAATCTCCCTTGGTAAGCACAGCCGAGCACGACAGGCACATTCATCACATACACACACAATCGCCAGCATCAAGGTGGCCTGGGCTGACTCCCGTCTGCTTCTATAGTTACTGAATCGCCCCACCTCCATTCGCACAGTTTTGGAACCTATTGCCGTCGTCTGCGATATTCTCGTAGAGCCCCGTGATCCCCGAGCTCAGGCTGTTGAGTACCAAAGTCGACTTCGTTCACTAGAGAGTACACTTATCAATTACCCTGTGGCCAAGACCACTATAACAGGATTAGATGAGAGAGAAGACGTTATGACAGAGCTTTATCAGCTCGCAACCCTTGTCTACCTTTTCAATGGAACAGCAAGTTCTTGTATTCCAGATCATCAGCTCGACGGCTTGGTCGATCGCGGATTTTACCTCATCAGAAAGCTCAGCACGTGCGAGCGAGCTTTCCCGCTCCTGATACTTGGTTCTGAAGCACGCAATGATGAGGAACGAATGCTCTTGCTCGAACTTGTTCATAAGACTGGGGCAAAACACAACGAAAGCAGCCTCATGCGTATAAGAGCGGGCCTTGAGATGGTGTGGTCACAGCGAGACCTTGAAGCTGATGAAGATGAATACAGCGACCTAAGCTACCTCCACAGACTAGACACTGTCATCGGCTCCGCATGTACACTGCCATTCATTTCATAAACATGTGAAATAGGGGTCATGTTTCGAAAGGAAAGTCTCTATCATCTGTTGAGCAATGGCATTTAGATGGTGGCAGCTAGTATAAATCCAGTACGTCTGAAGAACTCAAGAATTGGCAATGTATGTATGTAACAGGCATTGATGGTGGAACCCTCCAACTCAACCAAACAGAGCAGCGGCTAGCAAAACCCAGCCCTGGCACGCAGCCTTGCGCACTCGACGACTTGAAACAGACCTTGAGAAACATGTAGGAAGATTTGATGTATTTGTCAGTTGGAAGAGTTTGTTTCAAAGCATGTACCCAACGGATATCCTTATACCAAATGTAGCACCGGGGTACATGTAACGCCTGGTCCCGGCTTCATCGTTTACCACTCTCTTCGATGGCCTTTGCCCCGATCCTCTTCAGATCCTCAATCCCCAAGTGTTCCTTCTCAAAGCCAGTTACAGCCTGGTCCAGCATCGCAGCTGCGACTGTTTGTACTGGTAGGGTACCAAATGGCGTCAAGCGGAAGACCAGGCCAAGAACAGTCCTGCGGTGAGAGCCGTGTTAACTGTAATTCGTACCCATATGTCAGTCATCGCAGGAGGAAGACTTTGAAGCTGCGAGAAGGACCCGTACCATATGCAAGCGTTAGCACCTGCAAGCTCCTTTTTAACATCATCAGGATACTCTCCATAGTCGCTAATGACTACACTCTTCAACTTGGCCGCATTTTCACCGTCAGGGGCAGTGACGGGTTTGCGAGATAGGGCGACGAGACTTGTGACATCGGGCCGGCGCAAAGCCTGGCTGATGAGTTCCGTTGCAACAAACCCACTGGCCCCGACAATGATGAGTTTCATATTTCCAACTTGGATACTGTCCGTGGACTGCACCTGGGGGGCTTTCAGTCAAGATATGTGGATGGGAAAGGCCGGTTACAACTAGCTCGTTTTCCGTGGATGGCATCAAAGGTACATGTTTGTAGGAATCAACGCAGACGTTTTGGTCCGGGCCATTAATACATGTAACTACATGCAATTTTGTATGCCGTACCATCATAATGCTGAGGCTACATGTAGTCGGTCGATACAATTCCGAATGCCGCCTCTTACGGCCCCTGAATAGTAATCACTGTCGACCGTTGTGCTCGATTAGTAAACACAAAGTACATGTATTTCCTTGTCAGCGGTGTCCCTACGTCCAGGTGGCACTCTTTTGATTGCGTACAACAGAATGTGGCCTGTTTCCCGTCCGTCGGGATGATGCTCGCGGCTTTTTCTTGCGGTGATTTGAAGAAGCTTCTCGCCCGTTGTTCCGCAAATCCACTCTCGCCATACACATCTTGCAATGCTCGCCTCGTCCCCAGATAACCAGGAGCTAGAACATTCTTGGGGGCCGTAACAAGAAAAGCCCCAGAGACCGTCACAACTTGCTCGGCACTGGATTGTCACACGTGGGAGCTGCCAACGCCCGACGGTGTCCATTGGCCGACACATTCAGAGCACGAAGCACGACTCGGCGTTGGTGGCGGCGGTAATCCTATTATTCCGACTCCAACGGAACGACAAGTATGCTGGATATGCCTGTAGTACATGCAACTTTGCCTGATGGGCCTATTGGGAGAGCACGACGTGGCCAGGGGCTGAACCGTGAGGGTCCAAAAGACGCAGCTGAGTCGCTTCGGGTTATATTTCTCCAAAGAAGGGGACGTTTTTTTGGTTTTTGGCGATATAGATTGTAATTACCTGTTAGTAGCATCAAGTTAACAGGACTTGGTGGAAATGAAAGATGAGGACCTGGCCGTTGAGACCTTTGAAGTTATGGACCACGACGGATCAAAGATCGTGGTCGTTGTGCCGAAAGCCGAGTGTTGAGCCTTTTACTCTTAATGACGAGCACGGAATTGAGGTTTAACAGAAGGGAAGATGCAGTTGACTTTAAATCACAACAAAGGCTGCCATAATAAAACTGTCGGTCTGCTTTTCATTTTGACTTGAAGATACTTATATAGCCACGTCAACAACGATTGTCAATTACCCTTCTTTATCACATCGTCCTCCCTCAGCTATAAGTTTTTTAGGCTACCTACATGGCGCGTTAAAAAGAAGAAGAAAAGAAAGGTGTCTTTCGATAAGTAGTTGATATAGACACGCTGTAGGGTACCATCGGGACCGAGATCGGATGCTGTTGGATGTGACGTTCAGGAGCACGGCCTTATTTTCGAGAGAATGCTTTGCTGTGGGCTTTTTGAAGGGCGTCCTGAGAGCCATTCTTTCAGTCTTTCAAGCAGTAGTTAAATCCCCCCTGGCTTTACCCTACCAATTTCACATTCGGACATGTCACGTTGAAACCCCGTACCTGGAAGTCGACGAGATTGATTCGAAAGTCCACCGGGCGCAGCATACAATACAACATGGAGCCTTCTGATATCGTCAAAGCAAGAGTTGAGGGTGTCTTACCGACTGCGAAGCGACTCGTGCAGATCGCGGGCACGCCGGGGGCAGCGATTGCAATAATTCACAATGGCAAGCACATCCACAGCGAATACATCGGTTATCGTGACCAAGAGCTCAAGTTGCCAGTAACTGACGCGAACATCTTCCCCTGTGCGTCTTTGACCAAGGCCGTTGTTTCTGCCGCCATGGCCATCTGTGTCGAAGGCGGAAAGCTTGGATGGGACACTCCGATCAAGGATATTCTTCCCGATTTCAGCACGAAGAGTGACATCTTACGCAACCACATGACAGCTGTGGATTGCCTCTCCCATCGAGCTGGGATGCAAAGCTCTTTATATTGGCTCGGCAGCATGAACAACGTGCTCGTCTCCAAGGAAAATAGCATGAACTTGATCAACGACCTAAAACAAGTAAAACGGTTTCGAAACGAGTATCTATACAACAACCTAGGGTACGAAATCGCCTCACATGTGCTAGAGCAGGTCACTGGGGAGCCTTGGGACCAAACCTTGCACTCGCAAATATTTCAACCGCTTTGCATGTCAAGAACTGGAACCCAGCATTCTTTTAGCCAAGGGGATGATAATGTAGCCAAAGCTTATCAAGCACTGGATGACGCTTCAGTGGTGGAAGTTGTCCCTATGCTATCAGGAGGCGATACTGTCGGGGGACCGGGATCAGCAATGCGCAGCTGCATCAGAGATCTGGTCAAACTCTACACAGCATTTATCGAGTCCGGCGAAGACCAATTCAAAAACTGCACCACATCCACCCCAGGCTCTCCCTTGAAGCAGGTTCCGTTTCTCTTCTCGCCCCAGATAAGCATGAATCCCATCTCTCGCCGCGGAGACCTCGTACGCCCTGGGGTGGGCTCGAGTCCAAACTCCAGGGCCTATGGGTGCTATAGGTCTCAACCCCGACCTCCTAAAGCCCAAACCAATGCCGGAAGTCGCGCGTGGTCATCCATCTGAGCTGATCCTCTATCACCAAGGCATGATGCCAGGGAATTTGGCGGCTGTCAACCTCGTTCCTTCTACCAAAGGCGCAGTGATCGTACTCACAAACTCCTTGGCGCTCAACGACACTGCAGACTGGCCTGGCCAGCTATACCTAGAGGCCTATCTCGGTGTGGCTCATAGGAACGACTACGTCGCTTTGTCAGAAGAGACAGTGGAAGCTACCCTTAGCTGGTATTTCGATGTCTTGGCCGAACTTGAGAAAGATCGGATCCCAGGGACTGTTGCACGAAATCTGTCCGAGTATACTGGAAGATATTCTAACGAGGCTGGAACTATGATGATCGAGATCTTGCTCGACAGCGGCAGTGAATCTGGCCTTAGGCTCGCATTTCAAGGCCTCCAGTCCGAGATGTACCCATTGACACATTACCATGACGATGTATTCACTTGGCTGGTGACAAGGAATGAGCTTGCTCGACGAGGACGCTTTCTCATGAGGGGTTTGAACAATGCCGAGTGTTTCAAGATCAATTTTGGGCCGGGGAGAACATATCTTACATGGTGGCACGATCCATGCCTAGAAAAGCCAGAGAGGCTTATACGAAATGAAGAGTAAGGTCGTTTTTACTACCAAGGTTACATATTTATAACCCTTTGATTGTGCGATGGGATTAGCCGTCGGATCCTTGCTGGGATTATACTTTGCTATCCCATCTAAGGGGGTATATTTTTCGCAAAGATAATACATATCATTGTATTTAGTAGCGAAAATGGCGATTTGTGTGGATATGGACTTACATGATCCTTTTTATGATACCCGAATCTGTAGCTGACCAGTTTATATATTTGAGGCTGTACAGCCGGTTGCGATGATCCCTTTCATTTGCTGGCTCTGCAGGTGGGCATCACCGTAAATATGCCCCTTTACAAGCGCTCGTGCCCAGGGTTTTGCATAGATTACCCTCCATATCCCGCGCTCCGTCTCATTGTGAGCATAGTATGAGCTTGCGTCGTAAATGATAGCCTCTCCTATTTAGAGCATACCGGCGTTGGCATCCCATATGATGAAATCTATATATCTTATAGAGAATGGACTTTTTTATCACCATAGATCGCCATGAATCAGACTCGGTTGGATCGTTAGGCTCAAGTTGACGACTAAATTACTTTTTGAATCAAAAGAAAAAAAAGCTCTGCCCGTTTACGTCTTCAAGTTTCGATTGATATACCAATGCCATTGAAAAGGTTGATACTAGTTTCTTTGGAAAAATATGCCATATATTCTACCACTGCCATCTCGTGTCATTTACTGGTATGAACTGATGTAGTTCATGTCCTTTTAGGCATTAATCACCTGTAAGAAGGTAGATAATATCTCTAGTTCAGCCCCAAGAACTTTTGACCGTTCTGTGACTGTTTGTTAGAGACGAATATACGAAGTAGACTGGGTATCTAACTTACTTTAAGAGGGCGTTATATACCACGTAGTTGTGTACAAGCCGTCTCCAACTCCATGAAGGAGTCCTCTTGAAACTGGCCTATAAACATGTCAAGGCTTGGGCATTTGTTTCCCGTTATGGACATGCTTTCGAAGACCTTCTTCATGGATGTTCTCCCTTTAAGATAAACCCATTTTTTATTATCAGCCTCCTTCCCATTGTCGCCGTCTCTTCCACTATCACTCTGTTCCTCGAAACCACCCCATTTCTGAGCTAGTCTATCGAGATAAAGCAAGAGGCCTGCTGTTCCCGCCGCAATTGCGGTTGCAACAGAGCTACCATCAAAAAGCGCCCTAGATAAATGTTCTTCGTTAGCGTCGAGTGGGACCTCTTCTCCGGGGAAAAGGAATTCCATGTCTCCTCGGTGGACATGGGAGGATTTGTCACCAGTCTCCGTCGACGCCCCAATTCGTATGCACCTCCCTGACTCCCCTGGCCACGTCTTTGTTGAGTTGCCTCCCTGATCGCTGGCCGACGAGACCATAATTATGTTTCTATCATCGGCGGTAGCGAGAGCATCTCGGAGCTTTTTCTGCGCGTCTTCGTTCTTGATGTTGTCTTCGATCGTTCAACTCATGCATATGACATCCACCCCCTGCCCCGTGGCCCATTTCACCGCCTACTAGGCGTCAGCGGGACTATCTGCTTATTAGTCTATAACTCCGACTTACTTCGGTTGCAGATTCCATTGTAAGGTATCTACTTTCTCCCATACGTGACATTTTCTCGTCTAACCGACAGATGTAGAGTTTGACTTTTGGACACATTTTGCAAACGAGCGTTGCCACCAGAGAGCCGTGATTCAGTGTGTTCGATGCCACGTAATAAGGGTAGTAATGATCCATGTCGTTTCCCGTATTTATGTTCTTGTTGGGGAAAAATGAAGCCCCATTTGCAATTTTCCCATTAAGGATACTCAACGCAGCATCTACACCATTGTCGATGATGGCGATTTTAACAGGACGCACTTCGGTCGCTTCATCGTCGATACCGTGCAAGATTTTGCGGAAGTTGTCTGAACTATCTAACCACTTATGTTGCCTTTAACGTGGGTGAGCGACCACTGCTGACTAAGGATATATGATCGGTTGGGGGTGGTATTACTAACCTTTCGGCAGGCTTGATTGCACTATTTCCTTGTTGGAAGCCTTCCATAAAGCTTTTCTCTTTTTTATCTGGTCCTGCTTGCACAGTCACTGGTTTTCCGACTGTATTAGGAAGGGACTTAACCCGTCTTCTAAATTCGTCGACATATGATGACAACTTGCTCTCGTCTTCTAGGCCCTATATGATGTTAACGGAGAGCACGGCTAAGAAAGAATCGGAAAGAGATCTTAAGTAGGATCCCGCTGGCAACGACCCGCATACCTCTTGATAAATTAAATTCACCTTCTCGAGCTTTAATTAGTCGTATCAGTAAGAGCCGCTGTCCCAAGGACTAATAATAATCTTGAAGACATACCAGAGGAAATTTGTATTTGTTAAGCAATCCGCTTCCGCTTGACCAGCCCATTAAAACCGCATTGTTTCCCGAAGAATAGAGGGAGACTTCCTTCACGTTCGGGGCACAGCGTGAAATGACATCGCAGTTGATGTCTAATTTCTTCCAATCCCACGTCTCAATGCCGAACATCTTGCTTGGGGTTATCCCCAGCGCCGCTTCGATGGCGCCATCTGAGTGCGATGGTTCAGTACTGTCTATAACAATGATTGAAAGTATCTTCTTTACGCCTTTTTCTCGAAGCCAATCAAAGACTTTTACCATGTCCCACCTTCCTCGACGATTGTTCGAACTTCTCTGAAAGTCAGTACTGGCATATATAGTGAGTTCTACAGATGTAAAACTGGTGCCGTATATGCAACTACAACTTGTATGAAAGGTCTGGTTTTACTTACTTTTGATCGGTAATTGTTATTCTTGGAAGAGCAACATATACAAGTATACTTTCGAAACTCATGTGACCTAGCGCATCTAGATAAGACTGCGATATGACTGGGTCGATAAGGATCGACAGATCAAAACAAGTCTCTCTTTCTAGTAAGCAGCAAGAATGTCAGCAGATTGCACAAACTATTCGCGCCAGAAATCTTTATAAATTTCCACCGGCTGATATATAGAATCTTCAATGTTACCTTGTGCACCTTGATACAGTGCCTTCACCAATTTAAACCGCTGCATGTTTTTCACGCAATATTCTCTGATAGCGCACAGAATTGGGTCTTCTATTACTTCCTTCCTTAAATTTTCGTCTTCCTCTTTGGATACGGCATCCTCATTAAGAAAGGAGTCTTCCTCATTAAGTGCTGCGTCTTCCTCTTGAGAGTTCGTGACCTCTTCTGTAGAGGTCGCGTCTTCTTCAGTGGATGCGATATTTTGTTGCGTGATAGTTCCAGCATCTCCTCTGTCATTGTCGGCGGGATCCTCATAATATGTCTTGATAACAGTGTCTATCTCGTCATGGACAGTTGTTTCTAACATCAAGACTGTCAGCATCCTTCGCTATCGAAACCTGTAGTGTCTACACGCCAGACTTACCACCGGATTGTTGCTTTCCATTTTGCCCCTGCGAATTTACCTGTGACGCCCTACCGGCACTTGCGCCAGTTTTATTCCCCAAGGCCCTGATTCGCGATCGATACGGCGTCTCGCCATCAGTGTTCATTGCGTAAAGTGCGCCCGGGCACATTTCAATGAGTTTGTTTACTACATCAAGAGCCTTGAATTTGTTCTCGTTAGAAGATTGAGACAGAGCCGTGACACCGCAGACCGCTGCCAAATGCAGGGGCGTCTCTTTCGTCTTTTCAGAATCACGCTGCATGAAGATCTCAAGAGAACCTTCACAAGCTTTGATGATATCGATCGTGTGTGGTGATCGTGCTCCAATAGCGAGGTGGATGCAGTTCATCTCGAAGGCTTTTGGAGACTCAGGTCTCAAGAGTGTCGCAAGATTCAAGTTGTCTCCGCCGTCCCCTTTCTCAAATGATGTCCGGTCTTTGAAATTGTCTAGAATCGTCTTGACAAAGTCGGAATTTTCATTTTCAAGAGCCAGCTGAAGCGGCCGACGGTGATACAACTTGGATTTCTGCTGTAGGAGGATGTTTGATAGCTTTCTCAGCCCCAAGGAGCCACTTAACGAATGAATGATAATCTTCAAACTCACTCCCCCTTCGAGCGATCTCATGCAGAATGTTCGGATCAGTTACGATTCTCGAATTGTTAATCTCCTTTATCGATACCATGGTTGCCTTTTCATCTTTTGAGAGCTCATCTCCCCAATTTATCGATGTTTCCGATATCCTTTCTTGTTCCGTTTGTTTCGCCATTTTCTCTTGTTTCGCCTTTTCGTTGTCTTTTCCTTCTTGTTCCGCTTTTTCCTCTTCTTCCACTTGTTTCACAACTTCCTCTTCTTCTTTTTATCGCGCCATTTCAGCTTGTTTTGCCTTTTCTTCTTGTTTCGCTCTTTCCACCACTGATTTAATGTTTGCCAAGATAGCGTCAAGTGCTGCCGGATGTCCCTGAATTTTGCCGGCGGTGGTTTGGTATTCTCCCTCTGAGGTAGTTTGACTTTGTCCCTGTGTGGCGGTTTGATCTTGTACGTGTGAGGTAGTTCCATTTGGCCTCTTTGCTATGAGTCCATTTCGCTCCGCTGGGGCGATTTGATCATGTCCCTCTGGGATGATTCCATTCGGTTTCTCTGCGGTGATTTGCTGTTGCAGCTGAAAAGCACTTCCATCTTGTGTATCTAAAGTCGTTTCTTGCCGTCCACTTGAGACTATGACACCCCGTTTACCCCGTCCGAAAATCGTATCACTTGGCCTGTCCGTCATGTTGCCCCAACACGTAGTATAGAATGTTGATAATATAGAAGAGAATATCTGCCGCAGGGGAAAACGCCCATTAGGTGCAAAGTGCTTTGATTTGGATCAGAAGTTGAAAGGGAAATTGCTGCGGTAGTCCAAATGTCCAGTTTATGTCTTAACGCCGCTTGGGTACCTGATCATCCCTGCCTAGTACCATATAATTGTTTTACGTATCCGACTCGCGTCGGTCTCCGAGCAAAACGGAGGGCTCATCTCCGCCTGGTAAGCCAATGAAATTACAATTGTATGAGGTTGGAGCATGATAGTGTGGTGACACAGCCTTGTGCTTAGCAGTTAGGTTTTGTAATATGGTTGCTCGCAGCAGCCTTGTACTTGGCGATACTTGTAAGTTCAGAGAGATTCAAACAATCCTAGAAGTAGTCCCGAGATTTGTCCATTATGCCCCGCTCTCCTCTTCGGGAGGCAGCAGCTGTTGGTGGTTCCGATGTATGTGAAGATGCCCAAGTGCTACCCAGCTTATAGGTACGCAAGGGCGAAGCAAAGAAAGGGGCTCAATGATGTGACAACTTGTTTCTCCCGACCCAATGTTTTATTTTCTCTTCTTCATGGTTCCCCCCTAACTAAAGAAACGCCTAAACTTCATCATCAGATCATCAGCTTCTTACGCTATCCAAACGCCCCGCATGTATCGCATCTCCATCCCGCTCGAAGAGATCGAGGAGGGTGGCGGCGAGTATCGTGCAAAAAATCCCAAAGGCAAAGACTTCCGCGATGTCATCCAAACCCGTGGAAACGATGGACCGTCTTTACTTGCCCAGGCGGAATTACTGCTAGTATGCAGTGGTAAATTGAGGAATGGCACAAACGGAACTCTTCTCATTTTCCGCTTCATGTTCACCGGGCTCGAGAATGATAGTTCTCAAAGATTCACTTCGGCCAAAATCAGGGTCGAGTTCAGCGACGAGCAGTCGCGAATTGCCTATGATCCAGAGGTGGTCTCTATTCGGCCTGCCAGGCAACAAAGATTTGACGTTGTCACGGAAAAACCCGACAATCGACGCGGGGGTAACATAGCCCTCAGGACCGAAGGGCTACCTGTAGGATTTGGAGTGGGAAGACAGTGGATGATCTCGACCCCATCAGTTAGAGAGTATTACTCCAAGCTAAGTGCTGCGAGGTTCAATACGAGAGACTTTGTGGGCTCATGGAACAGCGTTGTATGGCAGCTGAATGAGCACTCTTTAAAGAAACAAGGGGTGCCCCATCTCTTACAGACAGCCGTGATAGTGCGCCGGAGAGGCGACGGCAAGTTTACGATGAAGATAAGGATCGAAACAACGACAAATCTGCAAGCTGGGACGATAAACATGATTAAGAAGCTGGTTGGCATGACGCATTCAGAACCTGTCGACGCGGTCAATATTGATTCAAGATTATTCATGCTCAAAGAGATTGATATCCCAGAGCTAGCAGAAATGAGAAGCAAGGGTGAGATAGAATTGGACAAGATTCATTTGGAAGATTTCGTCAGTCTCATGAATAAGGAAAACATGTAAGGCATAGGGAGGAGAAATATACCATGTACGTAGGTCCTAGGTAGAATTTTGAAAATTGGTATTCTCGCAGACTGATACGCTACCTCATGATCAAGTCTGCACAATGATTTTGGCGGGTTGGTTTACGTTAGCACATGCTACATACTAACCCAGTACTGGATACCAGGTATGCAATACAAATCTATGCCCTACTTATCCGTAGCTATGTGATACAAGTTAATAGGTAGAATATTACGAAGGCCAGTAGTACCTAGTATCTTGGACTGCCTCCTTCTCGTGAGGGCGTCAAATAAATACCTGGCTGCCAGGTACCTAGATGTAGGTTAGTACCTACCTAGGTAGTTATGCCCAAGCCAGTTCCTAGTAGTTGTCCCGGGACAACAGGTAGGATAGCAAGATAGCTTAGTATTAGGTACTCGTCGTACCTGACCGTAGGGATGCAGTCAATTCCAGTGGACTAAATTAAAAATTAAACCACCAAGACGGACCTGGTGACAGCTTGCAGCACTAAAATGGATGAGCTGACGCGAGCTGCGACGCGCCTCTTGCTTGCTGGGCTAGGCATTGATATAAATACATGCCGGGTAATACCTACCTATGGACAACTACGAGTACTGCAGAGTACATATATATAGAGTCTGGGGCCCATCTGATGATGACTTGCAGCTTGTCCGGTGGCACTCCCGCCAATACGAACTGCAAATTGTCACGCATGGATCCCCCCAAGCAGAGCCATCCATCATCAGCTTTGTTCCGTGCCGTGCTTTGCTGCGAGACTAAGCTCGTTGCTTGTAAGCGCCAGCGATCCACCCGCGCGGCGATGCATCGCCACGGTGCCACCAAAAAGGTGGTCCTCGTATTAGCTGGCGGCGTATATTTCGTTATGGAAAGCTATGGGCGTGGCTGCTGGGAAACTAACGCAGGAGACTTGCGGCGCTACGGTGGGTGGGCAGCGGCGGAGCTGGGTCTGGCATGCACACCATTTGCAGCAGCGAGGGAATACGAAGGGCCAGACACAAGACACGAGGACACATGCAAAAAGGTAAAAATAAATCGGGGGGGCCATCGAATCAAATTCTCCGTAGCTATTTTGTTGTGCAGGAGAATTTCTTTTTATAACTGTGTGTGATCGTACGACCGAGTCTTACTGTAGTGTTAGTGAAGTTGTGGTGTCGTGGTATTACCTGCACTCTGATCTTCATCACGCATTCATTCACCTCTCTCTTTTTTCTTTTACAGATAGCACCTAGTAGGTACCTGCGAGTTCAGTACTACTAGGTACCCTGCAGGCTCTCTCCTCCTCTCAGCTCTCATCTCATCGTTCCAGCATCACCGTAGATACATCCAATTTGGCTGCACTCTCCATACGTTCCACAAGTACTTGCCCCTTGCTGGCTTCGGCCAAAGGCGAGATTTTGCTTTTTATTTATACCTACGCCATCCCTCATCCGGCAAGGGCTCACCCAGTTACCCCTGTCTAACACATCTACCGCTAATCCTCTTTCGGCCATGGCGCGGTGCATTGTCTTCTGGTCGCAGCCCGCAGCCCGGGAACTACGAGGTACCTCGTGAATGTACCATAGCCCTTGTACAGCCAGTACACGGAACCTGAGCAAGAGGAAATCTCGGCCTTTGGCACTCATTCGTTCTTCTCCCCTTTTCCTCCCTTCTTCTCTTCATCGCCATCGCCTCGCCAGCGCAAAAGCTTTTTTTGTTGCTTCTTCATCGTCTCTCGCTTTCGCCTCTCCGTCCTGCCCGACGAATTTCCAGTCCTGACACTCGCTTCGTCTGCTCCTGCTGCTACTTGCTTTTCTGCCGCGGATTGTTTATTCCCCCGTCGACCTGCCCACGATCCGACCCGCTTGTTGTACAGCCACAAACCTTTCGATCTATCCGCCAAGGGGTTGCTTGCCATTGTCTTGTTTAACCACAGCATCATCAACCTTTTTTTTTCTTCCTTTGGGCCCAGCAACCGCATTCTTTTAATTATATCCGGCATCGTTTTGCACCAGAAAGCGGAGGTTTCAATACCTTGAAACGACATACGCTAGCGACAGACTGCCTGGTCTGTGTTTATTTTACCCTGCTGTTTACACTCCAAACAATCCCATACTCTCGACAAAATGCGTCCCACTGCGACATTGATGCGACTGGCCTTGTGCCTTTCCTCGGCTGCTCCTCTGGTCTCAGCTTGGCCGGGCTGGCTGCCCGAGCTCGACGCGCTCGTTGTTCGTGCCGATAAGGGTAGTGGTATGTATTAGACGTCTTGCATGCTTTTGATGAAGGTGTTTTGACACGTTTGGCAGAGGGAAACACAGCAAACCCAACCAGCCCAACCAACCCACCAAACGAAGAAGGAAACACGGCCCAGCCAACCCAGCCAAGCCAATCGGGTTCTAAGAAGACTGGCTCAAAGACGGATGATAGTAGCCACAAGAAGACGACCACTACCAAGAAGGCCGCACACCATACCGAGTTTGATCCCGAGGCTCCTCCAGGAAATGTTGCCATGCAGACACCCAATGTTTTCGCTGGCAGTGCCCTGTACAAGATTGAAGACTACGTCACCTGGGGCTGGAATTACACAAACCTCCTTGGCACCCCAACCGCCATCGATGTTCTCATCAGCTGCTCACAAGCCTCCGAGACCTGGACCCTCACCTCAAACATGACCTTCAAGACCTCTGTTGAATTCGTTTGGGACAGCAGCGCCCAGCCAACCCCGGCCGACCAGCCCTTCCCCGTCGCCATGTACACCCTCATCATCAAGGATTCCGATGCCGCCATCACCTCCATTCCCGACCCTGGCTACTTGGGCACCTTTAACACCTTCACCTTTGGTCTGTACACCCCGCAGCCATACGTTCCCTTCCCCGAGTGGCATTGCGACGCCTGCAACGCAGCCCTTTCCAAGTTTGACCACCACGTTCTCGGCTTTGCCATCACTATGGGCCTGGTAACCGTGCTCAGCTTTACCTGGTTTGTTTCCGGCCTCGACATCAACTAATCATGTCCCACGGCTGCGCATTTTACATATCCGCATACTGCTCGATTGGTCTAGCTTCACCTACCAGACACATCTTGCTCGACGTTTTGCGAATAATGTAGCCAGCGGGGCCTTTGGCGGGATTGCATACCGTGTTTGAGTTGTTGTTTGTTTTTTTAAAGCTTTTGGAGACGGGGCATTATTACAGGCGATACTTTGCGGGTCATTTTCAACGGCGTTTTTGTCTTTGTCTTTTGTGTCTTTCTCTTTTACGCGCGCGCTGCTTTGGAAAACATGGGGGAGTATTCATATTCGGACGACTCTTTTCATGATGGGCCACTCAAGAAAAAAAATAGTTTAAGTTTCTAATGACGTATACATTTAATGGGCCGAGCGCCTTGATGTTGATGTTGACTTTTCTAGCCTTGTTATCATGAATTTGACTGTCTTGTGCATTGGCATATTTATATTTGTGATGTTGTGTGTTTTGGTATGTTTACAATTGTCTTGATGTACGCTTTGGTATATTTCTCTATATTGGTGTAGATGTAATTCTTGATCATGGTAGATGGCTTTGTGCCTTGCAGGTGAAAGTCTGCGTGTAAATTCTATGGTATGATGAATAAATAAAATGGCTGTCATATATATCCTAAGATCAAATGCTTCGATTGGCAAGTCGATACGTCAATACGTCGAGTGACGACGGTAATATACCGCTGACCTGATGTGTGAATGGCCAGAGGCATGATTTGTTCGTTCATACCATGCGTAAACTGAATCCAGCGCCTCGCTCTTCCTTGTCCCTACCTTGGAAGATGCCGCTGAAATCAACGTCGCCGAGAGCAACGGCCTGTCCGCGAACGGGGCGTCGGGCTCGTGCCGACGCCTCCTTTCCTGGCCGGCCTTGCTGGGGAACGTGGGGAACAGGCTCTCGGGTTTGGGTTTAGGATCTTGCCGGAAGTATTCGTGCTCTAGCATTTCCTTGGCGGATGGTCGTTTCTCCGGGTCCAATGCGAGGAGACTATTGAGCAAAGAGGCGCCGGCGGCTGTGAGGTTGGGGAAACGGGCGCGGATGACGGAGCCGGAGGCGAGGGGGGACTGTTTGGGGAGTCGAAGGGAGCGGGCGTTGGGGAGGCGGCGGAAGCCCGGCCAGGAGTCTTCGGTGGGGACGCCGCAGAGCTCAAAGACTTTGGAGATCTGGTCGACCTCGTTGGAGCCCTGAAGCAGGGGTTCGCGGGTGATGAGCTCGCCCATGATGCAGCCGACGGACCACATGTCGACGGCGGCGTCGTAGGTTCGCGTGCCGAGGAGGAGCTCGGGGGCGCGGTACCACAGGGTGACGACGAGCTGGGTGAGTTTGGGGCGGGGGTCGCCGACGTAGCGGGCCATGCCGAAGTCTGCGATCTTGAGGAGGCCGCGGTTGGAGAGGAGGAGGTTGGATGTTTTGAGGTCGCGGTGCAGGATGTAGTTTTGGTGGAGGTAGGCGACGCCGGATGTGAGCTGCAGGAGGAGGCGCTTGACTTCGGAGGAGAGGAAGGGTTCGGGCATGTCTTGGAGGATGCTCTTGAGGTCGTGTTCGACGAATTCGAGGACGAGGAAGATGGAGCTGTAATGGGCAGAGTGGTTAGCTGGAGCACTGGCCTTCGACAGGAAAGGGTTTCTTCTCTTACTTGTCTGGCTTGGAGACGTCGTTGCCCACGACAACCTCCTCCATGGCCACGACGTTGCGGTGCCGGCAGTTTTTGAGGATCTGGATCTCGCGCAGGCCCGTCACGGGCAGGCCGTTGGGGTCGCCGGCCTCGAGCTTGAGCCGCTTGAGGGCGACGACTCTGCCCGTGGCGAGCTCCGTTGCGCGCGCGACCCAGCCGTACGTGCCCTCCTCGATGTCGTTGAGCTTGTCGTAGTTGTCGACGCTGCGGCTGGGCTTCCAGGTGCCGACGTCGAAGCGCAGCAGCGTAGCAGAAGTGTTGTTGCTGGCGGGTTCGGGGGTGAGTTTTCGTCGTTTTGAGGGCCGTGATGAAGATGATGCTGCGTCGTCGTTATCGTCGTTTGTTTCTGCGAATTGTGATGTCGTTGTTGTTGCAGCAGCGAGTAGAGCTTTTTTCTTTTCTTCTTCTTCTTGGAGCTTAAGAGCCTTTTTGCGACGCTTTTCTTCTTTTTCCTTCTTTTGCCGAGCTTCATACTCGGCGTCTTCTGCGGAGCTTGCCCATCTTGACTTGGGCTTGGTGGACATGGCTCTTCTTTTTGTGTCCCTTTGTGTGGATTCGCTCGGATTTGGGATGATCGATCGAACTTGAAAATGTGGTGATGCTATGATATCGGCTAATTGAGCGAATTGTGTGTCGCTGAAGCTCTGTCTGTGCTGTTTAGTATGGATGAAGCAGTGAAGATGTTGAAAGTAAATAGAATAGAGGAGTGAGGCGGCTTGAGATGCTGGAAAATAGAGTGGGTCTGCTGTCTGTCGGAGGTACATGTGCAAGGGTCCCGAATTTGTGTGTGGGGGGAGACTTTTATCCTCTTCATCATCTTCATCTTCACGTGCCTGCTATAATTATTGTCATGAGTGACGCATTGCAATTCAATTGTTTGTCAATATTGGTTCATATACATAATTTCTGTTGAAAATAACTCTTATCTGTAGTTGAATACCGCGCTGGTCATTCCCTTCTCTGTGCCCTTTTCCACGTCTATAGTGTCTGCATCTGCATCTGTATCTGGCCGACTCCAGTCTATTCCACACGTCAGACAGGAAATCTATTCCGTTCAAAACTCATTGATATAAAAAACATCAAATCACTCGCTCTCCTTGGCCGCCTTCTTCTGCTTCTTAATCTCCCTCCGTGCCTCTACCGTGCTCGCCATCTTGCTTCCCATATCAGTCCCCAAGTCGTTGAACCCTTTCACCACTCCGTCAGTGTCCCCGTCGCCCATCTCTTGGCTCATCTTAAACTTGCCCTCCATCCTCTCAATCTTAATCTCCACGCCAATAATGGCCTTCTTCATGATGTTGAGGTACGGAGTTGGCGCATCAGACACTTGCCACGGCTTGGGTCTGGATCCTTCTCCTGTGTAGCCCATGGTGACTCTTTCGTTGAAGCTCGACAGGGCGTCAATCTGGCTATTGAGGAAAGCCGTTGTCTCTTCTGCGTTGGGGTCGATGTAGAACGTCGCCTTGCCGTAGATCTGGACGGCGGCATAGTTCCATGTGCCAACCACTTTGCCCGTCACTGGCTTGGTGGCCGTGTAGAACTTGGGCGTAACGTAGTGTTGAACTGCGGAGGTGAACATGACTAGGACGTCTTGTTGCAGCGTCCTCGAGTTGTCTCCTGCGGCCTGACGCTCCTTGATCTCGTCGATGATGGCCTTGCTCTGGGGGTTGGCGCGGGCCATGTGAGCCCTCAGCTGGCCGAGCTCGGTCTCGCTGGATTCATCCTCGACGTCTAGGATGAATGGGATGTGGCTGGACTGGATCAGAGGATATGATGGCGAGGAGATGGCGGTGGTGAAGAGGCCCAGGGGATTCTCGCGGACGAGTTGCCGCAAGACGCGGAGGTCTGTCTCTGCGTGATCTCCACGAAGATACATGGTTGAGTGAGTGAGCGTGTTGTTTTGTTGTTGTTGTTTCCGTTCCTCTCTGTTGCTTGTCTTTTTTTCTCTTCTCCCTCTCTCTCTTTATCTCTCTTTCTTCTGTCTTAAGTTTAACCGATGAAAATGTCCTTGTACAAGTGTCCTATCGTGAGTCTTATGCCGCCGATGGGCCTCCGGTCTCTCTATATGTATGTCACCAGATATCTTTCATGTACGAGTTACTCACACTCTCCACCTGTTCCAAGGCTATTAACAATCACATCTCCCGTCTTTATCTCTCTTTGGATCATCACAAGCAAATCATGCGTCCCTCCGCGGTGGAGCTCGCTCGTTTATACTCGACTCAGTTAGACGCTGTTTTTGCATCTCCGTAACAGGATTTGCCCTCGCCGTGATTGGGCGGCGGGTAATCCGTTAAAAGGTTCAAGGTTCAATGTTCCTGCTACCGGCTGCGTGTGTCATTAGCGCACTCTCTTAGCAGGTACCGAGTACCGCCACATTAGGACTGGGCAAGCTGGGGTAATAGAAATTGCCCAATACGGGAATCATTTCGATTGGATGGATGCACATGCATTTTGGAGTTGACATTGAACCTATATGTATTCATTACTACTGAATTCTGGCAATCTGTGCCAATTCTAACTATTATTTGGAAATGATGAAAACAAGAAACATACTACTACATACTGTTCGACGTTAGTTTCCATCTATCCAAAATAACATTGTCAGTGTGCCGTTCCTCCTCCTGGTTAGTAATTCATTCCACATCAGAAAAAGTCTTGATGCTTCGATATATTGCCCCCATTACCCCACGGTATAGGTCCACGAAGTACTATTAGAACCGCCAGAAGCGCTAGTAACACTGTCGAAGAGGCTTCCCTCAGGAGTATCAATACTGGGTCCCGTTGTCTCTGTATAGCACCAGTCGTAGCGTGGGTGGGAGGACTCGTACAAGCGCCGCCAATCATCAACAACGCTTGCATGAATCATCGAAAGGGGAGCCAGTGCCATGTGTCGTCCTGTGGAAATGTAATCCACCGCATGTGTCTCCCAAACCCTGTCCGTTGAAGCCTTCATGACCTCCTCCCGCAACTGCTTCGTCATCTGGCTGTCATAGTATGCCCACAGGCAAGGCATAACAGACACATCCTGGGCGCAATATTCCAAAAGTACCGGTTGCAATGGGCGCTGACGGAACACATGAAAGCCTCCGCCCGACTCGGGCGCGAACAACGCTCTGCCTTGCTCCTTCGTCTTGTTCCATCTGAGTTTCTCGTACCGGGAAAACGTCGCGTTGTAGCGGACGCATCTTTCAAGTCCCATGACCCTCTTCTTCCCCTGGTGAGGGCGAATGGCGAATTCCATGAGTTGTAGATCGACGACACCATTCAAAGTGATGCCGAAAATGACAAACAAAGCATCCGAATCACTTCGGACATCGAAAAACACCTTTGGAATGTAGGGGGATTCCAAGATCGCTTTCAATGTCCAGCGAGTTTCTCCAGGCGTGGAGAAACATTTGTCGGCCAAGGATTGAACGTCGATTAGGTAAGTTGTGTTCGTGGGACGGACGTGGATCTGCAATATGGAGATGGTACCATATCGAGAAAGATTTTGTCCTTCGAGGTCGACGTAGAGTGATGGTCGATCAACTGGAAGCCCTGTGAGAGCGTCGACCACCTTGGATAGAGCGGGGAGAGTGTCAATCCATTGCGTAGTGGGAGCAGGATTAGTAGCCGCGTGAGTAGCAGCCCAAGCTACATCTGCTTTAGTTTCGTCGACAACCACGATATATTTGTGAGAGACGCCCCTGAAAGAAGACATTTGATGACTCTGGTCCCCAGTGGCAGGGGCTCCTCCGCTATCATCTGCAACCACGACAGATCCGCTAGTAGAAGCCATGTTCACGAGAGTCATTGTTCACTTGTTCTTTCTTGGCGTTGTCTCTTGGAAATGCCTTGTACTTTCCAAGATTAGTGCAGATTGTCTGGATCTCGGCAATTCGTGTGGATGTGATAAATGGGGGAAAAATAAATGGGGGCCAAATTAAAAGAGACGAGATTTATATAGCCGTACGAATTCATGAATGTCTGATACTTTCTGATGGATGTCTGATACTTTCTGAGGATTTTTAAAGCATAATAGCCGTTTGGATTTGAAAGAGGGTGAGGGTGATTTCTGTAAACTATCAGACTGCATACGCCCTCCATGTGTTGGTTTATATGAGTATGGCGGCCTTTGCCGCTAATATGGTTTACAGTGAATTATGACTACTTTTGTTTAAAACAGAAGATCATATTAATTCTAACAAAATTATCTCCAAATGTGGAATTCTACAATTATTGAATCCTCTAGTAAAAGACTGTATCAATCGTGTACCAAGGTGAACCGCTTACGTGACATATTGAAAGAGATGTTTCAAGGTAGATTAGAAGGGTGGGATATATGTAAACAGCAGAAGTAAACTCAAAATGAGATTGTATAAAACTTCTGCTGTATGGTGTAGTACAGAAGACTAATGCTGATGGATAATTTAGATTTCTGAGTACAGGAAAGCAAAAACCTATTCACAGCCCGACCCCGTGTGGCACGTTCAAAGCTTGGCTATTGAGTCAAATACAGCCAAGGCGCATATAAGGTATAGGTTTATTGGCAAATCATCGACAGGAAATCCCGTACGCCAATATCAATGCCTACGTCTTACAAACAAAACTCAGCTGGTAAATAGGGCTTCTCAAAGTTCAGCAGAAATTATCGTATTGCAAAATGAGATAGGTGATTGAAGTATTGTAGGCTCGACAGAAAATTGATGGTACCAATCTCTACACCCACACATACTTGGCTCTGACTACATACCTTTACCAAATGGTTGCTAAAATTGCTACCACAAACTGTGCATTTGACGATATAACCATTCCATTCAAGTTCAAGTGCCGCCCCCTTGAAATCCAATGATGGGCAAGCCATCCATTTTCCACAGCAATTAATAAGGACACCTTCCACAGTAGCCGCACTCTTTGTCACATGCTGTGAGATCTTGATCAAAGTCAGGGGAGGACGCCTCGTAGGGGTTGTAGTCGTAATCGTCGCCGTAGTCGTACTGGTTGTAGACATCATTATCGCCTACTTCACAATCTGCCCCTGATGCCATCTGGGAAACAAGTAAGCTTATAATTCTATAAGATTTAGATGCAAGCTTAAGTGTTTTGATACCTTTATGCAAGTGTCTTCGTATTCGGCTTCTTTGCGTCGAACGAGCTCAAGAAGGCGCTCGTCAGGTGCCGCAGTAAACATACGGAGAATTCCCTCCCGGCATTTGGATACCCAATCTGAAGCACTACAAAGATTGAGGACATTCTCAACAATGCCTTGGAGTTTGTTCCGCCCTTGGATCTCGTCTTTAGGGAAATTTACGCGGCGAATCGCGAGGCTCACTGCGGTTTCGATTTTGGCGACTTCGTACGTAGCCAAGTTGCCGGTAGATGATTTGATATAACTGCATATAAACGCAGCAGTATTATCACCTTTTAACTCGGAGATCCAAAGCTCCTCGATCTCGAGGCCAAGGCTGAGTTCTGTGTTGACCCAATCAAGAGAGAGCAGAGACAGAAGCGGGTTTGACCCAAGGTTTGTCTTGACTGTGGGAAGTAAAAACTGAAGAACCGACTTCAAAGCTGGGATATCCAACTCGGACACTACCTAAATTTCTTCTCAGCAATTGCTTCCTGTGATAACCGTACGGGGTTTTGCAACTCGCCTTGTTGACCTGCAAGGTTGGATCAGGTAGAGTAGAGCTCGAAGAACCACCATGTTCTGGTTCACCACCGTAATCTTCTTGCTTCATATCTTCGGCTTTGATGGCCCGCGTCGACTTTTCCTTCTTCTGTCGATATACCAGATCGATATCTGTAGCGGGTCGAGCGATATTGGCCCGCCAGTGATGCCTATTGGTAGGATTCTGTTGATACAAGTTCACCTCGAAAAACTTATCATGCGCGATGCACTTGAAGTTCTTGTATCTGCGGAAAGGAAAGGCCTTGGTAAGTATGTGCTGAAGCTTCCTGATAATCCGACAAAACTGACGAAGCTGAAAAAAATGCAAAACTCTGTGCGTTCTGCTATGTTGAGATATGAAGAGTGGAAAAGCTAGCTGCAAACAGCAACAAACGGCAACAAACAGAAAGTGGGCTTGATCGAGGAGAGTGGCCAAACAGATCCACGTGACAACTCAACACCTCCTGTGTAATGAGGGAGAAGCCAACTTACGAGTTCAATTTTTCGAAATTTGCTGCGATAAGGTCATTCTCTCTGACTTCTGCGAATTCGATGCCATCGTTGACTGTAATAAAATATCTGACTGACTCTTGCGGCCCGTAATTGACTTGCCTGACAAGCTGGACCACATAATCTGCATCGACTATAAACGAAGGGTCATCGTTGGGCTCTGCAGTGGTGGACTTTGCCCATTGCATGAACTTGTCGAATTTCTGTTCATGGTCAAGCCGTTTGGGGCGATACGGCTGTATCGATGAGCAGCAAAAGAGGCCAGGCATCCTTGTGATCAACGTTTAAACGATGTGCCAATAATTAATGAATCTAAACGGTGTTCTATGTTTAAAATATTGATGAAGAGAACAATGAGAAAACATTGATTGACCGACTCCAGCGATCTGTTTCCGTGCATTTATTCTCTAGAAGTGTTCACAGCTATGTTGTAGGCCTCCAATTGAACAATCTCCCTCTGGAATGCAAACGTCAAGCAGGAAACCGATTGGCTTCTGGCCGTCTCGCAAACATTGTTTGCATCGCTAGGTAGACTTTGGTGGCTGGATGCCACAAGAGGAGGAAGATCGGTGCAGAGAAATGGAGAATCAGTGGGAGATCACAGTGCGGGTGGTATGACTGTCCGTGACTATGAATAGAGGAGAAGAGGTTGGCGGTCAATGATGGAGGGTACTGTTTTGTGATGCTGTTTCTGTATGTTTGTTGCTCCGTTGTTTAGGTAGTGTAAAAAGAAGTAAACCTATGCAACGGAACTGTTAGCGAGGCAGCTTTCGCTTCCAAAGGTTAGTAAATTGAACTCCATGTTCAATGCGCGGATAGTGTGTTTCTCTGCATCACCAACTACCGGAACAACAAGGATGCCATCCTCCTTGGTCTTTATATGAACTGAATGCATTGCGATACAGAATATTGACAGAACAGCGAATGCTCTTCATCTGGACACAGGCATGTTAAGTATGTAAGCACGCTAAATTAGCTGATTGATAAGATGAGAGACAGGCCCCTTCTGGCTGGCAAATAAGAATTGAAGACAGCTTATTTTCATGCATCAACCAACCGACGAGTGAAGACGAAGAGAAAATTTTAAAGTTGATGGAAGACTCCACCCGTGATAACCATAACTTTGCTTCATCTTCAATGCTGGATTTCTTCTCATTCTTCCCCTTCTTGTCTCCTTTCTTCCCTTTCGTGATTCCTTCCTTCTCCAATGCCCTTGATTCACTCACCAGACCTTGTGCATTGAGGAATCACTGCACGGCCTTGAGCTAGTAAGCGAGCCAGCACGAGTGTGATTTGCCTGAATCGCAGGGATGGTTGATTGGTGGACTCGTTGAAATCGCCCGATGCACCAGGTTCTCGTGATGTGTTGGCATAGACTGGAGGGGATGCAAAGTTGTGAAGGATGCCGTCAGACCGAATCGTCCAGTGCCGGTTCATTCTAGCGAGCAACGGAGTTGGTTCAACTCAACTGAGAATCCCGAGGGATATTTTTCTCTCTTGGGCGCATCTCCACCCGTAAAGTGTCTAAGTCGTAGCACAGACTCAACCGTGCGGAATGAGGCTCCTAGCGTGCCGCAGAGAAGACAAAGACAAGAGCCGCGGCTTGTAAAATACGTGCTTTATGTTTTCCCTTTTCTCGTAATTTGCTGCTTCATCTCGTCTTACATACATGTCTCAAGTATATAACGCCCAACAAGGCTTCTTCCAGGGCTCTCCCTCTCCCTCTCCCTCTCCCTTTTCTCTTGCATCGAGCAGAGACAAATCACATCATGAGTCGATGCGGGGTTATTAATTTAATCTAAGCATGATCCTAGAGTGAAAAAAGACAGCGTCTACAGCGCCGTTATCGCCAGTGCAAGCAAGCAAAATAATGCTCCGTTTCAGCCTCACTCGTCTGGTCTGTGGTCTTAGCCCAAAAAGCGTTGTAGCGCCTGCACCTCGATTTTCAGCTGTCAAGGGTCTTATCAAATGGCAATGCTCCGAGTCCAGCCACAGCTCCTTTCCCGTTGCGCTGCCAAGGCGCCAATGTTGAACTACCATGGCGCCCAGCAGGGGTTCCCCATGATGGGCTGAAGAGAGAGGCAGATTGGGGGGAGTTGTATGTGTACGAGTATGTGAAGAGCAACAACAGAGGAGAAGAGAGAAAAGAAAAACAAGTTGACAACCTGTGCCTGGATTTGTGTTCCCGTCTGTTGTGAATCTTTTGTTGTGGCGTTAGGCTTGGCAACTTGGACCTGGATTATATTCCTCTTGTTGCTGCTGTTGCTGTTGCTGTTGTGCTTTTGTGCACGAGCTGCAAGCCTGCAAGCCAACTCGCATTCTCGAATAACCGTTTTCGAACGACTAATATTACCGTTGCTTTCACCTGTCCATCCATCTCTCTTGTCGGCTTCTTCAGCAGCTTTTGGTTCAGCTTGCCACAGCCATGCGCCGACCAATGCGGCTCTCATTCGCATCTGCCGTCCTCTTTGCAGCTCTCGCCCAAGCTGACCTTGATTATGTGACGGATCTCGATATTTACTCTCTTCTGGTAGGTTTGGTTAATCTTAACAACAATAATCAGTGACAGCATGATGGCTAATGCAAAACCTTCATCAAATAGGCCCCGTGTGCCTCCGACGCCATATCATACAACATCGCGACTCTGACATACGGCACAGTATGCGGCGACTCAGAGACGGAGCTCCAGTCGTGTGCTTGCTCCGACACGGAGAGATTCACCAGCATCACTTCGTCCATATCTCGCGACATTCGAGTTAGTTGCGGCACTACGGCGACCGACGACCAAAACAGCGCATCGAGTGTTCTTGCGAAATACTGCAACCAAGATCTGATAATTACCTTTTCAACGCCGACCAAGAACGTTGTCCAGGCCTACATCACCGACCTAAGTCAGATTAATTATCTTCCACAATGCGCACAGTCGGCATTGTCAGAAGCTGTCATGGGAGACGTACGTTTTCGCTTGGATCCATCTTCCTATAAACCACGTTCTTGAAAGGAAATGAGCGAGGAGCTCAACACATTCACCGCGTTGAACAAAGACACACTAACGAGGACATGATGACAACAGAATATATCCAAATGTCCCGAGGCTGCCAGTCTCTTTGCGCCATGTGTTTGTGGAAAGGGTGGAATCCCCTCTCAAGTCAGCGACGTGATCAGCAAGTCTGTCCGGTAAGTATTCACAACTTGGCTGTCTGTTAGAGCGCGGATCATTCTAACTCAATTGTCCGCTCAAGATACTCGTGCTCTAATGGAGGCGACATTAGCGCAGCGCAAGACTTTTACAACGAATACTGTGCCATGAACAACGGAACGACGACCTTTACTCAGCCCCCAGGTCCTCCCGGAGACAGTGCGTCAAACCTGTGATTCTCGTCGAATATTTGCTCCATACGCGATACTAATAGTTGTGATTGTGCGTAGTGACTTATCACATTACCGCTTTGCCACAGTTCAAGTCTCTGCGGTCATGCGCTCAAAGCGGCGTTGCCTCTGCGATCCTCGATGTAAGTTACTATACCAAGCGTTTATTGCTTAAAAGACCATGTACTGACAAGTCTCCGTAGCAAACAGAAATCTATTGTGCTACCGGCCCCCAGGCTCTCGCTTCGTGCGTCTGCATCAAGTCTGGCATGAGCGGTAGAATCCTGAGCACCCTTACATCCAACGTCAAGTGGAACTGCGACAATACAGCCACTGCGGATGTTACTTCGGCCATGGACGTCTTCGCAGTCTATTGTAGCGCGGCTGAAAAGGAGATTGTTGTGTCTGTCACCGATACTGCCACCGAAACGTATCCTCATCCTACGAATCGAGCCAGCTCATTACCTTCAGGTTCTAGCCCTGCAGAGACAGGAGCTGGAAGCACCGGCGGCAGCGGCGGTAGCGACAACGGAGGAAGCAATCCTGACCAAGGTGGAAAGGATGGATCATCTTCTGACGGCAGTGGAGGCGGTTCATCAGGTTCAAGCTCCATTAACAAGACGGCAGTCATTGCAGCCTGTGTACTCGGAGGCGTTGTTCTCATCGCTGCGATTGCCGCCGTCGCATTTTTCGTCCGCCGAAGACGCAACAAGCAGATGAGAGGAGAGCAGATACCGCCAACAGCAGATGGACCTAATCTCAGCGGACCACCAGAACTCGAAAACACAGCGAAAATTGGTCCAAACATTGCTGTTGTTCCGGAACTCCACAGCACAGAGAGACAGGAGCTTCAGGGAACCGGCACACCTTTCAGCGAGTTGCCACCTGGTTACGTCTCTCCGCGACCAGAACTCCAAGGAAACAGCGAATACAAGCCTCCAGTTTCGCCGGTACATGGTGGAGGGTATCAACCGCCGCATTCGCCATACAATGGGCACCAGCAAGGAGCACCGACTGTTTCTCCTGCAACGCCGAATACATACGGGGCGGGATGGCAATCCGGGCCAGTTGCAGAGACGTATGAACTAGACTCGGCTACATGGAAGTCTTCCTAGTTCTGCTGTTCTAAAGCAAAGAAGAAGCTCTTATTTTTTTACACAGCGTTTAGAACACGGCCGCCCTGTAGTCGTATGTTGATTGTATGGTGTTTCAAGGTTTATGGGAAAAGGGTTGATTAAAATGTTTATTACTTTGATCTATCATGACAAGTATAATTAGAATCTCTATATGTAAAACACGCTGAGCATACAAATTGTCATACATATCATCATATCATACTTCGCAACAGCTGGACTTGAGTGGCAATAGTCGGGGCATGGGCTTCGAATCCAGGTATCCACGGAAGTTGCTTGACATTCGTCATCATTTCCTCCCACTCCCAGCCGTATTCGTTCATCCTGCGGGAAACCGTCTCCAGAGCATTAGCTTTTTCACTGGGGACTTCTGACATGGTTGCACAGAGCAGTAGGAGCCAGAGCTGGAAGGGAATGTAGTAGGATGATGCTGAGACGAGGTTCTCGATGCTGTGGTTTTGGAGGAGGTGCAGTAGTTTGGTGACATATGTGGCGGGCGTGCCTGGATAAGCTTGAGCCATGTTTTTGACCTGTAGGATCCACAGAAGTGCGCCCAAGCGAAGAGTCTCAATAAAGATGCATGGCATATCGGGATGAGGGTGAGGAGGAGTGTCCATGAGACGATATGCGATGGGGTTGAGTCGTGTACCGAGGAAGATTTCTTCTTTCCATAGGTCTTCACCCCGGGCAGCTAGTTTCCATTGGACGGCGCCGGCAAGGCTTGCTATGTCTTGTAGGGCAGAGACGACGCATAGTTGATGGGCGTTGAGGTCGGGACACAAGCTGCTGAGATGGAATGGCAGGGCGCTGAGGATATCGGGGGAATCATGGAGTGGGAGAGTGGAGATTGGAGGTAGTCGTGACGGCATTGGAAACCAGGGTCTTTGTTCAAAGAGTAGAGAGGCGATTGTGTCGATCCTATGAAGAGGGAGTCATCGTGGTCAGCATTTCTGAATAGGTATTGGTTAAACCGGCGATTTCGATGGGTGCTAACCAAAAGACCATCATGACCAAGTCTTGGTCATCGGAGAGCTTGTCTATTCCGCCTCTCCTGTTAATCAGGAGTCTGAGTCCATTCAAATGGACGCGAGCTTGATCCAAGTCTCCAACAATGTACTAATTTTCAGTCGGCAAACAATAAAATTAGCCTTCTGAGCTACCTGTAAATAGGAAAAAGAAAGATTCTTGCCGTACGTTGTAGCAGATGCAACCCATGACGCCCCGGAGAACATTATTGGCCACGGCCATGTTAGGATCAGGGTCCCTCAGCTTTGATTCGATGCAGGCCACGACCTCTGTGGAACGTGCCAGGGCAAAGGTGATGCTCCTTTCCATCGTCTGGGAGCGAACAGCAGCGCGGACTTCGGGGCCTGTGAGGAGTTTGCGGCAGAAGCCGGGATCCTTGAAGGCAAACGGGAACCAGAAACGACGTCTACGAGGGTCTGCAGGGGAGGTTATTGGTTAGTAAACGCATTGGTTGGTTGACGGATGATGATTGCTGCAAGCTGTATCTACGCTGTTTGCTTACTTCTCACACAATCCCAAGAGGCTGCCAGGGCCAGACCATATGCTGCAAAGGCGTCCATGCCCCAGGAATTTTGCATGACGGCCAGGGGATGCTGGTCCCAGAACGGACGAGCCAGGGGGGGGAGAGGCTGCGGTTCTTTTCCATATTGTGACTGCTGTTGTTCTGGTTGCAGAAGCGGGATGAGCTGGCTCTCGCCAGGGTCCGTTGCTCCCGTATTTGTAGGAGCAGTAAGAGAAGAAGCGGAAGAAGACGGTTCCGCCGCCGGCTCTGCAGATCGCACACGCAGCTTCACCTGCGGGTTCCTGGGTGGCTTGCGGCGAGCCTTGCCAATATCTCGCATGACATGCTGCCGAATCTGGCGCTTGGTCTGCGAATCCCGCGGCTTACCGCGTGCAGATTCGGTTGAATTGATGAAGAGCAGGTTGGAGCTAGGCCCGGAATCGTCTGATTCTTTAGGATCCATTACGACGTAGTTCCTGGTTGAGGCGAGAGAGAGAGACCGATTGCTGTTTTCGAGCGCCACGCCACTTTGGAGATGGAAATTCTGATGTCAAGTCTCGGGATGCTGTGCTGTTACTGGGGAGAATGCTTGTCTGTTTTCGCTGTTTAGAAGCAAAGAGAGGTTAAAGTGCCTCTTTTGCATGCGCGATGAGAGGACCATATGCCTAAAGGGGTTATAGATATATGTTGAGCTATAGAGAACAGAGCAGAAGAGGGTTTCAAATCAAAAAGAGCCAGGGGGTTGATCGGAATTGAGAGAGTTACAAAAGCCACCAAAAGACTCCCGAGTCTTGATATGTCAGAAGCCGCTCGAGGGAAGCAGTGGCGATTAATCAGCCTAAGTCAGCCAATCGGCTTGAGAGGCGTTGATACAGAGGAGCTTCTAGCTCCATTACAGAATCTTAAGAGTCTTACTTTGGCTTGGCTATGCCAAATGCGGTATCTGGTCCCCCTGCTTGTGCGTCTGTAGCGCCGATCCATGGCTCCCAAACCGAGATAATCACCTAATCATTCTATCTGGAGATGTTTCTAGGACTATTGAAGAGACGATAGACGACAAGGAAGTACTGTGGGCGGTGATTGACGACTCCGAGGTGTTGATTCGGATTTGTAAGTAAAGCCGCTCCTATGCTCAATAGCCTATTAGTCAGTGAACCTGTTTCTAACAGTTGCAAACGTCTAGACTAACATGGGTTGCCGAGAGGGCGTGGTTACACCGTTGCCTGTATTCAAGTTAGTTGACGTTGATGCCCAGAATGTGTTTACCCTGGGGGGTAGGATTCATATAGTCAAGAGACAAACGGATGAAAAGAGGAGAACGTGGGCCACCAGCTGGCAGCATAAAAGGCGTCGTAGAGTCTTCATTGTTTAACTCGAAATCCAACCACCAAGTTATCCAGCTGTCAACAGTTTTTCTCGAGACTCATTAATAAAAACTCACCATGTCTACCGATTTTAAAGGAAAGCTCGCCATTATCACCGGAGCATCCAAGCTCAACGGCATTGGATATGCTACCGCTTACGTCCTCGCTAAAGGCGGCGCCGATGTATGTATCATGTCCGCCGAAAGAGTTGTCTTCTTTGATTTGATCCTAATACGCATTTAGATTGTGATTCATTACAACTCAAACAAGACCGCTGCCGAGGAGTGTCTTGCCAACATCAAGGCGCTGGGCGTTAAGGCTATTGCCGTTCAAAGCAACGCCGGCTCCATCACTTTTGGCGACGATATTGTCAATGCCACTGTTGCAGCGTTCCCAGGCCGAAAGATTGACATCATCATCAACAATGCAGGTCACGCTACTTTCCAAGCAAGCACATTTGAGGCTCCTGTTGAAGAGTTTGATGCCCTCTTTCATCCCAACGTTCGAGGTCCTCACCTGCTCATCCGGGCTGCTCTGCCTCATATTGCCTCTCCCGGAGGCCGCATCGTCAATATCAGCAGTGTGGTGGCTCGCACTGGAACCAGATTTGCTTCGTTGTACACGGCTACCAAGGGAGCGCTCAATACTCTCACCCTGGCATGGGCTGAGGAACTTGGCGAGAAGGGTATTACTGTCAACGTTGTTGCCCCAGGGCCCATCTCAACAGATTATGCAGCGCCAGAGGAGCATGAATTGACAAAGAAGTTCCGTGCTCAGCAGTATATAAAGCGAGATGGAACGGCAGAGGAGGTTGCCAATGCTATTGTGTTTGCGGTTAGTCCAGGGGCGAGCTTCATCTCGGGCCAAGTTTTCGGTGTCGATGGTGGTCTAAGTTACATCTAAGATGTTGAGTAAACACTATGATGTATTTATGTAGATATAAAAAGGGCTGATACTGCAATTATCTTTATATATATCTTCTGGAAATTATGGAGAGTCCTCTCTACTTGTGTTCATGATACGGCGACTGACTATTACGAATTTTGAAGCGATGATGAGATGGAAACTACATTCAGAATCCGCGAATTCTACGTACGTTCTTATATGTTGAAAAAGGCGTAGTTTTTGGTTTAGTTTACAATTTTGGAGTATTGGAAATTCTGCTTGTAGTTTACGAAATGTCTAAGCCCGATTGCCTTATTGAAGAAAGTGTAGCTGAATGATGGACACGGAACATGCGTTGTCTGACTGAATTACCTCGCATAGGTCTTAAACTCAGCCAAGTGAAAGCTCAGATTTACTTGCATTGTTTGAGCACATTTAACCATTACCGTTTACATGGCGCGATAATCTTTCCTTATAATCTGTCATTAGCCTCTGAGCGTTGGACTTCATTTGCAAGTGAGATATAACATAGATTAATGTAGAAAACTCTCTTCATTTCTTATGGTGATAGCAATTGTATGTACTACTACCGCAGAAATGACAATACTCACCGCACTTGCGGTATCTGAAATAGATTGACAAAACGTCTTCTTCGGCATGGCTTCTCTCAGCGACATCCGAATTCGCGTTTGGGATTCTTATCAGTATCAAAACATGAGGGTCTCGGCATCTTAGACCCTTGAAATCTAGCGCATCGATCCAAAGTTTATTCAACGCGTCCAATCGCTAGAGGACACAGATGAGATATGGCGCTCCGCTACCAAAGCTAAAATGAAGCTGCATTCCATAAACGAGACTGGCTCGATTGCTGATATGACAGATGCCAAGGGAAAATATGGGCAATTCACATACATCTCACTGATGTCTTAGTGTCAAGAGTGCGTGTCTAACAGTGTTTGTTATAGTCTCTGTCATCGAATGACGCAGTACCAGCTCCAACACTTCAAACCCGTCTGGCGATCTCAAGGCTTAAAATGAAATGCCACGCAATTTATTTCGCGGGGAACTTGCAAATCCACGCGGCCACCCCCGGATGATCCGAACGGGCGACAGTGGGTGGTGGCGCAGTTTCGCGAGTTGCTTAAATGGCGATTGTATGTAATGGGCATTGAGAAATTCCTTATTCTGTTGTGAGTCGAAGAAATGATTAGAACAGTGGTAGAATATTAATTACATCCTGAGTAAACGAGTTTATAGCCTTCGTCTTTAATGAATCGGGTGCAATTTTGATATACAGTTGCGGCGGCGAGAATCCCGTCATACGTTGTGTTTACTTGTACTTGCAGTAAGCTGAGGATGCGATTTACGCTGATGACGATATTATTACACGGTCGGGATCAAAGCTGTTGTAGACGTTTGGAGCTGAAATCGTGGCTGGCAGACTAATGTACCTTATTTTTTACGGCGCTTCTTTCAAAAGTGCCATATCAACTTTGCTCCTCACTCACCTCTTGTAGGTGTTAAAAAAATACTAATCGGCAGTATTGGTCGTCTAGGTATCGAGCAACTGGAAGTGCATTTCTTCATGTTAATGAAACATCTTGAATAGTGATGAAGTCTGTTGAGCTCAGAGCAACCTGAAATAGCAGCAAATCGGTTGATAGCTCTTACTCTCGACTTGGGTCCTTCATCGCAACTGTTGTTTCCTTTTGTTTTTTTAACTCATCACAAAGTTGTTCAATTAGTCAACTTCAAAGTAAACCAGCAAAGATGATCAACATAAGTCGCATCCTTGTTTGTTTCGTCGGGTATTTGATGATTCCTGGTATGCCGCCACCACAGACAGCTATAACATCAAACAGCGAGGCTGATACAATGATTTGTAGCTTCATGCTTTCCACCGGATATTCAAGCATTATCTATTCTTGAACGAGCTGCTCCAGTTGCTCCTGATGGCTACACTCCAGCTGTGGTTTCATGTCCAGCCCATAGGCCGACGATCCGCGCGGCCACAGGCTTGTCGACTAACGAAACAGATTGGCTTCCCCTTCGCACAAATAACACAGTCCAAGCCATGAAAGATGTGCTCAGCCGCGCCAATATCAGCGGCCTCGACACCGGCAGATACATCGATAACCTCACAAACGCTGGCACCGGCCTCCCAAGAGTAGCCATCGCCATCTCTGGTGGAGGATATCGAGCTTTGATGAACGGGGCCGGTGCTCTCGCAGCATTTGACAACAGATCGACAAATGCGACGGAAACCGGCCATCTCGGAGGCCTTTTGCAGTCGGCCACGTATCTTAGCGGTCTTTCTGGCGGCAGCTGGCTTGTCGGCAGTCTTTACGTTCAGAACTTTACGTCGGTCGAGTCCATAATTTCTGCTACAGATGGATTTCTCAGTACCATTTGGCAGTTTGATCACTCCATCCTCAACGGTATGACGGTGGATCTTCATAATAGACACTCTCGCTAATTGCGTATTGGCCAATTACAGGACCCGATGGTCTCTCCATCACGAAATACTACCGACAGTTGTTTGATGATGTTGACGGTAAGAGAGATGCCGGCTTCAATACAACAATAACAGATTATTGGGGCAGAGCATTATCCTACCAGCTCGTAGACCCGAGTGACGGAGGACCTGGTATGACGATATCTCTAGCACAGGATTTATGAAATAGACTAACTCTTCCAACAGCGTTCACTTTCTCATCTATATCAAATGATACAGACTTTACATCGGCTCAAGCTCCCCTGCCGTTGATCGTCGCCATTGAAAGAACGTCTGGACAGCTACAAATAGCCAGTAACTCGACAATCTTTGAATTTAATCCTTGGGAAATGGGGTCGTACGACCCTGGCCTCGAAGCCTTTGCGCCGCTCCAATTCGTCGGCTCCAACTTCACCAACGGCAGTATTCCACGTAACGGATCGTGCATCGCTGGGGTCGACAACGCTGGCTTTGTCATGGGTACCTCATCTTCTCTGTTTAATCAGGCATTCTTACAAATTGGAAGGGTAGAAGGTGTGCCAGAATTCTTGATCAGCGCGATAAATGCGACGCTGGCAAACGTTGGCACAGAAAACAGAGACATTGCGAACTGGCCGAATCCATTCTTTAGATACAACTCCAGCGGGAATTTGAACGCCAATTCCACGGTTCTGGCTCTCGTGGACGGTGGAGAGGACTTACAAAATATCCCCTTGCACCCGCTGCTTCTGGCCGAGCGAGAAGTCGACGTCGTGTTTGCTGTCGATGGCTCTGCTGATACAGCAACGCTGTGGCCAAATGGAACTGCTATGGTGGCTACGTTCAACAGATCAGAGGCCAGGGTTTCGTCCAACGACAGCAGATTCCCAGATGTGCCCGATCAGAATACCTTTGTGAATCTGGGTCTGAACCAGCGGCCTACCTTTTTCGGCTGTACCAACGGCAGCAACACGCCTCGTGGGCCGCTCATTGTGTATATGCCCAACGCTCCCTATTCATTCCAGTCCAACGTCTCAACCTTTGACCTGGAATACAGCATCGAGGAGCGCAACCAGATCATCCAGAACGGATACAATATGGCGACCATGGGCAATGGCACGGTGGATTCGAATTGGCCGGCATGCATCGGCTGCGCCATTTTGGCCCGAAGCCTCGTCCGCACCAGGACTAGGGTTCCTTCAAAGTGTGCGGATTGCTTTGCGAGGTATTGCTGGAATGGCACGACGAATAATACCTTGCCGAATACCTATGAGCCGGCGCAGATCCTCGCCAATACGACAGAGCAGTCGACGTCTTCGGCTGCTCGGATAAGCGGGACGCTATTGCTGGGCTGCTTCGCGTTTATGCTTGCGATCTGAGATCCAAGGAGCACGGGCTTGTGTGCGGTGAAATGTGATGTAATATGAATATGTAGTTCTCGTAACACTCTTACATGAAAATGGAGCTCTGAATGGACTGTTTGACGCCTGGATTGCGTGAATTTTGATGTATGATGAGTGGCGAGTCCGCCGACACGAAGCGAAAATGCTGTAAGTGGCAGCACCACTACATAAGCGATGAACGCTTTGGATGGATCTCAGTTCGTCGGCCTCTCCGTATATAGCAGCTAAATACCCGGAAGCATAATAAGTTGAGGTAAAACTTGCCGATACGAGGCTCTAAGAGTGCTTGAATACATATAAGCAGTCGGCCAAGAACCCAAATCTCTCAGGTGCATGAGCAAGCTACAGGATCCGGAAGCAGCCATCAGAATGATGAGATCTCTCAGTTTGTACATGTGCTTATACATCAAGGTTGCATTATGGCCGTCCCTCAACTTAGTACTTATACTCCGTTCTTTACGGGATACTGCTGGAAGAATAGCCTGCTACTAAATAAAGAAGTTAGCCCACGAGCTTGTCTAAACCCCTTCATAAAGTCATACCCAGGGAAAAAAGAAAAAACACAAGCTTCAGTCCGGAAGAGCACAGGCGATTAAACTCGACCCCTGGTCCCTAGTCAGCCCATTTTTTCCTTCTCTCTTTCCCTTGTCAGCTCGCGGCCCACATCCGGGACATTTTTCGAATCGAACGGAAAAATAATTTTGCCTCGTATAGCACTGAGCCATGACACGACGGACCCTTGCTGTGTAAGTCTGTCAAATGCCCAAATAGGCAGCTTTGGGATCGCCGCGTGCAGAGGCGTTATAAGGAAGCTAGCATGCAAACCTACTGGGGGTATAAGAGCACATACGCAGCCCTGGCGAGTCCGGTTACCTGCCTTGTTTGTCGAGGAGTGAGCCGCTATTTGTCGAAAGGGGTGGGGGCTCTAGGCTGAGGTTATCTTGACGCGAATATAGTTTTTCGAAGTTCCACCGTTCGTATAGGGGATTTGGGTCTGGGGGCTGGGTGGTAGTATAAGGGCAATGGATGCAAGGATCGGTGAGGATTTTCGTTTGCGACTTACGTACATGAGAGTGAATGTCCATCGGCATAATTATCCTGAGCGTTCTGTGAGATTTTAGTTTGCAGGTGTTGAATAATGGACAGATTTGGAAAACGGTAGGGACGAACTTGGAAGTAGAGGAGTCGTAGTGGGCGAGTATATAAGAGTAGCTTGGATCGCTCGTGTTTTGACGTTTCTACCCCAGAGCATCAATCTCAAAACACACTCCAGATTCTCTCAATCTTCTTCAATAAACATCAAGATGAAGTTCTCACTCTCCATCGCCAGCGTCGTCCTGGCCTTCGCTGCCTCTGCTGCCCCCGTCGAGGAGGACCTCGCCGAGAGAGCCACCATCTCTGGCTCTGGAACCCCCGGCTCCATCTTCATGTTCGGATCTGCCTCCAACTGCCGACAAATCTTCTACCAGTCCGGTGCCTGCGGCCTCAGCACTTTCTTTCCCAACTCGACCCCAAACCTGCCTCTGGTTGCTCTTCCTTCAGGAATCTTCGAGGCCCATGGCCCGTCCGACCAGGATAACAGCCTGTGCGCCAAGGTCATCACCATGACACACAACGGCGTTACCCGCCAGGCTGTTGTTGCGGATGAGAACACCAGCAGCGAGCAGTCCATCGATATGTGCCTCGATCTGTGGCAGGCTTTTGGTGGCCACGACAATGACGGATCTCTCATCAGGAGCTTCACCTGGTCAATTGCTGCGTAAACGGTATCTTGCGCGAGGATCATTGTGGATTATAAAACTTTGTATATATTCTCATAACCGTTTGGTAACCATACCCAAACGGTTCGGTACATAGCCGTATACAGCAATGGGACAAGTACATATGCCATCTTCTTTTGCCAATGACTCTATAGTGAGATTTATACCTTTTAATTTTCTCTCCTTTCCCCAGACAGTTGATCAAGAGTTACTTCCACGCGAGAATCTCGCACTGCAGAAGCACGAGCCAGGCATCTTCCGTGTCAGCCCACCCTCTTACGGCGCGTAGCGTCTGCTGGATTTCGTCCTCAGAGATGCCAGCATCCAGCCAGCTCTGGTAGAAAGGATCTCCTGGCTGTAGCTGACCATCAGCACGCCAGGCCAACCGCTTCCGTGCTTCCGCATCCGAGAACACACTGGTTCCAGCGCCAACACGGACTTTCCCTCCGTCGACATCGAAGCCCGCCTTGCGAAGAAGCGCTGGCATAACCGTTGCCGTAGGGTCTGCCTCAGGTTTCCCTTTGCGTGACGCCCGAAGCTGATTCGCTCCCCACAGTCGATCAAGGTCGAAGCTCTGCGGGTAAAAGTGTTGGCCCATGCCGTCCCGAGTAGCTAGAATGCCGCCCGGCTTCAGGACCCGCCGCATTTCGGCCAACGCCCGGAGTGGTATGTCGGGCTGTGGGAGATGCCCGAGGACCTGAGAGCTATAGACGACATCAAAAGTGTTGTCAGGATAGGCAAGTCCGTCCACAATGTTGCCTTCTTCAAAGACGACAGAGCCTGGCCCTTGGGTTGGGACATTAGATTCGTCTGCCAGTGCCTTGGCCTTTTGCAAAACGTCCGTCGAGAGGTCTATTCCAACAGTCTTACCCTGACTGGCATATTTCGCTAAGCTGGTCGTAATGGTGCCTGGACCGCAGCCTACATCAAGAATATGGTCCGTCGGTTTGATATGGGGTAGTAGAAAGGCGGCGTCTGTTTCCGCTTTGCGTCTTAGGTGTGTTGCGATGGTATATTCAGAGTGACCTCGCGCATAGTAGCTCGGCAGATTGGTTTGCGCCATGTTTACTTTGTCTTGGAAGGGAACTTGGAATGGAGCTTGGAAGTTTTTATGCCTTGCGAGGTGCCATCTGCCCTATTTATTGCGCGATCCGTTCATACAGAGACTCGGGCAACTCGGGCCTGTGTTTCTTGATGCAGGTATGGAGTCCCGAGAGGGAGGCCGGTTCCCCTCCATTCTCGACTCCGAACGCCGTTGAGATACTCCGTAATGGGTGGCTCCACCGGTGGTTGCCTATTTTGACTCCCTGATTCTATGGTCCGTTCCTTTTTAGTGTAGTTTTTGATTCTCAATCGTGAGTTATTGCGTTTATCCGATCTGCATTGCGTAATATTGCAGGCAGTTGGCTGCATGTTTTGTGTTCCTTGGGCTGATATAATTTGGTGAAGCTCGGGGGCTCGGGCCCGTACTTCCTAATTGGGACGAGTTGACCCGTAAGCCCGTGATGGCCTCGTATAACGCCGTTATAGCATCCAAGTGATAGCGACGAGTAAGTTCTGGGACCAAAAGACACCTTACTGTCAATTGACTGCTTAAGATCTTATAGTTGAAGCAAGTCATTCCAGTAGGACCAATCGAGGGGTTCATCTTGCGTCCAGTCGCCCATGAGTCCAGTGTTGAGGACCTCCACGCCCGCCACTTGCTCGGCCAAATTTTCTAGCTGCTCCCTTCCTGCTTGTAGAGTTTGAATAAATTTGGGTGCCTCTGTTCCGGGTCCCAGTCCCTTTCTGCGAGTTTCCCATGCTTGTAGAGTCAAATCTGTCAGGGCCGCATGGAACTTTCGATCCAAGGGGAGTGCCATTGACTGGTGGTTATACACGTCCTCGAGCAGAGTCCATGCGGTCTCAACCAGATGGCCACTCGCTCTCCATCGCAGCTCGCTAATCATGTACACCAAAGCATCAATTTGTGTCCGACATACCATATGATCCACCAGATTAGTTGAGAAGCTTGTATTGCGCACTTCGTGGTTCAATTCCAGCAATCTGACGCTGCTTTCGAAGACGAGGTCTTGATCAGCCTGGGACATGTATTTACCTCTTTGGGGTTGATTCCGCGGGTGTAACATCGAAAATTGCTGGTTGTGAATTGTAAGGCCCGCTAGAGCAGCAGATAGTTGGTGCAATGGTATGCTTGGATCGAGATGGGCAAGATATTTCTCTTGGAGCAAACGGCCTACCTCGGCTAGAACTTTTTTCTTCTTCATCATACTCTCAACACTGGTTGATGTGGTGAGCCGGGCTACCCTTTCTCTCGGGTTCAGGCTGCCGGAAAAGTTGGAAGACCTGCGCACGAAGCTCCAGAGGTCATATTTCATCAAACAGTAGACCATTTCTGTGGCTGCCGTGTGCTGGACAGCGGGCGGCTTCTCCATACACGGATGCAGATCTGCATCGTTGACATTCATCGGGAGGCGAGCGTCGCCCAAATCATCAATTGTCGATAACAAACCCATGCTACGACGGACGCGTGAATTTAGGCCGCGGATATACCACCACAAGCGGACTTGCATCTCTTGTTTGAAGAAGGGCATATGAGTGTCTTCAGCAGCCCGGTGCAGACCCATTTTATGGGCGGTGCGCATGGCCATTGCTACTGCTGTAGTTGAGAATTCGGACTGTGGATCAATCATCTTGAAGTAGGAATATAAGAGACGATTAGATTGAATCTTTATCATCTTTCATTTGACGCATATTTTGGACTCACTATGACGAGAGTCAAAGCCTGCAGGACCTCTAGATCTCGCGTTGAGAATATATTGGTACTGGACAAGGCACGCAATGCGCCCGTGCGGTATCGGTTCAAGAGCACCGAATTGTTTTCTCCAAACAATTGAAGGCATGTGGTTGGTTTCAGTTTATTATGGCCAATGCATACACCGCAAACATGGTGGCCTCTAGAGGCTTTGCAGTCGATTCTGCCGTCCAAGCTGCCCCAAGGATCTTCTCCTGAAGGGTAGGTGCGTGAATAATTTTGGTCAACGGATTGACATTATCCGCAAAAGCCTGCCAGAGTCTGAAAACATGCTTAGGATCAGGATGCAGCTCCAGCTGCCCCGGAGGTGCAGATACATGATCAAGAGTAAATATGGAGGGAGTAGCGGGAACCGTGTTAGTAGATGTAGACCGCTTTTCTTCTACATCCTCATCAGGCTGTCTGAGATGCGAAATTGGTGGTGTTTTCAACTTTGAACGTTCTTAGCAGACGCGCATAACCGGGCAAGGAAGAACGCACGATTTCAGGCAGCTCGGACCAAAGCCATGCTGCCCCATCCTGTTCCCCAAGCTCAACCAGCATTTCTCGAGCTGAATTTTCTCCAACTGATGGCAAAGCTTGCGTCTCAGCTGCAGCAGCTGTCTCGACGGAGGACATGGAATCAGGGCTTGCCTGTGTCCGACTCCTGACGAGCTTCTCTTCCCAGTGAGACGGGATCCATGAATTGCCCAGCCCGTTGAATGGTATTCCATGGCTGTCAAGGATAGATTCGAGCTCCTGGATTTTGGACAACAGATCGCGCTGACTGAGGCGCTTCCGGTGTCTCTGCGACGGCACAGGGGCTCGATAGACGCATGCAGCCTTTGATCTGGAACAGCTTGAACATGGTTTTAGTCTGTCGCATTTGATCTTGCGCCTGGCACAGGCTACGCAGGAATGAGAACTCTGGCTCTGGGATGGCATCTCGAGGTCATGGCGATGCGTTGAAAAAGGTAGATTTCGGGCTCCTAGGGCCTGGAGTCGATAGCTAAGATAATGATGTGGTTTTCCTGACGCAGCATGCTGAAGGAATCTCGATCCGAGCTGTTGATGGATGAAATTGACGAGTTGATATGCTCTGGCCGATTTGGGTAGATGTTTGCGTAAAAGTACCGTGCGAATTTGAGCCACAAGGCTGGGCACATGTACTGTAATTGCCTCTGATAGCTGCCTACTGAGTGCTGAGTCATCGTTTTACGCACTGTGTATACTGCCCCTGGATACGTGTATCAGACCCCGCCAGACCACTGTATCTCTGCCACTGAATCTGAGTTCTAGAGGGGCATCAGTTATGGACATCAATCCATCCGTTTGTCTCTCTACCTTACATGTACTCTTTTTCGATGCTGATAAGAAAAAAAGTATAACCCGCCCACTGTGGGGGTTTTCAGAAAGGAACATTGAATCTCAACTACATGTATCTTAATAACCCCCGATGCCTAAAAACCTAGAAGGGAAGAAAACAAGCCCAAGTGAATGCAGCGTTGACGCATCTGTGAATTCCGTGATGCCTATATTATATGTACATGTACTCTATATAATGGTGGCCAGATCTCCCATCTTTGAACGTACAGGTCAAGGCAGATCCATTGTTTCAACCTTTCTGTCCTATCGTCTTCAATAAACTTTACATTGGGTCGTATTCTTTATCGCTGAGACGTGTCAAGGTAGGTATTGGTACCTCACCATGCAGGGATGAATTACTCGCAAAGTATATAGACACGCATTTTATGAGACAAGCTTGCATCTCACCACCATCGTCCCGTTTCACACAAGTATCGCAACCTATCCAGGAAGATACAGGTACATCAATACTATACGTGACACGTCCAGGCAGCCCAAGGCCGCCTCGCGGGCCTCCCGCATACTTTTTGAACAAATAAGCTCGAAGCTCAAAGCGCTTCCGTTTGCATATATTAGGGAGCAGAAACCCCGCCCCCATGTGTGGTACGATGCAAACACGCCTGCAGTGAAGTGTGACATTTCGATCATCGGATTGTCAAAGGTTCAACAGCAAGTAAGCACTGGCATTCTTTTACCAGACAGAGAAGCTAACTTACATCAATCAGCATTTGGCCAAGGCTGTTGCTATATCCTTGAACAATTGATGCTGATGAGCCAACAGCTTCCTAGAACAGCGGCCAAGTCTTCGCCATGGGCAACATATTCGCCCCGCCAACCCGTCCTCCACCGGATCGGCAGTGGTACCAAGAAGAGCGTCGACCACCAGTACATCAACAACCGGTGAATCGACCGGCGGTCAATCGACTGCCTGTGGATCGACTTCCGGTTAATCGACCACTACCAGCGGATCGATTGCTGGAGCAAAGAGCGTTGGAACGGAGAGCATTGGAGCAAAGAGCACGGGAACGAAGAGCGTTGGAGCAAAGGGTGGTCGAAGAAATGTATGCCATTGATATAGACGAACTAGCCGAAGATATGATCATGCTACAACAAGCTATGATGCAACAACAGCCGCAACCACAACCACAACCACGCCCTAATCCGCAGCCTCGAGGCCTGTGTCGATTTTTTGCATCGGGTCACTGCAAAAAGGGAGCTACCTGTCGATTTTCTCATGACCTTAATGCTACTCCTAACACAGGGAATACGACAGTAAGAAAGCATCATTCAGTCTTCAATCCCTAGCCATCAAGTCATATAAGCTGACATAGCATCTTGCTATTTCCTTAGCATTCATCCAACGACAATGACACGTATGAGCTCGGGGGTGCGTGGGTACAGTTCAACAATGGCGGCACAGTTTCCAAAGTTGTCTTTGCTTCTGACTACTCTGCCATCAATATTCGAAATCTTCCACACACTAGTTCAACCGCCTCGGTCAAGATAATTCTAGATAATGTGGGCATACCGACGTTCGGGGTTGACATACGTCTCGTAGCCCAGGCTGAGCAAGACCTATGCGGTGCGATACTAAAGGCCGAAGATCCTTCGTTTGCTAGGACAGCCTGCCGCAAGCTGGCCACCTACACCACTCTTGCGAAGATGAAGGTGGCTATCGTACCTCCAATCATCCCGCATAGCCAGAGCCCTTACCAGATTGACTGTCGGAAAGTGCATTGTGCCTGGAGCCGGCCAACGCGTGATGCTAGGTTGATCTTTGCAACCAAGGGTCCTGCGTACAAATTGCAAAGAGAATCCAGAGCGGGCAATTACAAGGTGCTTGGATCAAGAGTTAACGCACACGTCCAACAGAGCCCAGAAGGATGGGTAGTGAAGCTCACTGGATTAAGTGGCACAGTATCAGAGCAAGACATCGTCAAGACAATCCCAGTATCTGAAAGGCCTCAGAAGGTCGAGCTTGGAGACCCTGACTACGTTGCAGACTCGGAATTCGACACAACCATTATCAAGTCGATGCTGTTGGAATCCGGTCCCTTGGAGCGGTGGGAAGTGCCTAACAATTCAAAGGCCAAGCGCTTCAATGCGTATGGTATTTTCTTTGACGAATCATCTGCGAGAAATGCTGCGTCCTCCTTGAATAAGAAACTCCTCTCATTCAGCAAGACGACGCAACTTTCAGTGTCGGTGGTGGCATCAGCCAAGTTTAAAATATTGGCTAAAATCTACGACATGGTCCGCCCACGGATTAATGCGCAGAAGCCAGCATGGGATCGGCAGTACATCCGTCTTTCTGAATTCCCTTGCAAAGGACAATATCACATCTTGAAGCTTGAAGGAGACAATCACCCAGGGGTGGTTAAAGCTAAGGAGTGTATTGAGAAGATCGTCAAGGGAGAAGTTGTTCGAATGGAGGGGAAAGATCTTCGATGTGGAAATTTCAGGAAAGACGGAAAGGAATTTAAAAAGGTGCAGACGATAGAAAACACCTTCAAGGTGCTCATCATTCCCGACATACGCAAGTCACAGTTCCGCGTCTTTGGACGTGAAGCAGTGCCAAAGGAGACTCTGGAGAGGATCACAAAATTGTTACAAGATTGTGTAACCGAAAGCCATGTTATTGAGCTCAACGATGTTGATTTCCGGTGGGCATCAAACGGAGGCTTCAGGTTTCTCAGATCTCAGCTTGGAGACGGAATAGCATTCTTCGACATCACGCCAAGGTACAAACGAATCTTAATCAGGGGGCCCAAAGCGGATTACAATAACGCGATGGCCATTGTCGCCACTAAGAAGATTATGCCGCGCGATGCAGACAATCTTTCTGGTATGGAGTGTCCGACCTGTTTCTGCGAGCCCGACGAGCCGATCCGAATGTCTTGCGACCATGTCTATTGCAGCGACTGTTTTGTTCAAATGTGCGTCGCTGAGATGACGGCGGATAGGGAGTTCCAGATTTGCTGCCCAAAGGCCGATGCCACCGGGAAGATCTGCAAGAAGGCCTTTTCTCTCTCCGAGATCCAGGAGCATCTTCCTTCGGAAACCTTTGAAGATATCCTTGAGAAGTCCTTTGAGTCCTACATTACTCGTCACCCGGCCGACTTTAAATACTGCGAAACACCCGACTGCGGTCAGGTATACCGGGTGACTTTTCATGGCTCCGAGCATCCTAGTATTTTTACGTGTAAGAAGTGCTTGAAATCTACTTGCACGATTTGCCATACTTCCCATCCTAGCAAGCCGTGCACTAAAGGCAATCCTTCTAGCGCACTTAGCAGTAAGATGAAGGAAGAACTCGGCATCAAAGCATGTCCTAGATGCTCACGGTTGATCGAAAAGACTGATGGATGCGACCATATGACATGCAAGTGCGGAGCTCATGTTTGTTGGGTATGTCTTGCGTCTTTTGGGGAATCTGCAGAGTGCTACGACCATATGAGAAGAATTCATGGCGGAATAGGTATTTGATGAGGAACTATCCAAATCTCTGCTGGTTATTGATGGAATGGGTAGAATCGTTGGGGGAAATTGATATCTGGATCTGTCTGGGAATAGGAATTTTCTTCTGATTACAAACATTACAGATTGGAAATGTTCTGCAAATCTCATCCTGTGATAGTGATTGATGCTTTAACCGGCCTCGTATGTTGTAGTTGCAGGTCTAGGTATAGCTGGTCAAGACGCCACTCACTGACGCTTTTTAACACATATTGGCTGTCAAATCAGATGGGTGATATAAGACATTATGAAACACTTGCGACTGGTAGATTGTGCAAGTGGCACGCGAGTGCATCAAAGTTCACCTTCAGATTAACCGTCTGTTACTTTTCACGTTTTCGGGACCCGAAACCGGAGCCACGAGGCCCCGTCTTGAGAAGCTTTTGAACCTCGTGATAAAAGATGTAGCTTCTGTTTGACAGCCACACTTGAATAGAGCCAAGAGGAGTAGACCAATATTTATTGTGCTTACCATGCAGAATGAAGGAGAAATTTTAGTCGTACAACAATGTTTAACCGGTTAATATCTCTCGTTGTCTGTCGGTAATTCTGGAACGGTGTGATTAAGAAATCTGAGAGAATGAATGCGTCGCTATCTGCCGAAAAACTAATACAGAGACAAATTTGCATCGCTGCCCACGTATAACTCCTGATGAACTAACGTCAGTGTATGGTCGACCTTTAAAGGCTCTAGACGAAACCAAGTGGCCGTTGCGTGCATGTCTAATGGTCATATGACGGCTATAAGCGAGCTTTGGGCCAGGGTGTTTATATGTACGAGTACATCTTAGTCGTTAAACATAGATTGATTGCCATGCACGTGTTATACATCAGGATAAGATCATCGAGGTTCAGCTCGCTGGATCTGACTCGCTTGCTCTCTAACTACCGAGACAGGGTATTCACTAGTGTTGCATCAACTCCTCCTAGAGCGCGGTATATATGTGTCTGGGTAATGCTGACGGTGAATCTCCTTGTTGATGATGCAACGGAGATTTCTCGTTACTTCAAAAGAAGGGTCGCTTGGCTTTTGTACAGAGTACAGTTAGGCTGTGAAGGGGGGCTTCGGCTGGATAAATTGCTTAGCAAGAACTTCTGTTCTGAGCGATACTCAGAGGGAGTTGCTCTTTTCGCCATAGCTATTTACCATAGCTGAAACGCCGAGTCTCATGAAGAGCTGCTCATCGTTGCCTCCATAAGTTACACCGTCGATAAAGACAACATCAATAGCTTCCATCATTCTGATAGGATGCGTGGATAGATCAATGACTCTGCACGGAGCCTTGTCGTAGGCGATATTAGCCATTCATTGAGTGGGATATGAAACGTTTTGACATCTGTCCGGTTTCGGCTAGTAAGCCAAGAGCAGACTGTCGGCACTGAGCCGTTCTGGATTCATCTCTCTCAAATCATTGCCATCAGTCTTCTCAGTTCATTGACGTCTTGTAGTATAGTATCACGCCGTTACTTGGCGAAAAGCGTATTGGCACAGCCATACTCTGGCGAGAGATCTCGAGAATGTTTCTAGAGCCAAGCTACGACCGAAAGTTTTTATCGCGGTCAATCGATAGTCTTCGGATGCCCGCTGGTTAGTAAGAAATAAAGCGAGTCAAAGCCCACTCACGGACGAGTACAAGAATTACAACGGTAGTGGCGGTCCAAGATTCCTGACTCGTACGGTTCGCTTATTCTAGGGGCCAGCCTCTCCCCCCTCTTTGCGGAAATGTTGCAAGTTTTCTCCCCCTCGCGAATATACGAGTACAATAGACATGTCTCTAGTTCTCTCACGTTGAAAGAGTGCTGTTTTTACATGATGAGGAGGTGCAGTAGTTTTTGCTTGCTAAATATCGGGTGGCGCTGTGGCGGTTTCAAGACTATTCGCTCTGGCGTGTGTCATGTTTCGCCCGATGGGAGCGGTCCCTCGAAAGAGTGGACTAGCACGAACTTCGTTACGTTTTGGTTGTGTTTTTAGAGTTGGACGAGACCGATGGACGTGATGGGCCTTGCTCGGAGCTTCAACTGGATATGGCAAACTCCAGTTGTCCGGTTGTAAGGGCCGACCCAAACGGTTCCCTACCACGGGAGCCCACTTGAGTAAGTCTCCATCAGAATGTGTATCAAAGAATGGGCTGATTCGAAGATTTGAACGGAATTCTGTCTAGCTCTCTACCTTGTGCCCGTTAGCTTTTCACTAGCTCATAACAGTTGTGCCGGACGACTTGTGCCCTCACGTTCTCGAAGCTCTTCATCCTTATACCAGATGATCGTGGCACTTAAACAACTTTAACCCCTCTCCATCTTTCTTGACAATGAACTCCAAGAAACATACTTTAGGTGTAGCTTACAAAATACCAATCGCAGTTTCTCTTGGTAGCTCGGTTGCAGCTGATCTTGTTGGGTATCCGAAGGACGTATCAGCTGGAACCTGAACATGTAGCCTTCTTCCATTCATTCCACCACCGCATAAAAGGGTCATATAAGGCTGGAATGCCCTGTCGGCCGAAGCCGTATTCCATTATGCCGAGCAAACGGTCACTAATAGCAGCCACAAACACGAATTGCCAGCCACTAGCTTATTCAAGTGCCGTTCAGCTGTCTCAACATCCCTGCCATCCATGTGGTTTGCGTCCCACCTGTTGACTCAGCACTCTTTTCATTGATATCTTGTACGAAATCCCAACAATGAATTGACCTAATCTCCGGGCAGGTTTACCACTTAGAGACTAAATGAGGGCCTGTGGCAGATATACACATGTGGAGTTGACTCCTAGCGTAGCCGAGTCAACCAGATTCTAGTCATCCATGAGGGATCAGAGCCATATGGACGCAAGTCTAGTTGTTTGCCATGTGTCGGTATGGGTGTCAGGGGCGCTTCTACTAAGGCCACTTGCTACATAAATCTAACCAAGGAGCTTCACGATCGTCGCCAAATTAGATCATATGGGATCTCGCATAGCGAGTTCCGCTTCCAGGGAGAGCATGTACTCCACACTTCTATCGGATAATTGTACTTTGTTAAAGGGTTTGTCCGTATGAAGCCGCAAGGACATGTATTCAGCCACCGCCGCTCACCGAGCGCCGATTTACGTATGCGAAACTACTGACCTTATGGGTCTCAATCGTTGGTCTTTCTTCTTCAAGTCTTATTGAACTTGTTTTTTTCCTTCTTTTGTTGGTATTGCTGTGTGATTTTGGGACGGAGATGGCCTCGACTTCGGATATCCAAGTGGCATCTGTGGCTGCTGGATTTACCATTGGCTTCGGGTTCTTAACGGTCTGGAAGGCAATTCAGCACACCCTGAGAAATCGACGGCCATGGAAGAGCCAATACATATATATGGTTTGGGGAGAGATTATTGCCAATCTTAGCATCGGCATTATAGGATGGGTTTTTCTTGATGGCCTCAGGACCAACGTAAGCATCTACACCCCCTCTGGACCGAAGGAAGTGGGAAACCGAGGAAGAAATGTCTCTTCACATACAAAAATCTTGTACATGTCAACCGATATCGATATGCAAAAGCACGTCGCTTACACTGGATGACGAATGCTGGTTTTTCTAACCATTATCTCACTAGGATACCCGTTTTGTTCTTCTTCTTGTTTCTCTGGGTATTTGAGATTCAGCTTCTCATGCAGATTATCGTGAATAGAATTGCCATTATCGCCGAAGATAGAAGCACTGTATTCAGATTTAAATGGGGTACGGCAGCCATCATTACCTGCATCAACATAGCGGTCTTCTGTATTTGGATCCCAGCCCATACTGCTCCTCCAGTTAGCGATCTGTGAGTGTTATACTTAGCGTCTATCTAAGCATGTTGATAACTTACAACGATTATGACCATAGATATGTTCGCATCAACGAAATTTGGGACCGCATTTCAAAAATCCTTATTCTACTTGTCGATGCTGGCCTAAACTATTACTTTCTGCGTACCGTCAAGAGACGCCTCGTCATGCAGCACGGCCTTAGCAAATATGCTCCTCTGGTCAGCTTCAATGCTAAGTTGCTGGTAGTATCTATCCTCATGGATGTAAGCTGGGAATTCTAAACCGAGAGTACTAGAGGCTCAATATTTTAACTTTATATAATGCAGGCTATGCTTATCGGTCTCATGTCACTGCCGAATCAAGTTGTCTATATCCAGTTTCACCCCGTAACTTACATGGTCAAATTGAACATTGAGATGTCCATGGCCGAACTCATTACGAAATTGGCGAAGGGAGAAAACTCTGACATGCAAATGCCATCCACATCCAGCCACAGAACACAAGCCCGGGAAGAAGAAGAGCACGATCATCAGCCACAGAATTACAAGCTACAGTCTGTTAACAGAACCGAGCCCATCCGAGAAGACTTCTCATCCATTGACGACGACATGGGTCAGTTTGATGAGTCAAAGGCTGCCAGTACTCGTGGTATCCTCGACAGAGGAATTCAAGTGGAAACAGTCATTAGTTCACGGATCTCGCGCAATTCCAGGATCGGCAACAATAGAGCAACAGGGATAAACCCGGGCTCAGATGACGAGCTCCCGCTGTCATATCCGGTCCGGTGACTAAGCCCAGACGTCGGCGAGTAAATTTGGTGTGTTTATAATGAACGTGCTGTGCCTCAACGGTATAGCACTAAAGATGAGGATATCCATGATTATACATCTGGACCCAGTTAGGGATTCAGAGGATAAGGCGTTAAGCTGTTAAAATACCGACATGCCACCAGTGATCTTCTATCTCATGATTGGCTGGTCTGAGCCATTCAATGGCCGTCTGACACAGGTATATGCCTGCATTAATAGTTTATTGTTTCTGCTGTGGAACAGTGAATTATGGAAGCATAGGGAACAACTCTTTTCTCTTTACAGCTCAAAAAATCCTCCTTCTTTCCAAGTAATATAGTAAGAGGAGCTATGATCTGGCAACCAATGCTGAATAATTAAATAGATTGAAGCTTTCATGAGGAGTTGAGTGCATAATCAACTCTCTCCCTATATAATCTCATAAGCAAATAACCTAGCTAACTTGTTGCTTTTTCTTAACCTCTTGTTTATACTCCTCCATTACGTCGCCCTCAAGAAATTCTGCATCGCTCTTTTCCCAGGGATGGTCTACCTCCACCTTTCGAATAAGGTCTTCAATCTTCTTGTTCCTAGGCTTAATGCCGTAAGAAAATTTGACCGGGTGAGAAATAAGACCTGGAGTTTGTTTGCATTCCACGTCAATCTCCTTTCCATTCGCATCCACCCCTTTTGTAATTGTGAAAGCCGCAAGCAATCGCACGACGGTAATGTAGATGCTCTCAGTCGCAAGGTACCTGCCAGGGCATACCCTACGACCATATCCAAATGCCTCGTCACCAGGATCAGGTTCATTCCGTGGTTCCAAAAACCGCTCGGGCTCGAATACTAGCGGGTTTTTGTATACTTCAGGGTCATGCGAAAACCACCATATGGATGGAAGTATGAATGAACCCTTTGGAATACGGTAACCTCTAAACGAGATTTCTTCTTCCGCCCTATGAGCTGTGCCAATTGGTACAATCGAAAAGTATCGTAGCGCTTCCTTGGCTACAGCAGTAGTATAGGGCAAATTATCTTGGTCTTCGTAGCCAGGCAGGCGATCGGAGCCGACCACGCGGTCAATCTCTTCCTGAGCCGTTTTCTGGACTTCGGGGAAAAGAATCATGGCCAACGTAAAAGCCATAATCGTAGATACCGTGGTATCTGCGCCTCCACCATACATGTCGGTTGCTGTGAGTGCAATGTTGGAACTGTCTTCCTCACTCACTCCTGTACCATCTCCATGACCATGAGCTTTGATGTGCTCAGACACATATGATGTCTGCTGATAAATTCCATTTTCCATTTGTTTTTGGACGAAATCATAAGGGGTCTTGGTAACGGCATCGTTGATGCTTTTCCATTTCCGCGCAGTCTGCTTGAAACCTGTTCCAGGAAACCAATCAGGAAGATGTCTGATAGCAGGGACGAAATCGGTCACCCAATAAAGAGGCAAGAAAGCACTCGAGAGATTCGTCATGACGTCTTGCATAAGTTGAATGAGAGGATCTTGATTAAGTGGCTCAATGACATAGCCATATGTGATCCTCAACATAATTGCAGATGCTTCGCTAGTTGATGGTCAGCGGTGAAGGTGACTTTTAAGCCTGAAAAGCGCAGCTTTTTATTCTCGACTAACGTTTTAATATGCTCAAAGAAGTTCTTAGGGTCCTTCAAAGTGCGCAGTAAAAGGCGCTTTGATTCTATGTCTTGGACATCATTGAACCGCGATGCAAGAATCTTAGTCCCCATTTGCTGGTGAATGAACTTGCGGTGTTGGCGATATAGATCGGTATATTGCATTGTAGGCATGAATCCACCGTATCCGCACATTTCAGCTCCAAAGAAGAAAACTGGTCTGCCAGAGGTCTTCAGTGAAGACTTCTCCAAGAGCTCAATAACGGCTGCCTTGTCGTGAAGGATGACCATTGTTTGGCCCAGTACGGTAACAGAGCTAACAGGGCCATATTTGTCCTTGAAAGTGAGCCAATGCTCGAATTCTGGCACTCCCGGAGGTGGAAGATCGTTGATGTTGCCGACAAGTGGAAGAGGCTTGGGACCAGGGGGTAGTGGAAGAAGGTCTTGCTTCTTGCGGAAGAACAAGCGATAAACAACAAACACCAAGACAATGCTAATCTGAGCCAAAATGAAATTCGACATTTTGAGTCTTTGAATAGGGATAAAGATGAACCAAAAATGGCTACCCTTACCTATTCAAGGGTCCGTGACTTGACCAGGAACCTCCTCCATGACTGAGCAGAACCAGTCTATCTATATACACGTACTCGTACTTGTAGGGCTGCGGGCGCAAGAAGCGAAGCCAAGTTTCTCTTTTACACAACCCCACAGTGTTGGCCCTAATATCGTTTACATGATACTAACTATCTGATTAAGTAAGTGATCCGCCGTTCATCACGACCTAGTGTGATCGTGGACTTTTGATGACGGCAATCATTCCCCCGCACATGATTCCAAACACTACATCTCCGGCGTCAGCGACATAATCTGGGTCATGGACATATTTCCATTAAGAAAAAACTTACTACCTAATACGTGTATTCGATATGACTCGTTACAAACTTCATGAAAAGTCCTGCTGGCTCTCAGGTGGTTTACATCATTGGCGGTTCGGAAAATTATTCCTGCATGACATTTGCCCTGTACGAAGCATTCAGTATTCAGCATATGCTGTTTAGGTATTAGCCCCAAGGTTTTATTTTAGCTGTCTCAGGATTTAACCGCCAGTCTATTGCGGACGGGAAATTCCGCTGAGTGGGCATAAAGATCGGTCAATCAATTTAGCGCCAGAGACGGAACCTGTTGCACCTATAATGGTGCGAGGTCACCTCCTGCAACTCGCTTTCATGTGACAGCAAATAAATGGCTATATCCAATAGCCATTAATTCTTCATCCTAAAGTTGGTCACTAGAAGCAGAACTAACAGGTTAGTACTTGAGTTGCTCTGACACTCAACGGCTTTGCACCCCTAAACGAGGCAGTGGATACCCCTGACAACTCAACTCATGGTAGCAGTAGTTCTGGATAGAGTGTGGAGTACTCCGTACCACAAGGCGAATGGCAGTGCTCCGTTTAACAACTGCGCCCGCCGAGTCGCCTAGTCTGAAGGCCATGCCCTGTTTATTTACCCTATCTCTTGATTGACCACGACTCGCATCCGTTTGCCTCTACAGTATCCGTACACTCTGCACGTTGTTAGAGTTCTCCTGTTCCGTTCTTATTAAGAGAGCCTGCTTTACAGGGTATAACAGTTCTATCTATAGACGAGGGTTGAGTCGGACGAGACGAGGGTTGAGTCGGACGAATGGAACAAATGGAGTGCTAAACTGGCATGAATTGTAGAAAGACTACTCCGTACCACACTCGTACTGTAGTTGTCCCAGACTAGGATACATTAAGGCCGATGCTTTTATTGACTCTACGGTACAGACATATTTTGATTGAACTATTCCATGATCCCAGATAATGCTATTTCATTCGTTGTCCTAGCAGGTGGCAGCTGTTAAAAACAAAATGATTGGGATCTATTACAACAAAGGCGATACTTTGCAACTTATTACAACTTGTGACCCGTCAATAACACTACCACGTGTATTTTAGTATCTAATTTAGATGCCACCATCCGCAAAGCCCTTCCTCTTTCGTTTAGCCACTGGAGCTCGCCATATTAGTTTCACGTATGAGATATTCGGGTTTCTTAGTTCTTGTCTTTTTCTATGTAAGAAGTTATTACTGTATCTCTCACAACTGCTTCTAGGTTGCAATCGTAATACTATCGTGATAATCACTAACGGGTAAACCGGCAAGGGACGCCAATCCACTCACCCTATCCCCAAGGATTGTCTTCAACGGCCCCACCGAATCCAGTCTATCAATCTCAAAAGTATGCAAGAAGAATTTAGTCTTTCTTGATGTTTCTATTTCTGTCTCTGTGGATCTTATACATCATATAAAAGTACATATTGTAAGTACAACCCCGACAACTAAGGCCTCTCGCCCCCATGAATGCCATCTTTTCATTCTTCATATATTCACACAACTTACGTCAAAACAGGCCCATAGCCAATCCGCCGTCAAATCTCCAATTTAGATAGCCTCTTCTTGAGCAACAAAGAGCCTGAGTAGCATATGTTGCTTAATCTGTGTGTCAGTCTGCCTGATCATATAGCTTCCGAATGCTTCCGAAATGGTAGTAAACACATCTAAGCCTGAACACCAATGCAGACCATTCTGTACTGAAAGCTGTGTCCTCGCCACCAAAATCCTGCCATACACTAACAACAACTTCTTTTTGAGAAGCTCGTACAGAGAAATCTGTAGTACAGTATATACAACTGCTGCAGACTTCAGTATGTAGTAATCTAAAGGCCCTCTCAATGCATACATCGAGTCCGTTCCTGGGATCATTATTGACCGCTCCATTTGTTTCAGCCTGAGTATCTAGAGACATGCGGCTCGCGTAGAACTCAGTTAGGGTACCTGTGAGAGAAGGGCCTTCCCGATGAGGGCAGATTGATATGTATCCCATAGACTGCATTGATATTGGGCCTTTGGCTTGGTAGTAACGCCAAACAGTATGAAGAAGGTATCGTCCATTGACAATCTTTGGATACACCGAATATTTTCTCTTGACCTTGTTGGTATCCAAGTCGTTTGGTCTGAGATATTTGTGATATGGTGCAATGAGACTCTTGAGATAGTCTTCATATCTTTGTTCCATCTTATTCAGTCGGGTATACTTGAGCGTAAGTTGAACATGTATGTGACTTAGACGAAACTTCTTGTCTGTTGCGACACTTTGAGTCACATAAAGTATACAAAGAATTTGCCGGTGTATCTGAAACATTGATCCGATGAAGCTTGATGCATTCGGTACAGACCCACCGATCAGGTAGTGATCGAGCGCGATGACTGAGATATAGCAATCGCCCCTCTGATGTGTCTGGGCGATATTTCTGAGCAGGAAGATTTCGATGTGCAACGGCTTGAAATCTGCGGCAAGTTTGGCCAATAAGCATCTGGCCATGTTGAGGGAGATGGGTCACTATAGCTTCGAGTAGCTCATTCGGTAATTCGAGAATCGCACACCGCGTGGGTGTGATATCGGGAGGCTCCCGTCTTAAGGGGCGATAGAGTAACTGAATAGAAAGAACCAAGAATTGGTAAAGTGCGCGAATGCATTCCATGTTGTAAATGTTTCTTCAGTGTTTGGGGGCAAATGGATGTATTATAGACGGGAATGGAAAACGAAGATGTCAAAAGGTGAATGTACGTCGTCAGTTGCATTATATATATGTATTTCAACACTCGGAATTTTCCATGGAATAGATACAAAAGGCCTTATACTTTACAAACCATCATGTAGAAATTATATTAGGTAGACGCTGGTTATGGCTGCCTTTTACTTTCTAATGGTTGTCTCAGTGATGCGGTACATATAAACTCAGCTCAGAAACTTTTAAAGTACATGACTTTTGTACCAAGACTCTATGGCGAATTTTAAGTTCTTTATATACTTCTGTATGTCTTCGCTCTTTTATCCAATGATACTTCATGGGCGTCTGGCATCTCTTTGTGCTATTCTGAGCGGGGTCGTGGAAGTTGACAAGAAGCGATTCACTTGATGCATAGATGAACAAACTTTACTAGAGTCGCAAAACAAAATCGGTATGTTGCTACAAATGAAGTATGTCGCTTAATATGAAGGGAGATTTGCAACCAGCACACCTATGCTGTAGCAATTAGACTCGGCGGCTTCGACTGCAGTACATTTCGCCCCAGGCTGTGTTTATAAGCGGCGACGGCCATTATGGGGCGATACGAAGCGTTCATCCCTCTTCCCAAGGACTGGATATATTGGGAAAATGGAAGCCCATAAAGTTATATGCTGAATTGTTGAGTGGTAGTTGCCGAGAGTTGATCCAGTGGCCTCAGCCTATACCCACCAGACTGTCCATCCTTCTCGCACTTACCCGTCCATTGGCAAAGTCTCTTCGCGGCCTCTGCCGTCTTTTTCTCCCCACCTATGTTTAAAACATGAGGCGTAGCCAGATGTGTGAGCTTATTGGTCGAGTTGAGTGCACTCTGCATTATTGGTATGATTTGCCTTTATTTCTTTGGTGCAAACCTCAGAAAGAGGAGCAAGTTCGCTGCGTCCTGAGATTCGCCGGCGTTTTAAGTTTGCAGCGGCCTGTCTACTCGGAAAACAATCCATCCAAATTATCAACTATACGGCCTATTTTACATCTGGTTGTGTACCTGATAATTAGTTTGATCCGTCATTGTCTCGCTTAGACAAAGGCAGCTTTGGGACTCAACTTAGACGCGCATCCTACAATGCGCATAGGTACCTCTAAGCTACTACAGTTCTTGAGAATTAAAAAAGACGCCCTCTACATACATGTACCATCTATATACTTTGATGTTGCTGTTCAACACAATTGCTTTTATCCGTGATGCGGGGAACCTAGTACGAAGCTGAGGAGCCGTCACGATGCTAACCTGGAGGCACATATCAGCTGAGTGACACGGCGCCGTGATCTAACCAAGAGTGGTATCAGTCTAGATGTCGCCTGGCGAAGGAAAATGCTAAATTGCACGACGCGGGTGGTGTATATTTGGCGCCAATAGATGGATGGCACAGGATAGAGCAGGTGAATCCTGATTCGCCTACCCCGCTAAGGAAGATGTTTGGAATCGTCTCGATGTACTCCTCGTTGTAAAATGAGGGAGATTGAATAAACAATTGCTATTACGAACCCGAGAGACACTACTAGGTAGTTTATACGTGTTTAACAAATCTTCTTGGTAAAGACAAGATGAGCAACTCAGAGAGGAGTGGAAATGGCCCGCCGAAGAGCAATGAGATTGACAATGTTGAAAGACTCACCCCAAGGCCTCAATAGTCGGTTCCAGGATTCCCCTCGCCTGTTGCGGGCTTGTATGATGATCTGAAGCTTGGTTCTGTCCCTTCATCATTTTTGGAGACTATGACTATCATCAATAGACTGCGAAAGCAGCCTGAAAGTCATAAAAAGAAGTAAGATGAAAATTCATGCCACTACAAGCTTCCAATACTCTTACTAACTTTGCATATGAGAGCAAAATATCAATTTGGAAAAACTCATAGTGATAGAACAGACGGTACTATTTGTGAAGCAGACGGCCCCTCGGGCCTAGTTGCCATCAAAACAATTGTCAAGAAAAAAGCATTCTCGGCAGAAAAAGAAGCGAGTAGCGAAATAAACGCTCTACGGCGATTAAACCACACTCACATAATCCAACTAATCGACTGGTTTGAATCAAAAGTTAGTTTGGTGGTGTTGGTGCAATTATGTATTAACTGCTAACATTTTTTCTAGGATAACTACTACATAGTTACGCAAAATACCGATGGAGGTAGTCTTTTTGATCGTGTAATAGATTTTACTAAATTACGGGAGAGAGAGGCGACAGTCATTATACTTCAAGTTCTCAGCGCCGTTGCCTATCTGCATAGCAATTCCATCATCCATCGAGGTGAGCAAAACACTTAACCTCAGTGGATATATACTCATCGCTAATAACGAATAGACATAAAGCCCGAAAACATAGTATATGCTTCGAAAGCTTTGGATTCACCCATTATTTTGACTGGCTTCGGTTTTTCAGCCATATAAAGTTCTGCAGATGAGCTCTTCTACGACTTTGTTGGATCATTTGGATATGCTGCCCCAGAAGTAGTACAAAAGGTTGGGCACGGTCGAGCCGCCGACATTTGGTCTGTTGGCGTTGTCATATATGTACTATTATGTGGCTACACACCAAACCGGAGTACTAATATTCAGGATTTTCTCGAGGAGTGTACTCAAGAGTATCTAGTTTTCCATGAAAAATTCTGGAAGAATGTTGGTCAAGACGCAAAAGATTTCATTTCCAGTCTGATGAATCTGGCTCCTGGAAAACGACCCACCTGCCAGGTATGTTTAATCACTTACCGTTTTTCTTTATTAGAATAACGTACAGCAAACTTCTGACAATGGGCTAATTTATTCTTCTAAAAAGAATGCGCTCGCACACCCATGGATTGATAGTAGGCCTTCAGCGGCGGCAAAGATGAATACAGCTGAGCAACAGTTTCTACCACTCTTGCCATTTAAATAGCACTACAAACAAAGAAATGGACAGCAATTATTAAAAACTCGAAAGCTAAATTGGAGATGGAAGGATTTAGGATCACAGTAGCAATTCATCGAGTCACTAGGTACCTCGTCTAATGCGGTTCTCCGAAGAGGAAATCTTGACATGAACCTATTGCACTGAGCTACATAGCAAGCTGATTGAAAACTTTCTAAAAAAGAGTACATTTGTAAGCATGTATCGTTCGTACAAAAGAAAATAGCAAATCTCCAATTACAACAGAAGCAGAAGTAAATCATGACTGCCAATACTCCGCAATAAAGGCTCAGCACCCAAGCACTATAGTAGCCATTATGGATCAACGCCACGAAGATTGAAGTTAGTGCACCACAAAGTCCCAATTACCTGAAGAAAGGATTCCGAGTCATCCACAGATAGTTAGTCTTCAGCCATTGTGAGGATCCGGCCTTGGCCAACGCGGATAAGAATCCGACATAGAAATGCCATGGCATTTTGCCTATAATTTGTCTATTACATAAAGACCGTCACAGAACAGCTGATCAGAAAGGCTTCCGCCAATCATACGTCCAAGCTTGCTTGAATTCTCCCGTCGTTTCTTTACAATGACAATGGCGCTACCAACACACTTTACCCTCAATACCGGATCTAAAATCCCCGCAGTCGGCTTTGGAACCTGGCAGGCTCGCCCAGGGCAAGTTGAGCATGCAGTTGAAACAGCCCTTCGGGCTGGCTATCGACACATAGATTGCGCTGCGATATACCGTAACGAAGTCGAAGTAGGACAAGGTATTCGTGCCAGTGGAGTACCTAGAGAGGATATTTTTATTACTGGAAAGCTCTGGAACACAAAACACGCCCCCTGAAGATGTTCAAAGCGCATTGGACAAGACCCTTGAGGATCTTGGGACAGATTATCTAGATTTGTTCTTGATGCATTGGCCAGTGTAAGTCTTCATATTAATCATATAAGAGTTATCTTTTTCGGTTTACTTATCGAGAGATTCTAGAGCTTTCAAATCTGGGGATGACCGGTTTCCGTCTTCCAGCTCTCGGACATTGATCCAGCGGTGACATACTCAACCATGGAAAGCCTACTGAAAACAGGAAAAGTTCGAGCGATTGGTGTTTCCAATTTCACCATTAAGCGTCTCGAGGATCTGATTAGCAAAACGAAAATAATTCCAGCTGTTAATCAGATTGAGGCACACCCGTATCTCCAGCAGCGCCAGTTGTTTGACTTTTGCCAGTCCAAGGGCATTCTCATCGAGGCCTACTCTCCTCTTGGAAACAACCAAACAGGAGAGGTACGAACATTAGATGATCCGCTGGTTGCGGATTTAGCTCAAGAATTGGGCTGGGATATCGGGCAAGTCCTCTACTCCTGGGGTGTACAGCGTGGAACAGTTGTTCTGCCTAAAAGCATCACGCCAGGCCGAATTGCGTCCAATTTGCAAGTCAAAGAGCTGCCTCAGCATGCTTTCGAGAAGCTAAATGGACTTGAGAGAAACAAGCGATATAATTGGCAGTCATTATGGGGCTTTGACATCTTTCAAGAAATTGGACATGATGAGATTCCACGGATTGCCAAAGAAGCAGGACCAGAGAACTTGAAGAAGTTTGCGAAATAGAAGATGTAGATTATTATGTAGTATAATTCTGTTCATGTCCCGCTGGAGTCCCATCTGGTGATATTACTACTTCATCCAAATTGAAACTCGGCCAAAAAGCCTACAACATGTTAGTGTGAGTGAAAATAGTTGTATGCAGACAGAGAAACTTACAGATGAATCTAAATCAAGCCAATCAGTTAGTTGCCAGTCCAGAAAAGTAGGCATTTCCGTCACCAAGTTGCTCTGAGCAACAGGGTGGAAGATGGCTCTGTCTTCAGTATCTAGCATGGGAGTGGCCAAGTTTTGATCACCCTGTTGTTCTTTTGGCGTGGTATAGTGCGTTTTCGAGTGCTGCGGAGTTGACTGGTTCATTGCAGCAGCTCTAAAGCCTTCCAGGATAACTGCATACCGTCGACTGGGTGAATTTGAAGCGGTCGCTCGTGCAAGATGGCCATGACAACTCTCCGCCAGCTGCATTAGCCTCGTTCTGTAACCAGGGTCGTCGGTAGCTCCCATGCGATGCTGCTGCATCACCCATACATATGTCACCACAAGTGCGCAGAACGTCACGTAATGAGTCCACCAGAAAGCATGGAAGATTGGACTTCCACGGGCCATAGTATCCACTGACTCCAGTACATCTTTGGCGGCTTTGATGCAATCGCTCACTTGGGTTATATAGGCGGATGCTGGAGAGCGCATCAAAAACAGGCGATTAGCGTGCATGATGGCATGCGAGTGAGCCAGACCGAGCGCCAGAGCAGGTCTTCGATAGCTGGGAATCAAGATGGACGGATGAACGGCGCCTAGATGAGGCGGTAGACTTTGATGCCAGTCTTGAATGCGTTGCGTTAAGCTTTTGGCGGCAGCTATCCTCTCGATCTCGGAGGTATGTTTGGCGGTATACATTTCTTGCGAGACGGCTCCAATTATCTTGGCAATACTGCAATTTTATCAGTCAGTAAAGTGTCTACTTGGAGAGATAAAGAGAAAAACCATGTTGCCTTACCGTGCATGAAAACATAGAGCATCAGTATGACACCCACGGCGATCATCGGGGTCACCAACAGGGCCATCTACCGACATGTCTTCGTCGTTAATTCGATCTGGTAGTTCTTGATCGATATAATCGTCGTGAAAATGACGCGGTCGTCCAAATACAACTCCCAGATAGTTATCGAGGACATACGCGGTCCAAAAGGTTCTGAGAGAGCATTGCTTCTCGATATAATCGGTTGACTTTTGCCGTCTCCTCCAATCTGCACGCCGCTGCAAACCAAGCGCGGAAATAAGCTGCAGCGCGTTTCCAAATATGTACCAGCTCTGGTTGAAGCGAGAGGTTGTGAGCAAGTATAATACTTGGACGATGCGGACTTGTGCGGACTCTAGTTTGGGAAACCCTGTTTCCTGATCTGTAAGTCGCATCGAGAAGCGGAAAAAGACATCGCCTAGACGAAGGGCCTGACAGTCCCTGGCAGGGAGCCCTTTGGACTTTTCCTGATGAAACTTGGCAATTGCAAGCATTACGTATATAATGGCGGCTTTTGTACGGCCAATGCTGTGCCATACAGCTACCCTTTCTTTTAAGTTGCCCTCCATAATGCTCAGCCAGGCCTCTGTGGAAGGACGATGCAGAATGCGGTAAGTCGCGATACAGACATCGAAATATAGAGTCAAAAGGTCCCTAGCTTCCTCTGGATCAGGTAGACAAGGCTGCTGTTGAGCACCCTCGCTTTCAACTGCCAATGGCTTGTCTCCAGCCATATACATCAATTGGTTCTCTGCCAACAGTCTGGAATCGTCGGCTCCCTGGCTACTCCCATGAGCAGAGAGGCGCCTTGATGCTCGATGAAGAAAAGCCAAACTTGATGTTGGATCAAAGACCTGGCCTTGAATTTCCGCCATTCCAAGCTCCGGAGATGCTCGGGAGGGAGCAGCTGGCCCCCCTGGCCGTTGAGATAGATCGTCTAGCGGTGCATTCTCACTGGGAGTTGTGCCAGCATTTGATATGAAGGACACAGCATTAGCGATGGCGAAGGTCTCGTTCAGAGAATGTCTGCCACCGCCTGCAGACCGCCGGTGGCTAACATCAGATGATGGAGGAGGCGTAGGCGGCATACCGCGAGTATACTTTGCTTCATACAAACATACTCGGCCTCTTGAGATGCATTTTGCGCATGGTTGGTCACCGCTGCATTTTGCCTTTCTGGACTTGCAAAAGTCACAAGCGCGACTAACCTTACGCGTCTTTCGAGAGACAGGGTCAGCAGGATCCTTAGCGATGTCTTCAATGCTCTCAACGCTCCTCTTCTGGCTTGTAAGCTCAGGTTCCATTTGACGATTAGTCAAAAAGCGCGGTGGATACGAATTGGACGCCTCGTTTCGGAATTGGATCGCTGTGAGTTCTTGTTGTCCCTGCGACGAAGCGAGGAACACAGCGCAGGAGGCGGAAAAGAAGCCGAAGGATGCAGTATTAATACCGAGCCAAGACAGCGGAGTCCTAAAATAGCTGCGTCGAGCTGTGGAGGAAAAGACAGGGGCTACGGTATGTCACGTTTGCGGGGATATCATCAAATGAGAAGCTTACGAAAACCACCACTCCTGTAATATGATCCACTTTGACAGGTCCAGACTTGATCTAGCTACTAGAGTGCTTATTGTGGTATGATGGTTATGTTTTGACTTGTGAAGCAGCATTTGAGGATTAGTAGACGTGAATCTACATGTATATCACAGCAATACGATATAGTTATGTAGTCGGTTGCGCAATTGGGAGAGTTTCAAAGCCATCAAGCGGTCTATGAAGTGACCTTTAAGAAAGAGAATGGGATCACAAGAGCCGGAATGTTAAAAAATGCTGGTGACAATAAACGATAGTAACATCAATCTGACTATCTTCCAATCACAGGAATCACGAGTTCGCCTTATAATATGCGCAGCCAGCGCAGCGTTCCAATACTAACAACTCCAAACTTCAATAAGGCATATCTTCGCCTAGAGCGTATACTTGAAAAGTAAGCTCTTATCACCCAACTTGAGCAACTCGTCTTCCGAAAATTGCGCTCTGACTGCCTCCTCAGGGATCTTTGACTTCTGCTTGTTGGCCCAGATATAGCTTAATTCCAGCAACAGAGCCGCGAGGACACCAGACGCGCCAAATGCCAGAGAAAGCCCGAAACCCGTGTGGTAAGTAGGCGCTTCTTTGTCAAGATACATGAAGCTGCCAATAATACCTCCGATGTTACCCATGCAAATGCAAAAGGCAAGTCCAATTGCACGACGGCTAGCTGGAGCCAGGTTGTTGGCAGCCCAACTTGTGGCAGATGGGTGGACAGGATAGATGCCCATACACGTTAATACAAGAGCGAAATATCCTGGTCCCGTATGACTTCCTCCTAGTTTGCCGTCGAATCCCATCACCACGGCGTATCCAATGGTGATGAGCAACATAGGAGCTGCAATGAAGGGAATCCGCCACAGAAAGCGATCAGACAAGTAGGCGAAGAAAATGGAAGAAATGCCTCCTGCCACATAGGCTGGCACCGTCATAAGCTGGGCAATTGTGTTGTTTGTAAAGCCCATTGCTTTGATAATTGAAGGCAGGGTGAATTTAGTTCCGTAAGAACAGGCTGAAATGCACAGCAGAATGTATGCTTGAAGATAGAGCCTCCAATTGGTGAGAACCATTTTGAATTCGTACCAGTTGAATCTCTTTTCAGAGTATTGTTCCGAGAAACGCCCGCCTTGCTTCACAAAATGTTGAAGTTCGAGAAATCTAATCTCATCTACGGACAGCCATCTACCGGAAAGCGACGGCGAATCAACGAGAAAGAAGAAGCAAAGCACGCCAAGTAAAGTGGTAGCAATACCCTCAAGGAGGAAGATCCATCGCCACCCTTCATAGCCGCCAACACCATCCATCAGCGCAATTGCTGCAGCCAAGAGGCCAGAAAATGCCCCTGATAGAGCACTAGTGCAGTAGAAGTAGGCAATTCTTGTGGCAAGCTCTTTGGGCATGTACCAGAATGCGCAGAGATAAACAGCGCCAGGATAGAATCCAGCTTCAAAGACGCCAAGAAGAAGTCGTACGGCAAGTAGACCGCCGAAGTTCTTGACAACACCGTGCATAGTCATAACGATGCCCCAGAGAATAACAAGAGAGCCGAGATAAACCGAGGGCCTGAACTTCCTCAACAAAACATTGCTGGGAACCTCAAGCAAAATGTATGGGATGAAGAAAAGGGCCAGTACAACATTGTATTGGTTCCCGACGAGGTGTAGGTCTTCGGAAAGGCCTTCAATCTTTGCGTTTCCAATGTTTGCGCGATCAAGTTGCGAGATAAGGTACAGTATTGCCAGCATCGGTACCAGGCGTAAATCGATCTACAGCACATTCAGAAATAAGCGTCAAGTCGATTTGATTTGGAATTGGCGTTTAGGTTGTCTTACCTTTCTAACAATTTTCTTCCTCTGGGCTTCTGTTATACTGTTGTAGAAAGCCGCATCTTCTTCACTTAAGCCCAAGACGGGTATGTTGTCAATGACTTTCACTTGAGCAGACTTTTCAATATCATGATTCGTGTGGTCATCTCTATCGTCCACCATGACAATGTCAGGTTTTTCGACCTTGGTAGTGTCTCCCGCCATGCTGAATCTTGATGGGAGATGTCAAGAGGATAATAATTTCGCTGAGATAGGTGGCTTGTCTCAGGTAGATGACCCAAGTAGGCTCTACAATGACAGAGTAGAACTAATGGAGAAGCTCACTGCTTCTTTGGTGATTAAATCACCTGGAGGTGCCAACATTTTATTATAAACAGGAATTTCACCTGCTCCCACCAATACACTCGTATAACGGTGCCTCTACCGAATCCCCAGATTTCCATTAGCCCCGCGTTGATAACCTAAAATTATTAAATACTTAAAAAAAAATGTAAAAATAAGAGTTTAAAATTAAAAAAGGAGGTTTATATTATAAATAAAAATAAATAATTTTTTAATTTATTATAATAAAAAAATAGCAGCTACCTTTAATATAAGGAAGAACTAAAGGAGATAAGTAAAACTAGGAAAGAAATAACCTTACCTAAAACTACTTTTAATTTAGTTAAAAACCCTATAATTAATAATATAATTTAATAAAACTATAGGTTATTATTTTTTAAAAAATAGTTTAGTAATATTATTAATTTTATTAAAAGTAAATTTAAAGAAATTAGTAAATTTATTAAATTTTAATATTAGGTTAATATTTATAACCTTAAGTAAAATATTAAATTTTTTATTTATTAAAAACTTTAAAATAGACTTATATAATAGTAGTTATATAATAATAAATAGTAAATTATTATAAATTTAAATATAAATAAAATATAAAAACTTTAAGGAGATTATTAATAAATACTTTAAAATTATCCTTAAATTAACCTTATAAATAATAATTATTATAAAATTTATTAAATAAACTATATTACTTATTAATATTTATATTACCTAAAATAAAAAATAAAATATAATATATTTTTATAAAAATATTTAGTAATTTTAATTATAAATTTATATTATAAAGGATACTATAATAAATAAAAGGTTACTTATAAATTTTAGGAATTATATATTATAATTCTTAAATTATACTTAATTATATTAAAAGAATATAAAAACTATAAATAAATTAAAAATTATATAAATTACTAATATATTATTTACTAAATTAAAAAGATTTTTTAATAATATAACTCAAATAAAGAAACTAAAGTATATACTTTTAAATAATATTAATAATATAATAAACTAAAGTATTTTAAATATTAAAAACTTAAATTAAAGGAATAATATAATATAGCCTTAGAAGAAAAATAAGTTAAAGAATAATAATTTATAAATTAATTATATAAATTAAAATTTAATTTTAAAATCTATACTAAAGTACTTAATAAACTTCTTTAAAAATACTATAAATTTTAAAAAATACTTAATAATTTATAAAATAATAAAATTACTTATAATATATATATTAAGTAAATAAGACTATACTATAAAGTAGTAGAATAAATTAATTATAAAAATTTATATTATAAATTATATATATTATATAAAATTAAAGACTAAATTTTAAAAAACTAAAATAGTTTTTAAATAAAGGGTACTATAAGACTAATAAAGAATTTATATTCTTTAAGAAAAAATATAAATATAATAATAATAAAAAATAAGGAGTTTTTAAAAAAAAGATTACTTTTATAATAATATAAAATAAAAAATTACTTAAAGTTTTAGTAAACTTTAAAGTAAATAAAAATATTAGAAGCTGGGTTAGTAAAAAAGAGTAAAAAGGGATAAGGGATAATTATAAGTAGCTATATAGTAAATACATAAGCTTAGGGTAATAAAGTAATTATATTTATCTCTGCCTTTTTTAATTCCTTCCTTAGATTTTAGGTTTTTTATAATATTATTATTAAGCTAAGGGCTTTATAACCCTTAGCTTACGCCTTTATAATATAGCTAGTATATAGCTATTACGTAACTATACCTTTTTTAAATAGGCTTTAATATATTACCCTTTTTTTTAAAGTACTACTTTAATACCTTTAATAATATTCCTTTTTTTAACTTTATAATTAATTCCCTTTATTAAAGGTATTACTTATATAAAAGCTTTAATATAGTTTAAGCTTTATACTTACTTTATTTTTATTATAAATATATTACTATTTTAAGTTTTTTTTTTATATTTTTAAAAGTAAATATAAATAAAAAGTTAAATATAATAATAGTTTTATAATACTTTTTTATTACTTTTATAACCTAAAGTAACTAATACTTTTTTATAAAAAATAAAAAAGTAAAAAAAGATATAAATTTACTAAAATTTTAATATAATAAAGGTAAAGTATTATTAATTTTATTTTTAATTACCTTTATTTTTATTATTTAAATTTTATATTATATTAATTTATTTACTTAGTATTTTTATAAAGGTTAACTTTTTAAAAGTAGTTTAATATATTTAATTTCTTTCCTTTATATTAGCCTTATAATTAACTTATAAATAAAGCTATTTTTTATTATTATTACCTAGGTTATATATATAAATAAATAATTAAAAGTTAACCTTTACTTTATATAAATATAATAAGTTTATTATTATAACTTTTTTATATTAAGTCCTTTTTTAATTTATTTTTTAAATATTAGCCCTAAGTATATAATATATATTTATAAAAGTTATAAAAAAATATATATTTTTATTTAAGCTTAATATTATTAAGCTATATAATTATTATTAAATATACTTTAGTAAGCTTAATTAAACCTAATATATTATTACTTTTTTATTATAATTATTATTTTAATTTATAATAGGCTATTATTAATTTATTATAATAGTAGTATAAAAAAGTTTTTTATAATATTAATAATATACTTATAACTTTAATAATAGTTACTACTATAATAATTATAGTAATTACTACTTTTAAAGTATTAGGTATTACTTTAGCTTATTATTAAGCATAGGTTTATAATATTACTAATATAAGAATATAATTAAATATTATAAATTCTTTAAAATTAATAAATATTATATTTTTTATTTTTTTTTTAATATATTTCCTTAGCTTTTATAATATTTTTATTACTAATTTATTTCCTAGGAGTAGTTTAAAAACCTTAAGGGTTACTATTAGTCTATAGCTATAAGCTATAGCTATAGCTATAAGAAAATAGAGCTTATAGCGGTTATTACAGTGGTCTTTACATCCCTATAGCTAGTCTATAGCACTAGCTATCACTAATATCCCCTATAACCCCCTATAACCTTTACAATCAGCTATACTTAATACTTGATCCTTCAACCTACCCTATAGCTTATAAGCTATTGCCTAATTAGGACTAGCTTATAGACCTTCTAAA